CCTGTCGCTCCCGTGGTCGCTCCCTGGCTCCGGGCCATCCTGCTGGCCGCCCTCAAGGCCTCCGTCGTCCCGACCGAGTGGAACACTGTCCTGATCCACCCGGTCTACAAGAACAAGGGTTCGATCCTCGATCCGGCCATGTACCGGCCCATCGGGTTGACCCAGGTCCTCCGCAAGATCGCCGAGCGAGTCCTGCTGCCGTTCCTCACCCGCGAGATCGGCATCATGGACATTGCCCAGGGAGGCTTCCGCCCGGACCGAGGCACCCTCGACCAGGTGTACTCGCTCGACGCTCTTGTCCGCATGAACAAGATCCGCGACGACGAGTACAGCCTGGTCTTCCTCGACATCAAGGCCGCCTACGACACTGTCTGGCGGGAGCGCCTCTGGGACAAGATCGCCGCCCGAGGTGCTGGTCCGGTCGCCGTCGGGGTCCTCAGGGCCATGTTCGACCGCACTCTTGTCCGCGTCGCCAGCAAGGGCCGCACGTCACAGCCTGTGTGGCTGCAGAAGGGTCTCATCCAAGGCTCGGTCCTGAGTCCCCTTCTGTTCAGTGCCCACATTGACGACCTGCCTGGACTGCTCCGAGCCGAGGACGGACTTGTGCTTGCCTCCAGTCGCCACCACCGTCTCCGGGTCAACTCGCTCTGGTTTGCCGACGATGGTGTCCTCATCTGTCCGGCTGGCCGCACCCAGGCCATGCTGGACATCTGTGAGCGTCACAGTGTCGACAATCGCTACCGCTTCTCGCCTCCCAAGTGCGAGGTGCTGTACTCGGCCTGCAACGTCGACCAGCTCCATCCCGCCAAGCTGTACGGCACCGAGCTGCCCAAGGTCCTCCAGTTCCGCTACCTCGGTGTCATGGTCGACATTGACGGATTCCGCCCGGACCTCCAGTTCGACAAGCTCCTCCGCAAGGTCCACATGGTCACCGACACCGTGGTTGGACTTGGCATCACCCTCGGCAAGGTCTCGGCCAAGACCATCACCCAGGTCTACAAGACCTTTGTGCGGCCGACCCTCGAATACGGGATGGCCATGGACATCCCGGACCCGGCTCTGCGCGACCGCCTCGACGACGCCCAGATGACGGCCCTCCGCACCATGTTCCGCGTCGGCCCCGGCACTCCCGTCGGTGCCATGCACCTCAACTGCGGCCTCCCCAAGATGTCCGTCCGTGTCAAGATGCTGGCCCTGCAGAACTGGGCCCGCTGGGACGACCAAGTCTCTGACGGCGACAAGATGCTGTCGATGATCCTGCGCAACAAGATCATTGCGCCCTACCACCCCGACCAGTTCCTCGGCCAAGGAGTCCGAGCCGATCCGCACTGGGCCATGGTGGTCCGCCGACAAGAGGCCGACCACTCCCTCACGGCCACGGAGATCTACCGAGGCAAGACCCGACACCAGCCGCCGCCGCCCGGACCGCCCCGACCCCAGCCCGTCCCGATCAAGACCCTCATCTTCGAGGACCACATGAAGAACGGCTTCGACCGCTCCAAGCAGCTCACCGCCGCCTGCACCCCGTCGACCAAGATGTCGGGACTCTGGGAGGCTCGCGGGTACCAAGGATCCATGGTCATGCTCATGTTCATGGTCCGATGGCGACTCGGTGCTCTCCCAGGCCACTTCAGGTTCGGATACCGCAAGTGCAAGAACCTGGCTCGACACGGATCCGGGATCGACTTGACCAGGACCCACGCACAGCAATGTGTGGATCCGCATCAAGTCCTGGTCCGCAAGGTCGCAGCCCTCAAGACGGCCCACCCGACTTGGGTGGAAAGTGGTATAGCCGGAGTGGGACCAGTGGACAAGCTGCTGGACCTGCTCTCTTTCGATCGCACTCCCCCTCGCACTCGCACCCCTCCCGCACTTGGATCGCTTGCTGCTCATGTACCCGCTCCCCGCACTGCCTTCCGAGCATTCGCACTTGGTGCACACCCAGTACCAGCACCCACTCCCACAACCAGTGTAGTCCCACCCTTGCAGTCTCTCCCTGCACCCTCATCACAGCGTAGTATAGTGCCAGCACTTGTCACTCCACCACCCCGACCTCCCGTCGATCCTGCTATTCCCTTGTGGGAACTGCTTGAAAATGTGTTCACCCGCTTGGTCTCAGACCTTGTGGGCAGCTGAGGCAGCACTAGGCTGCAACAGGAGTAAATAGGCTTGCCTGTGTACTCAACGTGCCGGGGTACCAACCTGTTGGACCTGATGGCTTGTCTTCTTAAATAAAGTTGACTATAGTAACAAAAAAAAAAAAAAAACCGCCGCCTGCACCCCGTCGACCAAGATGTCGGGACTCTGGGAGGCTCGCGGGTACCAAGGATCCATGGTCATGCTCATGTTCATGGTCCGATGGCGACTCGGTGCTCTCCCAGGCCACTTCAGGTTCGGATACCGCAAGTGCAAGAACCTGGCTCGACACGGATCCGGGATCGACTTGACCAGGACCCACGCACAGCAATGTGTGGATCCGCATCAAGTCCTGGTCCGCAAGGTCGCAGCCCTCAAGACGGCCCACCCGACTTGGGTGGAAAGTGGTATAGCCGGAGTGGGACCAGTGGACAAGCTGCTGGACCTGCTCTCTTTCGATCGCACTCCCCCTCGCACTCGCACCCCTCCCGCACTTGGATCGCTTGCTGCTCATGTACCCGCTCCCCGCACTGCCTTCCGAGCATTCGCACTTGGTGCACACCCAGTACCAGCACCCACTCCCACAACCAGTGTAGTCCCACCCTTGCAGTCTCTCCCTGCACCCTCATCACAGCGTAGTATAGTGCCAGCACTTGTCACTCCACCACCCCGACCTCCCGTCGATCCTGCTATTCCCTTGTGGGAACTGCTTGAAAATGTGTTCACCCGCTTGGTCTCAGACCTTGTGGGCAGCTGAGGCAGCACTAGGCTGCAACAGGAGTAAATAGGCTTGCCTGTGTACTCAACGTGCCGGGGGTACCAACCTGTTGGACCTGATGGCTTGTCTTCTTAAATAAAGTTGACTATAGTAACAAAAAAAAAACGACGAGTACAGCCTGGTCTTCCTCGACATCAAGGCCGCCTACGACACTGTCTGGCGGGAGCGCCTCTGGGACAAGATCGCCGCCCGAGGTGCTGGTCCGGTCGCCGTCGGGGTCCTCAGGGCCATGTTCGACCGCACTCTTGTCCGCGTCGCCAGCAAGGGCCGCACGTCAGCAGCCTGTGTGGCTGCAGAAGGGTCTCATCCAAGGCTCGGTCCTGAGTCCCCTTCTGTTCAGTGCCCACATTGACGACCTGCCTGGACTGCTCCGAGCCGAGGACGGACTTGTGCTTGCCTCCGAGTCGCCACCACCGTCTCCGGGTCAACTCGCTCTGGTTTGCCGATGACTGGTGTCCTCATCTGTCCGGCTGGCCGCACCCAGGCCATGCTGGACATCTGTGAGCGTCACAGTGTCGACAATCGCTACCGCTTCTCGCCATCCCAAGTGCGAGGTGCTTGTACTCGGCCTGCAACGTCGACCAGCTCCATCCCGCCAAGCTGTACGGCACCGAGCTGCCCAAGGTCCTCCAGTTCCGCTACCTCGGTGTCATGGTCGACATTGACGGATTCCGCCCGGACCTCCAGTTCGACAAGCTTCCTCCGCAAGGTCCACATGGTCACCGACACCGTGGTTGGACTCGGCATCACCCTCGGCAAGGTCTCGGCCAAGACCATCACCCAGGTCTACAAGACCTTTGTGCGGCCGACCCTCGAATACGGGATGGCCATGGACATCCCGGACCCGGCTCTGCGCGACCGCCTCGACGACGCCCAGATGACGGCCCTCCGCACCATGTTCCGCGTCGGCCCCGGCACTCCCGTCGGTGCCATGCACCTCAACTGCGGCCTCCCCAAGATGTCCGTCCGTGTCAAGATGCTGGCCCTGCAGAACTGGGCCCGCTGGGACGATCAAGTCTCTGACGGCGACAAGATGCTGTCGATGATCCTGCGCAACAAGATCATTGCGCCGTACCACCCCGACCAGTTCCTCGGCCAAGGAGTCCGAGCCGATCCGCACTGGGCCATGGTGGTCCGCCGACAAGAGGCCGACCACTCCCTCACGGCCACGGAGATCTACCGAGGCAAGACCCGACACCAGCCGCCGCCGCCCGGACCGCCCCGACCCCAACCCGTCCCGATCAAGACCCTCATCTTCGAGGACCACATGAAGAACGGCTTCGACCGCTCCAAGCAACTCACCGCCGCCTGCACCCCGTCGACCAAGATGTCGGGACTCTGGGAGGCTCGCGGGTACCAAGGATCCATGGTCATGCTCATGTTCATGGTCCGATGGCGACTCGGTGCTCTCCCAGGCCACTTCAGGTTTGGATACCGCAAGTGCAAGAACCTGGCTCGACACGGATCCGGGATCGACTTGACCAGGACCCACGCGCAGCAGTGTGTGGATCCGCATCAAGTCCTGGTCCGCAAGGTCGCAGCCCTCAAGACGGCCCACCCGACTTGGGTGGAAAGTGGTATAGCCGGAGTGGGACCAGTGGACAAGCTGCTGGACCTGCTCAGTTTCGATCGCACCCCCCCTCGCACTCGCACCCCTCCCGCACTTGGATCGCTTGCTGCTCATGTACCCGCTCCCCGCACTGCCTTCCGAGCATTCGCCTTTGGTGCACACCCCGCACCAGCACCCACTCCCACACCCAGTGTAGTCACGCCCTTGCAGTCTCTCCCTGCACCCTCATCACAGCGTAGTATAGTGTCAGCACTTGTCATTCCTCCACCCCGACCTCCCCTCGATCCTGCTGTTCCCTTGTGGGAACTGCTTGAAAATGTGTTCACCCGCTTGGTCTCAGACCTTGTGGGCAGCTGAGGCAGCACTAGGCTGCAACAGGAGTAAATAGGCTTGCCTGTGTACTCAACGTGCCGGGGTACCAACCTGTTGGACCTGATGGCTTGTCTTCTTGAATAAAGTTGACTATAGTAACAAAAAAAAAAAAAACCTCTGTCCCTTGGCGCATCATGGCCTTACCAGGTAGCTTTCCGTATTTTTCAGCGGAGCTCTTCTCCAGCAGCTTGACGCCAGAAACATGCATGATCAGCGAGTACTCAAAGTACGGCGAGATGATCGAGAGCCATTGCCAGGGGCTGACAAAGCCTCCTGAACAGAGCAAGAACATGCCACCCCAGAGGGTGATTTCGCCAAAGTAGTTCGGGTCTGGCCAGGAGAAATAGATGCAGTCAGCCGTGGTCGACTTTCCAGCAGATCGATTGTGCATCCCCAGAATGGCGGACTGCAGCGTCCCAGGGCAACATCTGTTGGCCAAAACCGATCTCGCCCGCCTGGGGAGGTTGCTGCAACTCACAGCGCGAGTAGCGGAAGAGGCCAGTGCTCATAAACTTGTGCGGATGCTTGTTCTTGAAGGCGAACTTCTGGGCATCGGCGACGGCTTCGATGAGGAAACCAGTAGCCCAAAGCCCAGCACCGACATAGTCGGTGATCTGCAGCGGACGCTGCGAAGCGCCAGGGTTCGCCAGTAGGATATAGACAGGCAGGGCGGTGATGTAGACCCAGACACCCTGGAGGACCCAAGTGAGCGCAAAGCGCTTGGTGTTGTGCTTGATCTTATCGAAGCGCTGCAAGAAAAGATAGCCGAATCGATCAGACGGCTGTGGCATGCATCTGAGGGCCGAGATGGCGGCAATCGGGTCTGCATCGCAAAAACAGCTTCCTCGAACACGGCAACAGCCTTGGAAATGGGGCTGTGGCAGAATCAGGCCCATGTGGTGCTCAGTGTCGCATACCTTGTCGGACTTGAAGAATACCCGGACGAACAGGAACGAGCCCAGACGAAAGGCCCACAGGGTCGTCATGGCAGCAGCCAAAACCTGCCGCCTGGACAGAACGTCGCCCTCGGGCCTAAACAGGACAGAGGCCGCCACGGCCGAGACATACGAGACGGCGCCTGCGAGATCAAACAGCTTCTCTGTCCTGAGCGGAGCCGAGATCGAGAATCCAAGGGCCTGGATGCCATAGTCGATCAGCAGAACCGAGGTGAGGGAAGAGGCGTAAGGGCTCAGCAACGAAATGAGGGGGGCCATGTTGGATACTGGCAAGACGAGGCCGAGTCGGTGCAGAAGCAGAAGCACGAGCAGAAGCACGAGCAGAAGCAGAAGCAGAAGCAGAAGCAGAAGCAGATGAGGATGACGAGCAGGGTAGACTCGAGCGGTCCTGCTGGCATGAACGAGCGGTGCGAGAAACCAAGCTCGATATCGAGCCGGGGTGTGGCGTGCCATTTCGCCGCCATTCACCCGCAGAGGCGGCAAAACTGATATTATCCCCGCTCAGCCCAAGGCCAAAATCGCAACTGGCACAGATTTTGAAATTGGCTGCCTCTGCTGGGCTCCGAATACACACGGTCGCCTTTGGGAATACTGTGCTGGACAAATCGATGAGCACCCCTTCTGTCCATCACTCCACTGGAATCGCGCAACGAAGCAAGGGTGCTCGGTTAAATCGAGTTTATCTCGGCGAAAGAATGGATAAGCATGAACACGAGCAAATCAAGGTGAGAGGAATAGAGCGGGACGGGAATGCGTAACTACGAGGGAGGGAGAGAGGGAGGGAAAATCATCCAGTATCAAAGTAAAAGTAACGCCAGGAACAAGTGAGAGAAGAGAAGAGAAGAGAAGAGAAGAGAAGAGAAGAGAAACAAAGAAAGATAAAAAACCAACAGAGCATAATATCAAACAAGCGCAAATCGTTTCCCCAAACCAAGGAGAGCCTGCGGCTGCCAATCAACAGTCAACCGAAAGCACCAAACAACAGAAAGAGTCACACGCTACTGCTCAACTCTTCATCGTCCATGTGCCGCAAGGCACCCGAGATATGGAGGCACACTGCTGGTGTCGATGCAAGCGATCAGGGCACACGGCAGGTCGATATTCGAAGGGGCCCACGACAGAACGGCGTGCATAGGCAAGAGCGGATGCATTCCGGCCAGGGAAAGTGGTTAAGAGTGGTGGGTCCGATTGGGGAGGGGGAAAGGTCAACCTTGAAATGTACAGCACAGCCGGAGCCTCCTGAGCGAAACTTGTTCCTCCATTCTGCCTTTCGCCTTGTCCCAATGCAGCCAGATTAAGGTGTCTCGACAGTGCCGGTGCGTCCAGTCTATGTCTTTACAAGAAGTAGTCGGGCGTTCGTCGGGTAACGTGGGGCTCTCCGCGTCTGGGGGCAGGGTCGAATTGGAGGCTGGTGGTGTGCAAGGTTCAGGGTCCAGGTGAGAGATGCGCCAATGTGAGGCCACAGGGACGCAATTTGCCAATAAGGAGATCCGCCGCGAGGTAAAGACAGTCATTGAGCAGGGATAAAAGCGAGGCAGTGAGCTATGGCACGTTCCGAGAGAGATCTGCTGCAGTCCAGGTCATGCCGTCCAGGCTATGCAGGCCCAATATACACGATCCTTACAATGTGTATTTCAGGTGCTCGTCGATCTCCATGATGGCAGCTTGGTTTCCGCAACGGTAGCAGTAGTTGGGGGCACTGAAGATGGTGACGACGTTTCGCTCCTGCGACCAGTTGTATCCCTGAAAGAAATACAGATGTCGTTGTGGCTATCAGAGAGTGGCCTCCCAAACACCGACAGGTTGACGCAATAGCCCAATCCAGCACACGAGCGCAAACAGGGGATGCATAATGGGCCTTACCTCCATGACAAGTTGATGCGCACGTGAGATCAGGGTCAGACCGTTGTTATGGTTGAAGGCCTCGGCAATGTCCTGTCCAAAGGTATATCCAGCGCCACGAGGAGAAATGCCCCAACCGCAGCGGTCGTCGGGGTCGGACCTGGAGGCAGATGAAAGGGTGAGGAGTGGCCAATGTCAGATCGGGTCCTTGACGACGCGGGCCAGATGCGGGAGCTTGAGCGGGGACGAGCGTGGCAGATCCGGTCGATCAAAAGGCCACCACCTCCGTTTGCCTTAACGCCGAGACGTACCACAGAAGATCGCACATGGGACCCTCGTGCGGGACTTCTTGGATTCGGTCGAGAGAGCGGATGTGGTCCAGGGTGTCGATCGAGGGCGACAGACCGCCGTGCAGACAGAAGATCTAGCGTGCAGGCCCGATCAGATCCAGTTAACATCCAGAGAAATAAATCGCCACGCTACAAAAGCCGAGAGTCTGTGCGCACTGATACACAGTGCGATATTGTTATCCGAGTAGCGATGCTTGACACTGGCACATGCCAGTAGACCACATCGGCACTATAGATCCTCTCTCCGCGCACCAGATCAGGCACCAACGATGCAAGATTGTGCGAAACGGCCGCGTCTCCCGCACGGCTTGTCCAGTGGAAGTCGTCCAGCGCGAGTCGGTCACGAACAACTCGCCCTACGAACCTGATCCTCAATGAGAGCAGTCAAGGGCAGATAGTCAAAGAGGTCGGTGAAGTATTTCCAGACGTTGGCGTTGCCGTACTTGCGCAGGCACTCGTCGTAGAAGCCGTAGACCTGGGTGATCTGGCGAGACTCGTGGTTGCCACGCAGGATGGTGACTCGGTTTCTGTAGCGGACCTTGAGAGCCACCAGCAGGGTGACGGTCTCCACCGAGTAGTAGCCACGGTCGACGTAGTCGCCCATGAACAAGTAGTTGGTATCGGGGCAGTTGCCGCCGATCTTGAAGAGTTCCATGAGGTCGTGGAACTGGCCGTGAATATCGCCACAGACAGTGACGGGGCAACGGACGGGCTGGACGTTCGACTCCTCCATGAGGACCTCGCGCGCCTAGGGACAGACGTTGCTGGATTAGTGGGCTGCGGGCAGGATCGGTGTGGATTGGGATGGCTCTGCCAGGATTTGTGGGCTTGTCTCAGCAAATCGACCAGGGGGGGGGCTGGCACATTGCCTGGGCCGACACGACCCCCGCCATCCCAGCCATCCGCAAGTTTGGAAGAGAGACGTTGGCAAGCAACAAAAGACTGGATAAAAACAGACGAAGGCAGAGAGACGGGAAGAGTGTGGCGAGGCCGATCCACCTTATCGCAGAGCTTCTTGACATCAGCCTCAGAGAGTTGCTTGCAGTTCATCAGGGTGTTGACCCAGACATCAACTTCGGGGTAGTGCTCCATTGCCGACGACGCCATGACTGATAGGGTGAACGAAAGAGCGTCTGCAGACGGGAATGCGCGGCAGCACAGCGCAGACAATGCGGGAAGACAGAAGAAGCCACAGGCTCGTTAGCTGTTGGCGTGCCATCCACCACTCCAAACGCAGATATCGGCGAGCGCGAAAACCAGCAACCAACAAGAAAGGGTGGACCGAGGACAGCATTGGTGATGATGCAGAGTGCAGCTGGCGGAGCACCGTGCGTCGAGCGGGCCGGGATAAACAATAACAGCGAGAGCGTCCAGGAGGGAGGCGGACGCGCATTTCGCCAGCAGATGCATCACCGATTCCCCCCCCCCAGCATTTGCGCGTGTGCGGCCGCAGGAGCCGTCGGGAACGTCAGGACCAAACGGCGGCACACCACCCTCTCAGAAATAGAACAGCGACCCTTCCCAAGACGCACAATAATGTCCTCTGGACGGCTGAGGGATGCGAAGGCGGGCGGATGTCCAGCGCAGATATACCTGATAGGGATCGGGATGATGGAGCAGGGGGGGAAATCGGCGGTGAGCTCGAAAAAGAAAACCCTCGAAGGCGGGCGACTGCAGCCGGATCGAGTGCGGCGGTGGCGCGGATCGAGCCGCGTGTGCGACGGCGCGGCCAGAAAAGGCAGGCGGCTGACAATGAAATTCATTCGTGGAGCGAGAGCAGGAGAGAGCGAGGGCGAGAGCGAGAGAGAGAGCGAGGGCGAGAGCGAGATGGACGAATCGCCCGTGGGAAAGCAGACAATGCAGGGCAGTCAATCCAAGGCAAAAGTGCTGTGTTGTTCACCACAACAGCGCATCGCACCGATCGAACCATTCCGGATGCACGCCGTCGGCACAACCGACCCTGTGATCCGGTCCCACGGCCGAGCGGTCGTGTGCCCGGCCGGCATTGCAGGGCTCATTACGGGGTGACATGAGCACCGCGGGCCCACCAGCCGCCAGCAGCTGTCGACCGGGTCATCTGCCTGGTCCGGTGCGATCCGGTGCGATCCGGTGCGATCCGGTGCGATCTGGTGTCGATCCCGGCCGATTCGGACATTCAATTCGCGCTCTCAGTTCACAAATCCCACAGGCAATGTCGACCGACAATGCCCACAAGCAAACTAGATTCGAAAAGCACACCGAGCCATGCGGATGATTCTTGGACCGTCCTCCAAGCGGCCTGTCCCCACCCGCCCTGACCTCTCCATCGCACCCGCTCTGGCACGACAATCTGCCACACACCCCGCCTTCCATCTGCTCCATCGCAGGCCTGCAACCCTCCATGTGCACCACGCCCGCCCCGCCAGCGCTCGCGTGACATTCATCTGGCCTGGCTCGGCTGATCCCCTTTGATCGTGATGCCTTTCCCTTTTTTCTTTCGCGCGTCTGCGTCCGGCCTTGCTCTTCTGTGCGTTCTTCTGCGTTCTTTGAATTCCTTGCATTGTATCGCATGGAGCTCCATTGCCCTGCCTTCCGTCGCTTGCGTGGCCCTGCCTTGCCGCGGCAGACACAACCTCAGAGGCACCACTCTGCTGTGCAGCACTGGCCTTGTGCGGGGATCCAACGAGCCAGCCGCCTGCCCCTGCTTGCCCCCAACGCCGCCGCCGACGTCGGTCTCACGTTTTTGTGGTCACGAGCGCCCTTGGACAACCGGCGTGGGCCTGTGTTCTGTCCCCAACAAGAGGGCCGTGGGTGGGGTTTCTGTCACCCGACCCGTGCGTGAGCGCGCCAGGGAAGACCGAATGCCCGACCTGTCGCTTGTTGCTGCCCAGCGCTTGTTCCCGCTGGCGCTTGTTCCGGATGCCAAGTGTTCTGTGCGTTTGCTTCTGTTCTGCAAGTTGTCTTCTATGTATTCTATGCGTTCTATGTGTTCTGCGTGTTCTGTTTATCAACATCCTGCATCTTCCATGGTCTCTGTCGTCTCCCTCCTGCCAGCAGCACATGCCTGATCCTCCTGCCTCAACATCCTAGTCCTCTCTCTCGCTCCCACCAACCGACGGCCCCCCAACACATGCTCCCACAGCACACCCCCCAGCAGCAACACCCCGGCAGCAGCACACCCGCGTTCCATCATGCGTTCGTCTCGCCTTCCCCGAGCCCCGCGCCTCTCGGTGTCCATGGAGCCTGGCTGCGCGGCATGCCTTTTCTTGTGGCCGTCACACGGCAGCGCTCTTGCACCCCTCGCCTGACCTTGCCTGTTCCACCATCGGTGCTTCTTGTTCTGCCCAGCATCGAGACCGGCGCACGGGGCCATCGCCAGCCGCCCTCCGTTGGATCGGGGCGGCGTCAAGCTGTATAAATAGCCCAACGCCGCTGCCATCCTGCTCCGTCGCCAGCCCAGGATCGCGGAAACGACCGCCCGTGCCCGCACCTCTCCTGTCGCCCTCGTCCTGCTGTCCTCTTCTTCGTTTCCTGCCTCGCGCCTGCCTCTTCGCTGCCACCGCCTCTGTCTCTGCCTCAGCCCTGCCGACCATGAAGCACTTCAAAGCCCTCCTGGTCCTGTCGCTCCTGCTGGCCTGCCTCACCAGCTTCTCGCTGGCCGCCCCCCTCGCCGCCGCCCTGTCGTGCCCCAACTGGGCCGTCGGTGCCACCTATAACATCGGTGACTGCGTTACTTATGGCGGGAACACCTGGATCTGTGCCATCCCGCACACTGCCATCGCTCCGTGGGCTCCCATCGCCGGCAACGCTCTCTGGACCCTGAACGGCCCTGCCACCAGCGTCGCCACCGCCACCACCACCACGACTACTACTACCACGACTACCCCTGCCCGCACCACCACCACCACCACCACTACCCCTGCTCGTACCACTACTACTACCACCAAGACTACCACCACCAAGCCCACCACTACCACCACCAAGCCCACCACTACCACCACCACTACTACTACTAAGCCTACCACCACTACTACCACCACCACCACCAAGACTACCACTACCACCACTACCACCAGCACCACCATCCCCACTGGCCTGCCCACTTGCGGCCAAGGTTGGGTCGAGATCTGGACCTACCCCGGCGACTCTCTCGTCAGCTACCTCAACATCAACTACATCAACAAGTACTACGCCAATGCCGGTGACTGGCCCAACAACTCCACCAACTGGGTCTCCCAGGGCCCTTGCAACCCCAACGGCATGCCCAGCGGTCCCCCCATCGATGGTATTCCCACCCTGGCCGAGGCTCAGCAATACGCTGCCTCGCTGACCAACTCGACCTACTTCCAGCAAGTCAAGGCCTCGATCGCCACCCGCGACAACTCCATCGTCAGCGCCGTCGCTCCCCTGAACCCCAGCAACCCTTCCAACGTCAAGCGTGTCGAACAGTACCTTCCCCTGAGCAAGTGGCAGTACTACTTTTCGGTCGCCGATCCCCTGTACACCTACACCGGCTTCCTCCAGGCCGTCGCCAAGTTCAGCGGCTTCTGCGGTGACTATACCGACGGCCGCGATGCCGATGCCCTCTGCAAGCGCTCGCTCGCCACCATGTTTGCCCACTTTGACCAGGAGACCGGCGGCCACAGTGTCGAGCAGTACGGCATCCCCGAGTGGCTCCAGGGCCTCGTTGCCGTTCGGGAGAATGGCTGCCCTGGCGGCGCCAGCTGCGGCTACAACAACGACTGTGTCGGCAACCCCTTCTGGAACAACGTCTGGACCTGTGGCAAGGACTCCTCTGGCAACTGGCTGCAGTACTTTGGCCGCGGTGCCAAGCAGCTCAGCTACTACTACAACTATGCCGCCTTCAGCGAAGTCCTCTATGGCGATGCCAACCTCCTGCTCGACAGCCCTGACAATGTCGCCACCACCTGGCTCAACCTGGCCTCGGCCGTGTTCTTCTTTGTCTACCCGCAGCCGCCCAAGCCCTCGATGCTGTTTGTCATTGACGGTACCTGGGTGCCCAACGCCGATGACATCTCGCGCGGCCTCGGCAACAACTTCCCCACCACCATCCAGATCATCAACAGCGAGTGCCAGGACTCGCCCACCAAGGCCGCCGCCCAGAACCGCATCAACTACTACCGCAACTTTACCGCCGATCTCAGCATCGACATCAGCCACGACAACATGGCCTGCGCCGGCATGGGTCTGTTCAGTTCCGCCAGCTCCGCTGCCATCTACATCTACTGGGACCAGTCCTCGACTCCCTACGAGTGTGAGCTGGTCAACTACCAGACCCCTTTCAACGGCCTGATCGATGGCCAGTACGTTGCTTGCGTCGAGCACTTCTGGGACGTCACGCTGAAGTAAATGCTCTCCATCCAGAGAAGACATGGCACGGTCCCTGCTTCTTTGCCCCTCCCCTATGAATGTGTGTCCGTCATGAATGTGTATGCATATATATGTGCGCCCCTATGAATGTATGTCCATATGAATGTGTATCTCGGCGAATGTGTGTGCCTATGCGCCCTCCCTCTAATGAATAACCGAAATTGGCTGTCTTGCCCTCCAACAAAGCCTCATTTTCCAGCCTGTTTCTGCGTCTGAATTGACTTGCCAAAGGCGATGGCTGTTTGAGCGAAAACCATCCGTCACAATGCCCCGATAATAGCTGCGGAGACTCTCATCCAGTGTGTACCCTGTCTGGCAGAGAGAATCGAGGGTGATTCTGGAGACCTGTCATCTTCGTTTGGAGGTTGCCCAACCACCATCGGGAAGACCGGCAGCCTTCCCAGCGCACCATTCCATCACCCACCACGGCTGCAGCTTCCTGTCCATTGGCATCTGCCCTCGCAACATCCCCCAAACTCTCTTCGTCGTCGCCGACCAGCCGACAGCAAACGGGCCTGACAGACGGAGCCTCGCCATTGGTGGGCGGGAGGATTGCCCCCTTGGCCTGCTCCCTTTCGTCCTCCGCACCAGCCCGGCTGGTTTCTCTGCATCTCGGCCATTTCTGTCTCTGGAGACCTTTGCCAAACCATCGCTCCTCCCTCCCTTCTTCCTCACACCGCAGATCTGTTTCTACCCTGAGCGCCCGCCATGGACGAGGGACTGCTCTCCGCCATCAAGTTCTGGCAGAGTAAGGCCAAGGCTCTTCCCCATCCCAGGACATTTTCCGCGGTCGCTTCTTGCCCGAGTTTTGCCTCTTGATCGTGCTGCCCTCCCTTCGTCGCAAGAGCCGCCTCCAACATATCGGGAACGGACATGTTCTCAGTTTTATCTGCCTCTGTCTCCCGAAAGCCCTTCTATTCGATGGAGAACAGTCCGATTGCCTCACAGCTGATCGATCAAGGCCAGAGTTACTGACCTCTGGTTCCCCTCGCGACGGCTTTGCTCTTCTTTCCTCCTCTCCACACCTGCCGTCACCACGATATCCTCCACCACGTCATTCGCCAACGTATCCAACATCAACAATCCACGTCATCGACGATCTGTGCAAATATGCCGCCCCTATCCTTTGGCGCGACGGATCTTGGATTGTGCTGTGGGGATAGATGCCAATCTCTCGAAGCTACAGCGCGAGCTCGACGAGCAGGGCCTGGAGATTGTCGAGAACCAGAAAGAAGGCCTCGCCAGCCGCAAGAAGCTTGCCGAGCAGACCAAAGGTATCGACATCGGCATCGCCATCGATGTAGTTCTGGGCGGCGGCCCGTTTCTCGGTCATGGATTCGTCTGGCTGCATATCCCAGCGGGGTTCCCGGCCGAGTCAGCCGACGGTGATTGATGTCCGTTGTTGCGGGATAGCCATGGTGATAGATGAAAAGAGAGGGAGATTGAACCGAATGTCAGCTGTCTCCAACAGGTAGCCACTGATTCGTCTCGCTGCCTCTCACTCCCTGGATCAACCCGATGCAATGGAACGACCATGAATCGACCGGGCATTTGGCTGGCATCACAGACTTCAAACGACTGCCTGACGACGAGAAGCAGAAAGAGTTCAAGAACCTACTCAAGGGCTATCAGTCCGAAATCGATTGCATCACAAAGCGGACCAAGGCGGCCGAGACGGCTTTCTTGAGCCTCTACAAGCTGCTGGCGGATGCACCGGATCCAGCCCCGCTCATCAGCGGCGTGGCGGTGAGTGGTGTGCAAACAAGTCTCTGGTGACAACAGCGTCAGCCATCCGCCCGTCGCCAACCCGGCCAGGCGATCCTTGACCAACTCGCACAGCGCCGAATCATGGCTCTGTTGGATGGGGCCGCTTTGCTCATGCGCCTCCTTTTCGCCCTTGATTACACCGCGCCATCGTCCTCCAGGAGCATGCCTCCAAGATCAACGACTTTAACTCGCTCCAGATCGAAAACGAAAAGCTGCGCGAGGAGCTGGCGGCGGCGAACGCACAGACAGCAGCCCTCAAGTCGTCCGAGGCCAACGCCCAGGCTCTGAAGCAACGCCTCAGCAAGTACGAGGCCAAGGTAGGCGACCCACAATCGACAGCTGCAATTCAAGGTGGCTTCAAAGCCACAGGATGGATAGCGGTGATGGTGATGGTGATGGTGATGGTGATGGTGATGGTGATGGTGATGGTGATGGTGATGGTGATGGTGATGGTGATGGTGATGGTGATGGTGATGGTGATGGTGATGGTGATGGTGATGGTGATGGTGATGGTGATGGTGATGGTGATGGTGATGGTGATGGTGATGGTGATGGTGATGGTGATGGTGATGGTGATGGTGATGGTGATGGTGATGGTGATGGTGATGATAGAAAGACCGCAACGATTAACATTCTTCCTCCTTCGACACCGACACCGACACCGACACCGACACCGACACCGACACCGACACCGACACCGACACCGACACCGACACCGACACCGACTTGTCCCGTGGCGAGAAGCTCGACGAGATGGTTCTGGAGAAGGTCACGCAGAAAGAAAACGAGATGAAGCAGTTCCTGGACGAGAAGATCAGGATCTACAAGGAGACGTAAGCAGCGAGTCTTGAGACGCTTTCCAAAGAAGCGTGGCCTTATTCGTTCCTCTGCATTGAGGCAGCTGCCACTTGCAGCCACACCGACGACCCTGCTTCATTTCGAGAAACAGCGCGGCTGACCACGATTCGGCCTGGCCCTTTGTCCTGTATGATCCTGTTCCTTTCGCTCCGCGCGTCGGCAGTGAATATTCACTGCAGCGCCAGCTAAACCAGTCCAAGGATCTCGTGCTGAAGCTCCAGAGCACCAACAACCAGACTCAGGCGCTGCTCGTCGACCACTCGCAGAAATACGGTATGGCCAGCGGTCTTGTGCCTCCGGCCTGGATTGTCGTGCGTTTGGCCGGGAGTAGCAGTGCTCTATCGCAGCCGGTGCACTAGCAGCCCGCACGGAACTTGTCTCGACTCCAAGATTAAGTTGTTCTCGATACCCCTCACACTGACAGACAACGAAATCGCGCTGAAGCTTGGCGAGCTTGAGATCTGTCTGATGGATCTGGAGCGTGCCAACCTCAAAAATGCACAGCTGGAGCGCGATAATGTGAGCGCCATCAAAAAAGATTCAGTCGTGCGGATGGACAGGTTGACTGGCGGTCAGACGAGTGCTGACGTGATTCTGGTCCGTCTGTGATTGTTCCATCGCAGGAAAATCTCCTTCAAGAGCTTCAGGATCTCCGTGGCACCGACGGGGAGACGAGCGATCTTCGAGAAGCCGAGTACGATCTTGTCTCGATTGTGGTGGTTGGATGGGTTACATGGGGACATGCCGACGTCGTATTGCGTTTATAGCTTGGCCGCATCGTTGCTGGCTTCTGTGTCTCTCCTTGCTGATCACTGGCAGTTTGCCGCTCACCTGCTTCAATATGGGCTGCACTCCGTGTCTTTCACTGGCCCTCCGAGCATATCCATGGTCGCGCGCTATGGATCGGGCGGGAGGTATTAACTCGACTGCTTGTCCCGTTCCCAGATCGTCTTTCAAGACTCGGGTTGAATCGCAAGAGGTGCGACGCAATCATCCTCCCTGTGAGAGGACCTCTGGATAATGTCGTATTTGCTGGCTTTATTTGCGGATCCTGTGTCCCGCTGCCCCCGGGCAATCGCAGCACCAGTCAGAATCTCATTGCGCCTGTTCCTCATCCGTCGTGACAGACCGAGCTTGCTCGTCTCCGAAGCGAAGGCGAAAAACTCCAGAGTGCACTTGCTCAGACGGAGCAACAGTCGTCCGCACGCATCGCCAAGCTCGAGCGCGACTGCAAAATCGCCGTGATGGAGGCATCGACGCTGCGCAACAGGCTCAGCGAGATGGAAGACTATGAGGAGATCAAGAAGGAGTTGGAGGTGATGAAGGTAAGATGGCCACGGGTGGCTCCTCGGGTCTCGTCATCCAGCGCGACTGCGTTTTGAGTGCGCACGGAGGACTAACACAACTCCCGTCAAATGACACATTCCCACCTTTCATCGCATATTGTCCCATTCCACCCGTCTTGTTGCATCGAATCATCATAGTTTATAGAGTTCTCGAGTGTTGTTCGAAGTTCGGATAGTCCCGACGACATTGACGTGTCCGCCCTGGGCGAGTATTCGCTCGAGAAGCTGATGTTGGAAAAGAACAGGCGCATGCAAGTCGAGTTGACGGACGCCAAGGTAGCCATCGATCCATCCAGCTTTCTGACCCAGAGATGCAGAAACCTGGATCGACCCCAAACGACGAGCTCATTGCATAGTGAACTGCATCCGTGGTGGATGTCGTCCCGACCACAACGGCCATCCGATGCTAACTGAACAAACGCTTTGGCAGGTGCTGATCAGCGAGCTCCAGACCCAGACCGCTGAGTTACAGCGCAACCTCATCGCCAGGACAGACACTGTCGAGCAGCAACGCCAGTTGATCCACCAGCTTGAAGACGACATCCATCGCCTCAACGTCCACTCCGGCGCATCTCGAAAGGTCCCGACGAGCCCAACGGTAAGCTGCGGCCTCGACCAGACGCTGACACGGATCGGTTGACTGGCGGCAACAGACTCGATACAGTTGGCCCGCCAGATCGATGATGGCAAACCGTCGTGGGCTTGCCGGCATTATCGCTTACTTGGCTGACGATATCTCAACAGGACGGCCTGGCAGAGCTCATATCATCTCGGTCATTTGCTGGAGGAGCAGCGTCCCCACCAAGCACACCCACGCTGGAATCGAGCGGTTCAGGCTCAATCATTCCGATCCTGACGAGCCAGCGCGATCGATACCGCCAAAAGAATGTGGAACTGGAAGAGGTGCGCCGTGCCGGATTATCGGATGGATGACTTGGCAATCGGTGGCCCTGCTGCGTGTGAATGGATATGCGATTCGCACTGGCACTGGTTCGTTGTCTCTGTGGTGCGCTGCACTTTGCCTCGGCATTGATTTGGTATGTGCGCGCTCACTCGGGATTCTGGCTGTCCAAACAGACGATCCGGACTTTGAACGTCACGCTCTCGCAGCTCCAGAGCCAGGTCGAGACCCTCAAGAGCGACAATGTCAAGCTCTATGAAAAGCTCCGATACACCGAGTCGTACTCTGAGCATCGCAGCCGGGTAAGTCCTGTGATCTTGTCCGCGCCGTGCACTGCGCTCCGTTGGTTCTCATCGTCTGGCCCCATCGCTCCGAAATCAACCAGGGTGGCCACGCAGCGATCGATATGGAGCTGACGGGGCTCCATAGCCGAGGAAACGACGTCGCAGCCAAGTACAAGCCCATCTACGAAGGCAATCTCGATCCCTTCCAGCGATTCCACAAGCAGGAGGAGGCCAAGCGGATGAACTCGCTCAATCCGATCGAAAAGCTGATGCTGCAGATCAGTCGCCTCATCCTGGCGAGCAAATACGCTCGGTGGATATTCCTGGCCTACTGCGCCCTGCTCCACATGCTCGTGATGATGATCCTCTACCGGCTTTCTGTCAACAGCTCTGCGACCGAGTGCAGCCATGGTAATGCACTGTCGATTGCTGCCGAAGCAACGCGTTGGCCTTCCGGTGGATGGGCCGGCCAACTTGCCGCGACGGCGTGGGTGTGGGTGTCGCTGGAAAGGCCTCCGATCCAACGGCTGGGTCTTGTGTGTTAACATGCATCCTCTGCGGCTTGCTTCCACCAGAGCACGAATGGGCAGACTACCAAGAGTTTTTGAGGTCCCAAAACAAGACGATCTTATCCTAGAGTCTCTCGCCAGACACGAAAGTGCCCATGGCAATGGCAAATAGAACACTACCATGTGTTGGCGGAATGGACACGGACCATGGAGACGACGGGCGATGCAGTGCGACGGGGTGCGACGGGGTGCGATGCGCATCTGTTGAATCTGTCGTGTCGACGGTGCTGCTTTCGCTCGAACGAGCAGCGGTGCGCATCTGATATTTCGGCCTCCATGCTTCCGACCAGAGGCATGCATGTCACTGCGAATCATCCCAGCCCGCCACCGCGGACCATTCGGGTTGGCCGCCGGCCCCCGCCCTGTGCGCCCTTGCTCGCGCTGGCCCACCACCGCAGCGGCCATTCCTTATTTTTCGGTCGCCAGCCTTTCGCCCGCCCTCCTCATCCCGCATCCCGCATCCTGCTCTTTCTGCTTGCCTCATCCAGGTCTCCTCAGGTCTCCTCAGCTTCCTCTAACGGTAAGACCTCGTTCGCAGTGTCGCCCCGGGATGTCCACATGCCTCGTCCACACATGGCCAGGCATAGGGTCCAACGGGGTGCGTGTGGATGAGCTGTCTCCCGTTCCTCGTCCGGCCAGAGGGCAGTGGATATCCCGGACTATGGCAGCCGTATTGCTCGCTATCCACCTCTGTGGGCTGGTGATTGAGCCCCTGGTTGGCCGTCTGACATACCCGGTGGCTTGGTCGATGGACGAGCCTCTGTGGTATCATGAAGGCCCTGGCTAGCATCCTGGCTAACATCCTGGCTAACATCCTGGCCCATGCTGTCTCCCGACCCGGCCCAGCAGGTTTTTCCATCAAACTCATCCATCATGATCGCTGACTACGAGCACAAGTTCCCCAACTACAGTATGGATTCGCTCTGCGCGGCGCCGTTTATTAGTGTCGTGGTCGAGGGGCGACACAGGCCTGCGTCTCGGTTGTCCTGATCTCGCCTGGACAATTACAAGCCCGGGGTCAAGGATTCCTTCTGCCCACCACCCACCACCCACCACCACAACGTCGAGAGCCTAACCAACCCTCGCTGCGTACCGCTATCCGCAATAGCTGCCCGCCACGGCGTCATCATCCTCAACTCGGTCCTCCTGGCTCTGGCCATCTGGAAACTGATCAGCTTCTTCATTTACATGTGGGTTTGCCGGCTTTCGTGGATATCGCTCTCGTGCCTCTGGAATATGCGCGCTGGATGATGCCCTTGCAGTATGCGTTGGTTCTGCGATGACCATCGATCTTGGCCCGTTATATTCATCTGTTTCTGCCTCGCCTTCTTTCCACGGCGCTTCGACGGCCCACACAGCCCCGTTGGCGCCTACTTCATCGTCGGTGTCATCCTGGCGATCATCTCGGTCCTCCTCTACGGATACGGCCAGTTTGGTCTGGTATGTGCATCGCTCACCCATGGATTGGGCGGCGCGTCGATTGCCGTTGATGCCGATAGATGACGTTCGCGTATCCTGTTGCCGCTGGTGTGGTGTTGTGGTGTCCACTATCTAATTCGATCGTTTGCGACTTTGGTGCTTATTCCAGATGACCGTAAGTCGCCAGTGTCCCATCCGCCGATGTTTGTGCAGCCGTTTGTTGCATTCTGTTGACGCCGGGGATATTCTTGCCCTGACGCTTGCAATGACTCTTTCCGTGACTGCAGAACAACCTCCGCGCCATCAAGTCCCTCTCGATTTGGTACTTTGTGGTCACCGGTAAGCATCGCTGGCCGGGGTGTAAGGTCGATATGCCACCTGCATCGCTGCTGGTCTGGTGGTCGAGAATGCTGACAGCATTGTATCTGTCGGCACGACAGTCCTGCTCTTCATCGTGGCCATCATTTCGCTCAACGCCGGCTACATCATCGACGGCCTGCTTTCGGTCCTCCTCAACGTGTTCTACTCGCTGCACTTGCACGCCTACTACAAGAGCCTCGCCAACGGCGTTGCTCTGGTCTAAGCGGCCGGCCTGGTCCAAGCGACTGGCTCGAAAGCCATCGTATTCTCCCTGGTGCGGCTATGCCAAGGGGTGCCCCCAATCCATCGATGGCCGTGCTGCACCTTCCACATCCACGTCTCTGCATGTTCCCATTCCATTTGTGAACCCATCTTGCTTCCCATGCATTCTATGCCACCACCCATTCCACCAGGCAGCGATGCATGCCCTGCTTTTTGTCTGAGTTTGTCGCCGCAATTGGGTCGCAAAAGAAATCCCTTCTCACTGCCATGACTATCGCGAAGGAGGTGCTGTGTTCTGCTCTGCAGCTGCCAAGTGCTTGTCGCCCCCCCGTCCTGAGCCCTGAAGCCCCACATGTCCAGACGACATGGAATCGCGATGCCGACGCAGCCAAGCGACAGCCGGGCTTCATGTGCGCTGTATGGAGCATCTGGACCCAAGGCAGGAGCAAGCAGCCCAGGGCCAGACGGAATCTGGCAGAAACGCCTCCGCTGCTCGCTTGTTGGGTCTGGGTGGCTTTCCGAGACAAGGCAAGTTGGTGCACCTTTTTTTCTTTTCGTCTTTTCATGCCCGAACCAGTGCCAAGCCTGCCGCTGTTGCTGCACAGAATCACCCACAGGAGCAAGATCGCTTGGACACCATCGCTTGCAGATCATCAATCGCCCATTATCGATTGCAGAGCGTCCATCGCCCATTATCGATTGCAGAGCGTCCATTGCATATCATCGCTTGGACATTGTCAGCCGAGACGGCAGCTGGCGGTCCCAGCACCAACCGCAGCCCAGCAAACAGACCAGCACGGCACGCCGCAGCGAGTACATACAACCGCCAGCCACGCCGTCCCCGCGGCAGCGCGCAATATCCGATAGGCCCGTTGGTGGTCATGCCCGCCGACACGCACGCCGCGTGCCCTTGCGCGAACAGACCCGTCGCAGCCACCGGGCCAGTTCGGGCCGTCGGTGGGGTGCGCGGGCGGCGGATCGTGCGCGGCTGCGTCCAAGGCCGACGCACATTGTGTCCTCCGAGCACAGCGCCACCTGTCTGGCCAGCGACAACAATATTAGTAGCAGTTCAAGTCGCAGTTGCAGTCGCAGCTGCAGTTGCAATTCAAGTTCAAGTTGGGTTTGTGCTTGCATTTGCAGTTCCACAGTCCGCAGCAGCGCCCGTTGCGATTGTCTTTTCTGTCGGCCACACGGCCTTCGCTCCCAAACAGACCCGTTCTTGTCTTGGCCTCGTTTTGGTGCCCGGCCGTCCCTTTAAATGCCGCTGTTCTCCCTCCCCTCCCCCTTGCCCGCCATCTCTCGCCGTCTTTTGCCGTCGCCGCACTCTCCGAACCATTTCGCCCACCTCTTAGCCCTTAGCAAACCACATTCGCCATGATCGCCGACTACGAGCACAAGTTCCCCAACTACAGTAGGTGTCCTGGCTGGCTGGCTGGCCGGCCGTCGTCTGCTGTCCGCTCGCATATTGTCCCTGGTTCGCAAGCGTCGCTGCGACTGCGGCTGCAAAGCACCGCTGTCCAGATCTCCCCGTTGCCCTCCAGGCACAACCAGCTAACAACCAAACCTCTCCCTGTCCATGCAACCCCCAGCCTCCCGCCACGGTATCATCATCCTCAACACCGTGCTGCTCATCACCGCCATCTGGCAGCTCATCTTCGTCTTTGTTGCCTAGTACGTTGTCGCCTGCGTGTTCCCTGGTCTTGGAGAAGGCGAGATCTATCGGCTCCCGTCGCCACGGTCTTCTTCAGCCCAGCCCGCTTCTTGCTGGCTTTATTTGCCGGACCGAGGCACCACCGTCCATCTACGCCTTCTCGCCGAACTGCACCAGCCAACTGACCCAATCCCTCACCTGTGCATCCTCAGCCTCGGCGTTGCTAGCATCATCTCTGCCATCCTGAGCATCATCACCGTCCTTGCCCTCGGCTATGGCGAATACGGCCTCGTAAGTACACATGGCCTGTCCTCGTGCAGAACTGTGTCCTCGGCACCGGGGGTCTGCTGCGCGAACAGACGATATGCGTCCGTGAGCTCTCGCTAACGCCTGCCTCTGTCTTGTTCGTCTCATCTCCCCAATAGTTCACCGTACGTAGATCTCTACAAACCTTGTCTGCAGGCTGCGTTGACCCCCTTGCTTGCACCGAATGTCTTGCGCTCGTTGCGACTGCCTGTCCGTCTCTGCCGAGTCGCGGACCGTGCGTTGCTTGTGCTCACCCTGTAATCTGTCTCCACCCAGAACAACCTCCCCGCTGTCAAGCTCCTGTCGATCTGGTACTTCATCTCCGTCAGTACGTATCGCCATATCCAGGTCCTTCGCCCATGCAAACATCGTCGCCGACACGCGCGCTATCACTGACACTAACCAACGGCTTTGACCTCCACCGTCCACAGTTGTCCAAATCATTGTTGCCATCCTCACCCTGAACGCCTTCTACATTGTCCAGGGCCTCCTCGGCGCTGCCCTCACCGCCTTCTACGCCCTCCACGTGCACGCTTGGTACAAGAGCCAGGTCACCGGCACCTCGATGGTCTAAGACCCGAGCTTGCCCGGACTTCTGGCTGCACCACCCACTCCCTGTTCTCCTTTCATGCCTTGATCTTTTCTTGATCGCCACTGCCTACCTGTCTGTCTTGTCAACAACTTCTGTGAGCTGTGTGTCGTTCTTGTTCCGCTTTCTTTTTTCTTCCACCAAATCACAACAACAAAATCCACGCCCTTCCACAAACCATGTTTCTTTAGACCCCACCACGTTCACTGAGCGAGCCCTGTACCCTGCGTCGATCGATCCCATCTCAATAGATGCAGTGTTCCTGGCCCAAATGCAACACACCGCGCAACACAGTGGCAGCACCCATGGCTGTCATCCAGTGGCAGCAGCCCAGCCAGTCGTTGGATTCCTGAGCGGGGTGGTGGTGTACAACTCGGCTTGATTTGATCATGATGGCAAGTCCCGAACAGCAAGTGATATCCATTGGACCCAGCTCCCTCCGTCTGTTGCATGATCTCCAACTCCTCTGTCTGTTGCGCATCCCCCACTCCCCCGGCCTCTGCATCCAATCCGCTCCCGCTCTCCAATCACACCGCCCGAGCACGAGCGATTGTTTTGCTGCTTTTCTCTTGTTCTTTGGCGCCCCTTCCTATCGACGATCCACACTTCCAATCACTGCGTTCTCCCCCAACCCTCAAACCCAATAACAATCCTCTCGGAGACTGTCTGCAATTTTATGGCCAGACCTGCCTCTGCGTTCGCTCCCTGGCCGCCGCCTCTTCTGCTCGCCTCAGTCACCTCGGGTTTGTCTTGCACCGTTCCGCGCCCTTCCAAAGGTCGGCTGTCGTTCTGTCGCCTGGAGTGTCACTCCCTCGATTTCCCACACCTCGCTTTTGCCTTTTTCTTGCCGTTGCTCCTCGTATTAACAACCTCTTGTGTGTGCACCTGCATTCCCGGTCTATTTGATCCCGTGTTGCCAGCCCGATTGTTGCCATGACCCACTACATCGTTGGCCTCGACCTCACGGACGATTCGTCGTACGCCCTCTCGTGGGCCTACAAGAACCTCTTCAACGACAGCGATTTGGTCACTGTCGTGACGGTGCTGCCGGGCTGGACGGCCGAGGCCGACATCGACCCGGTCTCGCCCTCCAAGTACACCCCCGAGATGATCCAGGACGAGGCCCTGGCCACCGAGCGTGCCCGCAACATCGTCCTCGAGATGGAGAAGACCCACACCGAGAAGCACGTCGAGGCTTACTTCCGCGTCATCCATGCCGACAGAGATCCCAAGGAGGCCCTCTGCAACGTCGTAAGTATGGTGTGACTGTGCGTTTGCTACGCTGGTGCGGGAGGGACTCGGCATTGGGCAGCGGGGTGGTTTGAGACCAAGTCCTGACATATCGTCGGCACTTTCCTGATGTCCAACCCGACCCCAACTGACTTCTACTCCCTTCACTCCCTTCACTCCCATCACTCTCACTTCACCCGCACACTGCGCGCAGGCCGTCAACCTCAAGGGACACACCCTGGTCATCGGCCACGGCCTTAACAAGAACTCTGGCTTTGGCCAGTGGGTCTTGGACCACTCCCGCATCCCGGTCGTTGTCGTCCGCCCAACCCATCTCGAGATCTAAACTTCCAAGGAAAACAAGCCCCCAACACGAATACCCTCGCGAAGCCAACCCTCCTCCCTTCCAGTTGCTCCATGCGCTCGGATGTCCTGCCCCTTCCTACCTCGTCCCCATTCTGTTTCTCCGAATCGATACCGTGCGAACAATACAAATCGTTTCCGTAGAAGCAGATCTGATTGGATCCGCTCAGTTATCTCCTTTGTGGAAGTATGTTTGTCGGATGTATCGCCGTCCATCTCTCGCCATCGCCGTCCATCTCTCCGCCATCGCCGTCCATCTTGCCATCACTCTTCCGCTTCGAATGGCAGTGCGGGACTCGGTAGACTGTTGCGATTGGGGGGGTCAATTACATTTCCCAGAGGGTGTCTGCTCTAGTCTGCCGGTCACCAGAGTGGTCATCATTACAGCGGGTGTGAGTGGGAGATGAGGAAGAGTACAAACGGAGGGAGGGAGAGAGGGAGAGATGAGAAAGTAAGGAAGGGGAGGAGATGGGACACGGGAGGGAGCAACGAGTGCTCTGGGCACTTTTGCGATCTTTGCCATCAGCCTGCCCGACGCTTCGCGCCAGATCCAAAAGCTCGCTAGGAGCCCCTTGGTCTAGTGTGAGCAGCCAGGACCGTGCTGGTGTCCGTGGCCGTGGTTGATGGTCGCGGGCGGCTCGTCATCCTCCTCGTCCGAGGAGTCGTCAAACTCGCCCTTGGGCTCTTTGGGGGCGTTGTTGGAGCCGGCGCTCGGGCCCTTCTTGAGCTGCTGCATCTGACCGGCGATCGAGTCCTCGTCGGGCTCCGAGATGTCGTCCTCGATCTCTTCCTCCTCGGCGTCCTCGGAGACATGCAGGGTGATCTCGATGGTGCCATCGCATCCAATGTACGAGTCCGACTTGACTTGGATGGTGAATGTCATAGAGCCGGCCCGAGGAGGAGCCTGGAACTGCAGGCGAGCCTGTGAGAGAACAGAGAGGGAGGAGTTTGAGGTTAACCTCGATCAACAGGGCGAAACGCGGCTGCGCAATCGCAGAGTAGATATTACGACAAAAGGCGTATGGCGCGAATGCCGAGACAGTCGCTGCCGCAGCTTTTCGATCACAATCGCTCGGGACCCCATGCTCGCAAGGAAGGCCACTCGGTCGGTATTACCTTGCCGGGGTTGGTGAGGGACAGGTCGGTAACCTTGGCCATGCAGATAAGGCGGTTGTGCTTGGCATCTCCCATGATAACCCACCAGACGGGCTTCTTGTCCTGTGGTATTGAGAAGCAGGCAAGCCAATCGACACCCACAAACATCATGGTCAGAGAGGGATTGATGCATCTATGCTTTTTATGGCGATCCGGTGCAATACATCCACGGCCGAGCAAGCGTGCTGCACCCGACAACGATATGCCATTGCCTCGCATGCGAGTGAGGCAGAAGACTTACCGCGGGGAAATAAGGGGCGTGTACACTCTCGACCTGGGACGTCTGGCTGGCCCACCACTCCTTCTTGACCTCGGCCTCGTCCTCTTCGCTGACGTCGGTGCTGATGATCGGGCCAGTCTTCTTCTCGAGCTGCAGTCCTTCGAGGTCAAGTAGGTTGAGCTCGACAAACAGGGTCACAAGCGATCCAGGGGTAACACGGTCCTCGCCAACGACCTTGAATCCGGCCTTGGTGATCTGCAGCTGGGGATACTGGAGGGAGACGGTCATGAGCTCCTTGTATTGGTCATCGGAGAGGGAACGGAGGAGATCACTGAGATGGCAATGTGAACCGACAGAGGCTTGTTAGTATGAGGAGAGAGCGTGCTCACTCGATGGACAGTAGCATCGGAGAAACAGGTGCATAATCGGCAGCACAATCGGCGGCACAATCGGCGGCACATACCGGCGCTCGGACTCCTCGAGACAGAGCAGCTGGCGGATGAAACGAATGTCGCGCTTCTTGGTGGTGAAGTGCTTGAGCTGCTCAGAGTCCAGGTGCGGCAGCTGCAGCAGGGCGGCGTTGGGCTCGGCAGGCATCTGCGCCTGGATGACGCCCTGGCCGAGCTCGATGATGGCCAGAGAGGAAGCAAGCCAGTTGCGGGCAACAGAGAGCTGAAGCAGCCCCGTCAAGAGATGCGGGACCTGCTCGACAACCTCGGTTTGCTCTGGATGCAAGAGGAGCGCGGTCAGCATTGTGCTTGCCGATCGCTCAAGTGGCAGGCGACCCAGGCCAGCGGCGAGTTTGACATCACGACTTACGTTTGAGCAGGGCGGCATCGGTGATCTCGATGTGGTAGAGATAGGCGATCAGGAGGACGCTGGCACGTTGGCACCAGGGGGCAATGTTGTTGTACTGGGCGACGGAAGAACCCCCACGCAGTGTGAGCCACGGCAAAGACTCAATGGCAACAGCAAGCGACGGTGTTGCACATGGTCATCGTCATATTCGCAGCAGTGCCGACTTACGCGCTTGACTCTTGCGAAGGGATCGCCGTGGGCAGCCATGGTCTGGCGAACCTTCTCCTCAAGCTGCAAGGAGACAACGAGAACAAGCGAGGAAGGGTCAGTAAGGAGGTCCAGCAGCGGTACAAGCAACCAGCACATGGCGAGTGCGCTGTGGCGGATAGATATTTACCTGGGTGTACGCCGGTGTGGCATCCAGGGACAGACTGCTGAACTCTTCGGCAATGCAGAGCAGCTCGATAACGGCTGCGCGGAGCAACGAACATGTTGCAGTGAGTAACCGAGCGCAAGAACAAACACAATATTCAATCAAAACCAATAGCCGCAGCTTCCTCGATCCACCCACGAGGGCACCCAGCACTTGCAGACCGCCCGCACGCCTCTCTGGGCACATACACTTGGCCGGAAGGACCTCCTTGAGCTCGCGGAAGTATCGGGCCATGGTATCGTTGAGAATCTTGTCCTTGGTCATGTGCTTGGCGCCGTTCCACCATTGGTACTGATAACAAACCAACCCACGAGTGAGAACGATGGCTGAGCTGCAAAGGCGAGCCGGATCCCACTTCGCACCCCCGAGACGCCATCCCGCAAGCATCCAACTGGGCAACAAGTGCCAAACGAGTCCTTCGTCCCAGCAGGCTACAAGACATGGTCGCAGCGAGCAGCCGCTGATGCCCAATACATACCACAAAGTACGGGAGAGCACCCATGAAGACGAGGGCATAGGCACCGAGGACCTGTGACAGACACAACGGATCAGAAACATGCATCCGGGGACGCATGCCACCATAGAGCTGACCCGAGATACACTTACCCAGGAGGTGTTGCCCTCCTTGACGAGCCACTGAGGCAGGGCGATACCAGCAGAGAACGCTGAGGAGCGCGGCGCAGGCAGATAAGAGTCTGTTAGCAAGAAGGCTCGCCGAGAATGATATGCTTTGTGAGCCGGCGATAGAGCACCACACAGTCACATACCCTGCTTGCCGTCGGGATGGCCCCATTCGTCGAAAATTTCTCTGGCCTCCTTATCGGTGAGTCTGCATCGGGTCCAAGCAACAAAGTATCAGTGTCGGATCCATGTGAGTTTTTGGCTCGGCATGTGTGTGCATGCTGCAAGCAAGCGAATGACATCAAGGCAGTGTCATCCATCCATGCTTGGCTCGTCGCATCGCCAGCCGCCAGTCGGCTGTGCTCAGTCGATGAGAGGATGCAGCCCAGGGATCGGGTGCACCGCATCGTCCTCGCTTTGCAGCTCGCGATGTCGCCTTTCCCCTCCCCCCATGCCAAGCTGCCTGATTGAATATGCATCGATCGCAGACTCGTGATTTGCGCCAATCGTGCGAATGCCACCTCGACCGAGTGCAGGCCGAGACAGTGCCTGATCAAACGTACACTTTGTGGGCCTTGGTCATGTCAATCCAGAGCTTCTCATACTCGTCCTCCTTGCCGATGGGGGCCTTGTCGGGGTGATAGACACGGCCGAGGTCGCGGTAGGCCTTCTTGATTGCCGAGCTGGTGGAATCGGTGGAGACGCCGAGGATCTCATAGGGATCCCATCGCTTCTGGTCGGCGTACTGGGTGGTGAAGAGGGTGTAGGCGACATAGCCAAAGAGGAGCCAGGCCAGGACAAAGAGGATGGTGTTGGCCGACAGGACCGGGTGCGATTTCTTCTCTTGCTTGCGAACGAGAGCCCGCTTCTTCTGGCACGGGATGCACGAGCAGGAGCCCAGATGGTTGGCGGGGGTGCGCGGACCAAACAAGAACGAGGCCGTCCAGGGGATCAGGATGAGGGCCAGGAACGAGAGCAGAAAGTAGTTGAAGGTGGCGCCGGTGGAGTCATAGTCGTAGGAGCCCATGGTGGCGATGGACGGGTGCGGGACGCTTGGAGCCGGGGGTGGTCGAGCTTGGAAGTCAGCAGCAGCAGTTCCGGCGATGAGAGGCTGGATGCAGCGATTGGCACAGGGCGGCGCGGATTCCGCAGGAGATCAAGCCAAGGGGAGTCTTGCAGCAAGCCGGACGGCACGAGACAGCGAGCAGGCAGCGAGCGAGCAGCGGGGATCTACGGGAGTCGGGCGGCGGCAGCAGCCAGAGCAGATCGGCAGATGGCGGCGATAGATAATCCCATCGACAAACCCGACGAAGATACCCCCAAAGCCGATCCAAAACGACGATCGACAAGCGAGGGCGCTGCCGAGGAGCGAGAGCGCCGCCGAGAGCGACGGCGAGAAGGCCAGTGTTACGTAAGCATCCTCGCAAACGACATGGAGCACGGCGATTGGCTCGCTGGGCTGGCTGGATCCAGGCTGGTTGGCTCGGCTGGATCCAAGCTGGTCGGCTCGGCTGGATCCAGGCTGGTCGGCTCGATTCATGCTCTCACACCCATGCTCACATTGTCGGGAAGCCAAGCGACTCGAGAAGGTCGAGCATCTTGATATCGAGAAACCATGGAACTGTCCAGAGAGTGGAGTGGATGCACTACACAGAGAAATTGCCAACCAGGACGGGAAACAATCTCACAGCTTGCTCACTGGGGCCTACAGTCAGTCAGCGGCTTTCAGACCTCTGAAGCCAGGAAGGAACTGTCCCGTTTCTTTCTGGATAGACTGTACACATCCACAACATTGTATTCGCATCTTTGCAGGCCACGCCATCGGCTAGTACCAGAACCGCGCAAGCCAGGCCAAGGCCGACTGGTATGTCGTCAAGCCCTGTGGTTCGGCTGCCCCGTTTCTCTCTCCAAGTGCGCCGCGGCTCTCCCGGGCCTGGCGGTGCTGCTCGATCTGGTGTTCGTTCAGCCAGAGACCATGGAATCCATATGGCACTCGGCCCGGGAGCAAGTATCGGCACACCCGCTTCATCGACCGGGCATCGACAATGTCGAGGTAGCTCACCAGCACCTCCTTGTTGCAGACGTATCCGACGAGGTATCCGCTGTCCGGGGCCATGCCGCTTCCCTGCGGCACGAACGACATCTCGCCGCCCTGCTCTCCCTCGCCAAACCAGTACGATGCTTCGACGCTGGATGTATCGCAGTCAATCTTGTGAACGCCACCGGGCTGGGTTTCCGAGGCGAGTCCGGTGCTATAAATGTACCTGCACTTGCGAGTAAAATACTCGGGATTGACGACCGGAAAGTCCACAGCATAGTCGCAATCCTGGTCCATCAGATTCCGTCGCTGGACAGCGCCGGTGGCGAGATTGAATCGCCACTCGACGACAATGGCCCGGCGTCGGCGCCGGTTCTCATACTCGATCTTGGCATTGTTCTCGAGGACAGGGCCGTCGGGGTAGCGGCATCCCTGCAGCACCACCTCGTCGCCATCTTCGTAGGCGTTGGCGGTGTGGTACACATAGCAGGCATCGGGATCCTCAAACCAGCGAATCTCGCCGTCGCCATAGCGGTCCAGGATGGCGAATCGAGAGGGCAGCGTTGGGTCGTACTCAAGGACGGCACCCTTGAAGGTCATCGGCCGAGTGACATCGCCAATGTAGGGAAGATCCATGAAGATGGCGTAGTGGCGGGTGATGGCAAAGTCGTGCTGGGAAAGCGGTCGTGGAAAGACAAGTCAGTGCTCCTGTATGCACCAGCACCCATAACGACCGCCGCGACGAGTAGTCGTCCAACAGACATCTCAGGACAGATGCTTGCGGTCAGTGCGAACTACCCAGCACCGCCTGCTTGCACAAAGTACAGCCGACACTGTGACTCCGACTCGCCGTCTCTCGATGAACTGACGGTGTCTCACCATCATAGTCACTCGCAAGCCCTCGATGGGCTTCTTGAGAAGTAGAAGCTCGCCGTCGGGCTTGATCACCGAGTAGTGGATCGGTGGTAGCGCCGACAGACGATATCCAAACGTGAACATCTCGCCGGTCTCGGGGCAAACCTTGGGATGTGCGCTGAACTGGGCCGTCGACAGATCCTCGGTGAACTTGCCGTTGTAATTGTACTCGCCTCGGGTCTCGAGCTCCGGGACGGTGAGTTCGTAAGGCGGAGCAGCCTCCATGAGCGAGAGAACGCGAGCATCGTGGAAGACAAGCTGGAAGCAAGCGAGAGCGTGAGCGTCGTGCTGGTAATTCAAGCTGCAGCCGGAAATGTCTTGTCCGGTATCGCGGCGCTCGTGCGGAATTGCGGGTAGCATACTCACAGCAGTGTTGGCCGTCGTGGCGAGTTGCTGGGTGGGCAAGTACTGCCGCCCGATATACGACTTGATGAGAGCTGACGTCAGCGAGAAAGGATCCGGCTTGGAGAACCCGCCCAGGCCAGGGAAGGGGCGGTAGCCCACTTTCTTCTGGACTGTGTAAATGTTGGTTTGAACGTATCGATTGAGGTACGATGCATCGTTCTCTCTCGGGAAGTGGACGCCATGGACCATTCCGTCGCCGTCTGCACAATCCAAGGAAGGCGGAGTGAGGAAGGTGATGCAGATCGAGGATCTGGACGAGCGACGAACCGAGAATGCTGAGCACAGCAGAACAGGGCAGCTGGCGGAACAGAGCAGTCGAAATGCAATCTCTTGTCTGAATCCAACATACCAAACCCTGCATATTGAGCCCGGCAGCGACGAACGCAAGTTGGGGTTAGCTCGCTTCAGCTCTTGTGCAGCACACGCTCGGATGGCATGAAAGCAAGATCTGAACTTACAGTGATAGAGCATGCCCTTCTTCAGAAGCTCTGGCGGAGGATTTGGGCCAACCCTGGCAACAGAGGATTGAGTCGGTCAGTCAGTCACCAGCGGCACATTGGGCCGCTGCAAGCCGAAGGCGAGTACTTGAGTCTCGTGTGGCTGCGAGCCGGACAACCTGAGCACCACGTACCGGATGTACATTCCACCCTCCATGCACTCGGGCAGGGTGCCCTCGATGGGCTTCATGCTGGCAGGACCGATCTCGTCGGCGACGGGGGCATAAGCGCCCTGGAGAAACTTGTTATCTGAGCCGGACATGGGATGGATCAGAATCGAATAGGGATATGGTGGAAATGATATCAGGCTGCGACGAAGGCGACGAGGGCGATGGACCAGAGCGTTTGCCGGGGGAGAGTCTGGCTCATATACTTCCAAGGATCGCCAAACTCCCCCCCCCGCAGCCGACGAGGTCCGCATCCCATCCTCCCGAGCGGACTTGGCTGGGCAGCAACCCATGATCGGGTCGTCTGGGATGCGACGTGGCGGCCTGGCGACGACCAACAGCCAACGTGCGAACCGATGCTTGGCGTGAAGACCCACAGTGCCGATTGGGTGCTGAGCCGGACAGGACACCGATGAAGGGTGCAGGGCGGTGCGTCCGATTGAAATCGGATTCAAGGCCGCAGTGCAATGCAGTGCAATGCAGATCCGCTGCGTGGTGTCGATCCGACAGAGCGAACTGAGCAAGCGGCGATGACAAGGTGGGCCTTGCGCGTCGGTTGCGTGGCCCCACATCTGCCCGATCAACCCAACCTGATCAACCCAACCTGATCAACCCACGCCTCATGCAGCCCCACAGCGCCCTGGTCCTGATTGCCGATGGCTCCGAAGAGATGGAAGCAGGTGCCTGTCGGCGAGGGCGGCGGGAGAGCTCATCCTGGTGCGGCATGACTCTGGCGAATCCTCATGCTCACAAGTGCAGCCTTGTTTCTCTGCGGTAGTGATTTCCATCGACGTGCTTCGTCGTGCCGGCGTAAGTGGCGGCTGCTGGGCTCTCCGGATGCCTTGGCGATGGATGTGTGAGAGACAAAAAAAGGCTCTGGAGTGCATGCCGCTCGCTGCTGCCTCCGGTGTGCTGATGCAGCTCTGCCTTCCTCAACACCGCTTCAGCTTGCCGTGACGGTGGCTTCGGTCAAAGGAAAGCAAGTGACTTGCAGCCGCCAGGTCCAGATCGTCAGTGATACCGAGCTCGACAGCCTCGGCGAAGCAGTAAGTGGCGGGTGGCTCGCAGCCATCGTATTCTCTGATCGCCCTGGCCTGTCGATATCACGCCCTGGTGCAGACTTTCGTTTTGAGCAGGATCAGGGCAAGGACCGGCAATCCAGCAGCGCCCAGAGGCCGTTCTGACGCTCTTGCTCGGCGGTCTTGCTTGGCAGGCCAAGGGTTTCGATGTGCTGGTTCTTCCAGGCGGTCTCGGCGGGGCCAAGACGTTCAAGGAGGTATGTCGGCGCAGCGGTGGATGCCAAGATGCAGCACCAATCGACCGATATGCCGCATATTCCTCGCTGGATGCCATTGCTGATTGTCGCTCTGCGTCCAGTCCCACTCTATCCACTCGCTCATGGCAGCCTATCTGCAAGACTCGACCAAGCACCTGGCCATCATTTGCGCCTGTGAGTGACCCATCTGCAGTGCTGGCGAGCCACCTTTGAGCATCTCGTTTGAAGCAGTGTCGTGCCATGTCTTGGAGATGCCGAAGCATGGGGAGGGATATCAGCTGCACTTGTCGACTTATTCGGCACTACGGCGTTCATGTACCCTCGCTCCATCGACACTCGGATGGCCCAGCCCCGATCGCCCTGGCTGCGGCCAACCTCGGCCATGGCAGGCGCATAACATCCCACCCAAGCGTCAAGGCCGAGCTGGACAGAGGTGAGCCGCCGCACACCCCTGTCGACGATCGGGATTGTCTGTCGATTCGGAACCGACTCCAGTCCAACCGATCCGGATGGCATTCTATCTGGGCTGCACCACGAAAAGGTCCTGCAACTAACTGACCCTGAAACCATGGTGTCGATACAGACTACGTCTATTTGGAAGAGCGAGTCGTCGTCGACGGCAACCTCATTACCAGGTATGTCCCGGCCATCGATCGCCGCAGCCAACCGCCCCAACCCTCCCCCGGACGGCAAGCTAATCTGCTCAATGCCGCCCTCCAGCCGCGGACCAGGCACCTCGTTCGAGTTTGCCCTCACCATCGTCGAGCAGCTACTGGGGGCTGCCAAGCGAAACGAGGTGGCCGCACCCATGATTCTGCCCTGAGCGATCCCTTGAATAGACAGCCCTCGATTTGCATGCTCTCGATTGGCATGATCCGGCTGCTTTCCCCCACATGCCCTTTGAGCGGGACCAGCAAGAGAAAAGGAGGGAGGCACGGCCGCAGATGCCATGCATCATTGGCTCGGCGATGCATGGCGATGTTGCGTATTACTGGTATCAGTGCAACCGCCCGGACGCAGTGGCTGCGGGTATCATTGCCGACGGTGATCCAAATCCTGTTGGATCGGCAAGCACTACCCCGCCCGAGGGAGGCCCTTGCAAACCCGGCCAACAACAACAGCAACAGGGATCGTCCCGCGCCCGCTTGGCGGTCCAGCAACGGCGGGAGCTTGGATACAAGTGTCCCCCAGCATTGCGATACTTGTGCCCCAGGCCACAGCATTGTCAGCACCCTCGGGCCAAAGGATCACTCTGCAACGGCGCTTCCTGCCGCCCACCGCCCTCGGAGCTTGTGCGGCGAGGATGGTGTTGGTGCGAAGGGGTCGCAGCGCGGGATGGTCCAGGGCAAGCAAGCGCCAGGGTGTTTGATATCAAGTGTGGTCTCGGGCAGTTTGACCCTTCTTCGATCTGCATCGGACAAGCTGCGATCATCGTTTGAGCTCCAGGCCGCCCGGGTATTCCACAGGCCGATCAAAGCCGTCAGGAGCCGAGAGCCATCACAAAGCAACACCAGGGACATTAGTGATATCAAAGCCATCCACTTGTCCATCTTCATCGAAACAACTCGGGCCATATATCCGCCTGGTGCGAACTGAATGCGACATCATGAGTTCCCACACCCACTCGCTCTCGATCTTTGCATCTCCCTCCGATCATGGACGAGCGATCGATATCCACTCTTGCGTGCTTGCTTACTTTTGATAGTCCCATCCAACTCACATGCATGTGGCCGTCGTCGTCTCTGGCAGTCTCCAATCTCAAGCACGACCTTCCAATAGTATCTCCACATCCCCGTCAACTGCGACATGACCTCGCCCGATCCTCCGGCCCCGATGCGACCGATCTCTGGTCACGATCGGCGGCGAGCCAGCAGCCTGAGAATCGATATCCCATCCGTATCCATTCCCATGGCAGCCTTCTCCCCCGTCGCCGAAGTGCTGCCCACCAACCCGACCCTCGATCCCGGCCCCGGTTCCCATCCAGCCCGCACGTCCCAGCGATCGATCACTGCACCGCCATGCAGACCACCAGCGCCGGCATCAGTTCCCATTCCTGTGATGCTGCAGACCATCACTGCTGGGCCAACCTCGCCGGCACCGCCCTCGCCGCTGATATCTCCGCCCCGGATATCATCGCTCTCGGCTGCCACTCGTGCAGTACCGCATCGCCTTGAGCCAACCACCCCGACAGTCCTGGGTCCATCATCGGCAGCCGGTCCCCCGGTGCTCCCACCCGAACCACCGAGGCGAACCCGCAAGCATCCGCTCATCCCGCCGGCATACTTGACTCTGCCAGTGCCGCCGTCTCTCGATCCCAGCCCCTCTTCTCCTCTGTCTGCGATTCCGTCGTCGCCGTTCCCGCTGCTGGGCAACACTCGAGATCAACATCGTCCAGACTGGCCCGCTTCATCCTCGCTTGTTTCATCCTCGCTTGTTTCATCTTCGCTTGTTTCATCCTCGCTTGCCCGCCAGCAGACCGTATCAACCTCCAACCTGGTCCCACATGCGCATGATCGAGACGAGTCCATAGCCGAGCCTCCGCCGGCACCGAGGCGTATTCGTTCTTGCCCAGCGTCGCTGAGCTGGCAGTGTGTGTGCATAGACCGGGCCAGTCTGCAGCGCTGTGCAGCACACATGACGTCAATGCAGGGCATCCCGCTGTTTGCCGTAGGATTTGTCTTTGTCGACGTCATTGGTACGCACCATGTTCCTCGCGGCTGCATCCGAGCGCTGGCTTGCCGATTACCAGTTCTGATGCTTACGGCCGCTCTCCCCTTCCTTCTTTCTCGGGGCAACGATCCTCCAGCCGTGTGCGCAACCCTGTCCAAGTCTGCGGCCTTGATCTCGATTGGCGACTGGCTCTTGGGTGTCATCAAGCTCATCGACGCCCTGATTTTGGTCTGGCTCTTTGGATGTCACAAGGTACTAACACCTACCGATGGTGGCTGGGCGGGAGCATGAGCTTGGCATACCCCTTCGCCAAACTATGGAACGCTGAACCGATGGCTCGCTCAACCAGATGGTCCATGTCGTGTACATGAGTTGCCTGTGGCTTTCCTTCTTTACAAGTAAGCACCATTTGTTCGGCCGATCTCGGCTTCGCTCGCTTTGCGGCGCTCTGCCGTCAAGGATACACACTCTCTCGCAATCATGCTCACAGCCATGTCCATCTCCACCACCAGTCTTTGACGGAGTGCTTACCATGTCGTCGATCAAGGATATGCTGGGAAACATTTCGCTCATGCCGTCGGCCAACCACACACTCGATGGGATAGGCGTGTGCGTGCTGTTGCTGATAACCCTGCTCAGGGTAAGTCCGGAGATCAACAGAGCGAGCGTCCAACTGGAGAGATACCGGCGACGGCATCGTACCTAATCTACAATCGGGGCTCTCCTGAACCAAACTCTCATTCTCCACTCCCAGATATACTTTCTGTGTCTCGCATGGCGTCTCTGGTATCAAAAGGTGGGTTGGGCGCCTGCCCAATTGCCGTATACCGTTTGCCGTTTGCCGTTTACCGATCCAACCAAACACCTTCCCGCGGCCGCACATTGTCCCGGCTGGCACTGTCGCAGTCTCAGGCAGCTTGGCTGACGCCGTCCGCGCTGCACCCATTCAGATCCAAGATGTCGATCTGGGAGGATCAAATCACGACGACTCTGTCGATGGCCAGCTCGACGATTGTCTGCCGGAATACGAGCCGCGGCCACCGAGCTACAAGGAGCGAGAAAGCATCCAGTTCTTCTCGGCTGCTCGTGCTGGTCGCAGGACAGGTGCTAGAGAAGCCCCCGAGCCAGTGCCTGTTTCTTCAACGGAGACTCAAGGCGAGATGAGGGCCGATGCAGAACGACGCGGCACAACCAAGTCTCATGTTTCGGAGATCATGCCCGCGGAACGAGAAGAGTGACTGCCGCCCGATGGAGGCTGCCAACGCTATGCGACCAGGACAGAGGACGTGCGACTGTGGTGACCCCTCCGCTGATGAGAGATGCTGGTGTCAGACAATAGAAGCGCTTGCAATGGATGCGCGCCAGTCATGGGCGAGGCGACATATTGAAGCGGCAGTCGGTTCCGTATGCTCGGGGTCGGTGCACACTCGCAAGCAACAACATGACGTAGAATTGCCGCCAAAGGTCGCGGGAGGGAGATGCTTTGGAATCAGAGTGTAGGCCGCCGTGGGCTCGACAAGCAGCGTCCGATCCACCGCTGCCGGGCGAGCAGACACTGGAGACATTTGCAGCCGAGACCACATGGTCATCGAAGAAACTCGAAACGAGGGCGGACTGGTCGTGTGGTTTCGGCAGCGTCCCGATGCAGCGTCCAAGTGTCTCCGGGTGTCGCCCAGGCCGAGCCATCGTCTCCCGGTCTGGTGATTTCTTTCGGAGCATGCCCGGTGTCCCGATTCCCACGGAAGTCTCCCGGGAGTCGCCGCCACGATCCAAACCGGCCCGCCCAAAGGGCACATGGCCAAATGGATGTCTCCACCCCCTGCGTGGCGGGCATGTTTGGATCGCTTGTGATTCACGATGCATCCAAGCTCGCTCACCCTGAGTCGGCACCGAGCCCGCCGGCATCGGCCCTGCATCCCCGGTGCATCGGCATGCGGGATACACCCAAGGGCGACTGCATTCACCTGCTCGCGAGAGCGGCCCCCGAAAGGAGTATAAAAGATTGCCTCGTCGCTCTCGTCTGCGGCGCCCATCATACACGTTTTCCCTCAACTAGATTTCTATCTACCCAAGAGCTTGCTCTCTAGACTCCAGCTTCCCTATTCTGCACCGGTGCTTGACTCCGGATAACCATAGCGCTTTCGTAGTATCTCTCTTCCATCCATCGCCCACTCGACTATCCTGATCCACAATCCCGCACCCACCCACCCTATCTGCCCCTGTGCTTTCCTATCGCACCCCCCATCATGACTGTTCTCTCGGTTGCTAAATCCATCGCGTCCGTCTCTGAGCATCTGAGCCAGCCTCAGCTGCATCCCATCCGCAAGCTGTTGGCTTTCCGCAAGACGTATCGTCGCCATGACCAACTCATCTCCATCCATGAGTCGGCCACCCTGGCCGAAGCCCTCGGCATTATGGCCAGAGCCAATATCTCGGCGGTGCCGGTCTATCGCACACCCGAGGACGACATCCATGGCCGCGAGTACATGGGCATCGTCTCGGTCTCGGATGTCCTGGCCTGGACCGTCTTCCAAAAGTTTGTTGGCGACCTCGAGTATCTTGATACCGTCGATCCCCAGACCTTCCAGGAGCTGCAGGAGGAAAAGGCACACTACTTCCAGACGGCCGTGGGGGACCTGCTCGGCATGACGCTCGAGTCGGCCGAGTCGTGGACGCTGCACTCGTCCGACCCCATACTCTCGCTCATCTACATGTTCGCCTCGGGTCGCTACCACCGCTGCCTGGTCATCGACGAAGATGCCAAGATCTCGGCAGCAACATATGGGGACGGAACCGCCCGCGTGCCGCTCGGCGCTGCCGTCACCATGGTCACCCAGACAGATGTTGTGCGCTACATCTCCGAGAATCGTGTCGAGATCGACGGCGAGGCCATCGACAAGATCCTTTCGTCCGTCGTCGCCAAGGACATTGAGCAGCTGCAAAGACGCATGACCCCTGACGAGAGCGATCCCAACCAGGTCTTGGACAAACAGAACCGCGTCCCGAGGAAGGTCATCTATGCCTCGAGCGACATGTCTGCGCTTTCTGCGTTCAAGTGAGTCTTTGCCCCAGAGCACCCCTGCCGATTCCCATGTCGTTTCAATACCGATTCCCATGTCGTTTCAATACCGATTCCCATGTCGTTGCTCTTCCGTCGCTCATGACTGACATTGATCATGCCTTCACCTCACCCCCTCTCCTTCGCAGGACCATGTTTATGCACCGACTGCGTGCTTTACCTGTCGTCAACCCCGCCCACCAGATCGTCGCCAACATCTCGACTTCGGACCTGCGCGGCATCACCCCAGATACCCTCCACCGCCTGACCCTGCCCATCCTCGAGTTCATCGACACCATCCCTGCACGCTCAAGCGGCGATGCCGCCACCCACCCCGGCTCCGGCTCTGGCTCCGGCTCCGGTTTGGATGCCAGGGCCGTGAGCGTCGCCAAGAACATGTCCATGGAAGACATGATCCAGATGCTGCTGGGCAAGAACGTCCATCGCCTCTGGGTCACCCGCGACCAAAGCGATCAGCTCGCCGGGGTGGTGAGCATGACCGACATCCTCTGCACGCTGATTCCTGTCGACCAGGCAGCGCACAAGTGATCATCGCTGGACCGATAAGCGGCAGCTTGAGCAGACGACTTGAGCCACCACCGCGACGGTTCACAAAAGCCATTGTCCGTAACTGTATTGGGGAGATCTGCCTGGCTTGCAGCACCCCCCGCATATTCCGCATACATTTGAGCAACAACTTTATCCATCGTCAACAGTGCGTGCCCCTCCCCCTCCACCAAGATGGCACTCGCTGTGCGCCAGCGATTTGGCTCCGATATCTGCCATCTACTGGTTCATGTTAGCTTTGTTGGACATCTACCACTGTTATGTTTCATACCATCACAGCGATTCTCATTCCTGCCAGAATCCTGTGCAGTCTTATAACCTGCTTTCATTCATTGGACACATTCATCGATTGCTTCATTCGAGGAGAGGAAAGGCGACTCCATCCCTCCTCAACCTTTGCTCATAACTGGGTCTAGGCAACGCCCCTCCCCCCCAGTATAGTTCGCTTGCACTGAATTTTACTTCCTTTGTTTCCATCTGCATTCATTTGGATACGAGGCACGCACTTTATAATATATGACCGAGTCATATGTATCGTCCTGGCCGTGGCCATTTGCGGGGACTTGCTATGCGTGCGACTTTGCATCGAGCAGGGAGGAGGAGACATGCATGTGCGTACACTGGCTGACTATATGGTGATAACACCCAACAAGACAGTCCCGTTGCGAGACCGAGTGGACCAGCGGGCGGTTACTTGGACTCCCTGGATCATAGAGTCCAGTACGCTTGGAGGGCAGGGGTGGCCCAAAAGGCCCCCCCCCGGCATATCGGGTAACGACACCAAACTGTGCACCAGGTTCTGCTGCCTTGGTTGGAAGGCAGATCATGCTTCTAGATTTCGTGCTTGCGCTTCAGATCGATGTAGGTTTTGTACGCAGGAGCGATGGGCGACTGTACGGGGTCCAGCGATTGGGACTGGCGCAGCACTTGGAATCAGTATGTGTAGGATGCGACTCATGCGGGGCACCTCGCCAAGCAGGACAGACGCTCAAACGTGTGATGCTCCTCGTGGCCCAGCGCCGGGGAATGTGATCCACCAAACCGAGGGTGATGTCCATTCGCCTTGCTACTTGTTCTTTTTGGGTACCGCACACCGGACAGGACGAGTGCGGGCATGGATGACAATCAGCTGCTTACCGTCATGGGATAGGTGCGATCCGAGTCGTATGAACTCAGATCTCCGCATGTGATGTACGGAACAATGACCCGGTTGGGGCCTGCCAGCTGATTCTCGCTTTCATCGTACTTTGCGTCGAGCAACGGGTTGGTCATGGTTGGCACATAGCCGGTGGGCGGCTGGTAGTTTTGGCACACGATGAAAGCCTCTGCGATGGTGCCGCAAATTGAAGAGCATTCACCACCGCCACCACCACCACCACCACCACCAAGGACAGCCCAGTTCAAGTTAGACCAATGTGTCCAACGGGTGCCCCTCGCTCTTGCTCCTCGCCCAGGATGCGGCGAGGGCAGAACTACAGACCTATGCTGGAGTTGCGCGAGCTCCGAGGCTTGCTGCAGGTCACCACAGGGAAGAACACCTTCAGCTGTGCATACAACAGCGAAATATCCTTTCCGCGGAAGATCTTGGCGACGAAGCAGCCGCCTGGACGCAGAACGTGGGTGGTGATGTTGAGAGCCTGCAGGAAACCAAAGCGGTGGGGCGACAGGGAAGGGGAGTGGTCAGAAACGGAATGCTCCGGGCACAGAGTGTCGGCAGAGTTGCAGATGTACATACCGCCAGCAGCAGTTGAGCCTGGATGTACTCGTCCATGTCGTGAAGCCCGGTAACTGCGAGCACGAACCAGCGTCAGACCATAAAACCGAATACAGCACCAAGCAAGGCCAGTCGCTGACTCTCGTCGCCGTGCCACGTCGCCGGGTTTGCCTACCATCCGGAGCGCCGTCACTGACAACCAGGTCGGCCAGCTGGCCATCGAAATACGAGATGATCTTTTCGGCAGTCGATCGCTTTGTGATATCGCCTTGCAGCTGAATGACTCCTTCGATCGGGGCCTAAAGTTGGCGATCGCGACGGCACGTTTGCACCAATGGCCCAGCGAAGAAATCGACAGTCAGTTTGTTTCGATCGGCGTGTCGCGGAGGCATCGGTCTTGCGACTCGTGAGGGAAGGATGCAAGGATGCTAGGATGCTAGGATGCAAGGATGCCCGTGTCCGCATGCATTCGCCGAGTACCATAGTCTGCAAATCAACGGCGACGATTTTGGGGCGCTCCTCCGGGCTTGGGCACTTGAGGTTCTGTTGCCAAGAGCACACAGCAAACATGACGGTGTGAGATGAGGTGGCCGAGCGTTGGGGTTCAGATCGAGTCAAGCAAAAGTCCTGCACCAACGACTCGAATTCCAGGCGGTGATATTACTCTGCTCAAGACTTGACTCCAGCTTCCCGGGGCCGCACAGAGATCGACGCATCGCGAGACACCATCGAACAGGCTGAACTCCTCGTCTGAGCGATGGGCGATGTCGCAGGTCGAATGGTACCGTCAGTTGCGGGGAGGGAGGGCGTTGGTGTAGAATCGAGGCGAATAGCGAAGCGGCGTTTGACCTTGGATTAGGTGCTGCCATCGATCCAGCATTCTGCAAATCATTGATTCGGCTCGAGCCGAGCCGAATCGAGTCAACTCTGGGCTTTGGTTTCGTGCGCACATACTCAGCTGCAGAAGCTTGAAGGCGCTGCGGGCTCTCCATCCTGGAATACACAGCCACGGCATGACTCGTGAGTGGAGCTGGGGGATGCGGATGTGGATACCGATATGGATGCAAGTGGCAATATCGGGATGCAGGTCGGACGGCTTACCTTGCTCTTTAGCGAGCCGGTAGTAAATGTCTCGCTGGGAAGGAGCGGCAGATGTCGCAGGGGTGAGTCGGGCCGCTTGTGGTTTTGAGGTATGAATGGGCACACGACGGCACGGCTCCCTGGGCCATCCCATCTCGATATATCCATCTATCTCGATATGCGTTTCTATCTCGATATGCGTATCCGTCTCGATATGCACATTCCGGGCTGCCTGTTTCGGCAGCAGGATGTGCATCCTGGTCTCGTTGGTTCCCCGTGGCATCGATACATCCGCAGCCTCCGGGGCCTATGTCGTAGCCTCAGCCATCTACCTTGTCCTTTGACGACTTGCCCATGCTTCGATGGCTGCTGTGTTCTGCGACCTGGGTGATGGTGTTCGGCGATGTGCGCTGATCTGGCCTCGCCGATCGTCCGGGGAAAAAAAATTGCAGCCGGATCCAGCCGCGGCTCGAATGGCCCGGCGCCGCGTCTCATGCCACCCGAGCATGATCGTTGAATCGATGCTGGACGCACCCGGTCAGCGACATGAGACCCAGCGGGAAGCAGGTTGGGGCCTCAGAGAATGGGGGTAAATAACAGACCGATTTATTGAACATGACAGTCGGGTGCTCCAGCGAGACCGCCAGGAAGGGCGCCAGGAAAGCCGCCAGCAGATCCAGGAGCGAGATCTTGCAGAATGCCTTCAGGAGGACTGCCGCATTCCTGCATCTGGGAGCAGATGTATTTGCCGCGAGCAGCCACGGGGCGGGCAGTTGGTGTTAGCAAAATATTTGTGGCAGTGATACGATTTGACTGGTCGAAAGAGCCTGCCGGAGGGGAGCGAGAAACCGCTCGGAGGAAGCTCGCGCTCTCGATTGGAAACCGGCATCCGCACAAGCTTGAGATCTGTTGCGCACACGGCCACATAGCGTACCTGCTGCAGCAGCTCGACAATCTTTTGTTTCTGTTCGGCAGTGATCTCGGCCTCGGAAGAGTCAAAGATGGTCACAATCTCGTCCACGATGGCGTTCTGTTTCATGTATCGAGTCTTGTCTTCCTCCGAGATCGTGCTTGCGTTTTCGCTCAGCCATTGAGGGTACTGGAAGCGAGGGCAGCGCCCCACGAGAGGCAACGTGTATAGACGAGGTAATATGCTGTCAGTATACGACAGCAGCGCGTGGTCGCATGTAGGGTGGTGTGGACACACGATAGAGCCCGAATAACATCGTCGACATCGTCGACGCGGTGCAGAAGCGAGTCGCTTGCTGCTCACGATCTATGCTTCACCCTTGCGCGGATTCGGATCAAAGGCGGCGCAGAAATGTGCAGATCAATCGGATTACCTTGTGCGATATATCTCTCATGGGCTCATAGAGCAAGTCCTTGGTGATGAGCTCGGTCATGACGGAGGAGAAGATCTCGTCCATGTCGCCCGAGCCGCTCATAAACTGCTCGAATTCTTTCATTAGCGCTTCCATGGACTCGCTGTCCAGCCCTGCGTCCTGTTGTCGGAGACTCTCCTGCCAATGAGCCAGCCAGTGGTGCAAAAAATACCCGCAGATGAGTCGAGGATATGGGCATAGCGATTGCGTTCGTGAAAGCACCAGATAGAGTGAATGTCGAGACAGCAGGCAGCCAATATGAGCGCGGTCAAAGATACAGCTAGGATGGGAGAGACACGAGTGCAACAGCAAGTACAGCAAGTACAGCAAGTGAGCTTGGCAGCCGACCAGCGTGCGACATACCTTGACTTGCTCGGAGCTGTCCTCCATCTTGTTGAGCGTCGCATCGATTGCTTCATGGAAGCCTTTCGGTTTGGCCGATACCGGCGCAGCTGACCGATGTGGCTCGTCAGGAGTCTGCTCCGAGGTGCCCTGGAGGCCCTCCAGGAATGACTTCATGGACTCCATCAGCATTTCCCGCTCCTTTTCCTTTTCTGAGTCTGATTTGGGATCTGCCGAGGGATCTTGGTTGAGCAGCAGAGACTCCATGCCGGCGGCCAGCAGCTTCGAGAACTCGTCATCGTCAAGCTCGGGCGGGTCGACGTCAGCGAGAGGCTGCGTGTTGTCGGAAGGAGCCGGCTTGGAGAATCCTGCGACATGACGTATGTGAAACGAAGGCATCCGGGGTGAGGATCGCAAACGATGGAATCAGGAGCCGACAGGGGGGTTATCATGAGCATAAGCCGGGAATACAAGAAGCACCATGTCGGACACACACATGACTACAGACCATCAATGTACTCGTCCAGATCGTCATAGTCGTCGTCGGGTGTCGGCTGGGCCATCTTGGTGCGGTGCAGAGAGTCAGAGGAAGAGCTGGGGAGAGCTTGGGAGAGCGTGGCCGAGCGGGATTCGAAAGGACTGGAGAGGCAACATGTGACGGCGCTCTGGGACAGGAGCATGTGACGGGGAGCGGATCGAGTGCGGATCGAGTGCGGATCGAGTGCGGACCAAGTGTGGCTGGAGTGCAAGCAAATGCACAGCCACACACAACACAGCCACGCGTGCGCAGCGCTGACAAATGGGCAGCCGAGCCATGTGGCGCTGCACTGGGCACACCAAGCCGGCGCACAGCCACATCGGCCGCCGCCACGGTCGCCCCACCCGTGGCTGCGCACGTGGGCGCACACGTGGTCGCCGAGCGAGCCAACCACCGGGCGTCTCTCGGCGAAAGATCTCACACGATTTCCACCAGCACCGACTACAAAAGCCGTCACAATCCGTCGTCAAAATCCATCCACACACCCCACAATCTCGATCCCAGCAAACCCATCACCATGTGCAGAGCCGTCAAGTGCGACAAGTGCGGAAAGACCACCTGGGCCGGCTGGTAGGCGTTTGTTGCAGGTGCATCGATGCTGCACTCGATCGCCTTGGCCGTCGTCGTCGTCCTTCGCGTCGTTGCCGTCGTCCTTTGCGTCGGCTTCGTTCCTGTCCCTGGCGGTGTTATTTGGTCGTGTTCGCCACGCCACGATCGACCCGTCCCCGATCCGAGTCCGCTGCGTCTTGCTAACCACTTGGTATATTCATCCAGCGGCCAGCACGTCGAGTCCGTCATGAAGGACGTCCCCAAGGACCAGCAGTGCACCTGCCCTCGATCCGCAGCGTAAGCATTTGTTTGGCAGCTTCCTCTGGCTCTGCCGCTCCTCCGGCTCGCTCACTGGCAGCAACCAGCGCTGGGGGTCAACAACCCTTCCAGCCCGCCTATGCTGTCCCTCCGCAAACACGCTGTTGCACATTCTTTGACAATCCCTGTCTGCTCTCGGCAGTTCCTGCTCGATTATGTAATCTCTCAATCGGTGCTGTCCTTCTCGTCATTCAAGCCCATTGACGCTTTCTATATCATCTGAACCCCACACAGTGGAGGACACTAAGCTTCCCCGGAATGCCACGGGCCACACCCGCATATCCCCGCCCCAAATTGTCTCTGTTTTGCTCGTCAATACATATAGTCCATCAAACGCGAATCATCGGCCGGCTGAGCCCGCATACACGCTATGTTTCTATTTCTTGTCTTTGCCAGATCCAAACTTGCGCATCGCTTCCTTTTCCCACGCATCCTTCTCGAGCTTGTACAGCAGCATCGTCACCCGCGCATCCTCGACAGACGAGTGCGCTCCCTCCTGAATGTCCAGCCCCAGCAGCTGTTTGGCTAGCTTGCGCAGCGCCGGCGACCGGCCCCCAAACATCTTGCGGAACTTTTTATACTGTGATGTGTCTCGGATGAGTCTCCGGGGATGGTCGAGCAGCAGCACCTGGAGCCACGATGCAGGCCGCGAGTGAAGGGCATCAGCGTCAGTTTGGTCATTCGCTGTCTGTCGTCGTCGGCAGAGGCGTCGGCAGAGGGGTCGGCAGAGGCAGCGGGGGAGCACATCAAGGCTCTTGCTTCAGCGATAGATAACGCAGTGCGATCTTACCTTAAAGTCGTTCTCGATGGCATGACCAACGACAATGCGATCCTTGATGAGATCCGAGACTTCCTTCTGTACTTGTTTGAACGGCGTGGCTGTGTATGGATGCCGATAAGCAACCGATCTATCCGGGCCTGTGTGCCTATCTTCGATCCCATCAAGCATCTCGGACTCTCCCCCGCTCCAGCACACCCATCCATGGAGCTGCCTCGCACCAGATAACGCACCTGTCTTGAGTAGCTCGGGCGTGATGCCGCTGACTGCCGTGCGGTAGTCGGTGACCCGCTCCTGCGGCTTGACGTACTTGTCGTAGATGCAGTGGCCGTGGAAGTTGACCATACTGATCCGAGCCAGAACCGACTGGACTCCGTCCTCGCCAACGCCAACCATCTCACAATCGATCGCAACGTATTTTCCAAGGCTGGGATGGGCGTGTCGTCCCGTATGCAACGTCAGCGAGTTAGTTGATGCAGACCAGGCGACGCTCTTGGAGGGCGGCCGATCGTTGCTGCTGCCATCATCACCACCGTCGTTGATAACGCTTCGATGGCTACCCCTACGGACCACCTGTCGATCTGGTCGCACTGGATCTCGCACTGGATCTCGCACTGGATCTCGCACTGGATCTCGCACTGGATCTCGCACTGGATCTCGCACTGGATCTCGCACTGGATCTCGCATCGACACCATAGCCTGCCAACTTACCGCTCCTGGGCTTCCTTGGGCACAATCACATCGTCGGCTTCCCGTCGTGCCTTCTTTCTTTCCCGATGGCTCAGGCCCGACAGATCGGGCTTGTCGTTGTCGTCATCGTCGTCGTTGCCGAGCTTGGTCAGGTCGCCCGACAGAATCGCCTCGAGGATGGACTTTTCGCGCTGCTTCTCATCTCCCAGCTCGGAGACCGCACTCGGCTCGCCGTCTTCAACACTGTCTGGCATGACCCGATCGTCCTGGTCCTCATCATCTTCATCGTCCTCGTTGTCATCTTCAGCTTCGTCCGAGTTGGGTGCGTCCTTGTGCGCCATCTTCGATACGGGCTTGGCATCGACGAGCACTTCCGTCGCCACAGCAGCAGCAGCAGCAGCAGCAGCAGCAGCCCTCTTTTTCTTGGACGAAAACAGCTGGCTGAGAAAGTCCTTGACCCGCTCGTCGGTCTGCTTGCGCTTCTTGGGTATCGATTCAGGCTCGGGACTCTTGTGCTCAGCGAGGGGAATGGCTTCCGCACCGTCCTCGTCGTCGCCGCTACCAAACTCGTATGCCTCAAGCTCTTCCTCCACGTCACTGTCCCGATCGATGTCGCGATGGCTTTGGCTCCTCCGGCCGTTCGGTGCGTTGCTGTTGCGCTTGCCCGCTCCAAATGCCTTGCGGCCCTTGAGCTGCTTGCTCTTGATTCGCGATGGCGCTGTTTTCTTGGTCTCGGTCTTGTTGATGACCTGAGAGGAGCACGGCATCTGTTAGCTGTGGGCACTGCGGGAACATCAAGATCGCCATCGAGGCCGTGCAAGATCAGGGGCGATATGAAATGGGTCCATGTCCAGCGCCGTGGTGTTGGAGTCCAGCCTGACCCATCAACTCAGAACCCGGGCCGGCCATCCCAACCACACATGCCTCGACCTGTCCATCTGCGACAGCGGCATCGACTCAGGGCACTGCTGAGCATTGATGAGCACTGCTGAGCGATGCTACCACGCAAGCCTCGGAGCCTTGCTGCTCCCCGCCAAACACCGCAGTCCTGATAACCCACCGACTTGAGCTTGTCCCAGTTGCTCGATCCCTTCCGGGTCTGTGCCGAGCCAGATGCCCCGCCAGCAAGAGGCTTTGCGTGCTGTGCGGGCTTTGGCTGTGCTGTTCGCGGCTTCATGCTGCTTTGTCGCTTCCTGGTAGCCTGTTGCGGGGGACAGGCGGCGCTGGGCTCTCGTCGGATGAGAGCCGGATGTGAGCCGGGTGTGGGCCGGGAGATCAGGACGAACGGCCAAAACCCAAAAAACAAAAAACAAAAGCGCAGCAGCGCCATCCATCTCGGCATCGGCCACAGCCTTGAGCCAGCAAACGGTGACTGCAGTTTGAGGACGATATCTCAAGCACCAAGTTCGGCGACGATATCTCAAGCACCAAGTTCGGCGACGATATCTCAAGCATAGCAGTTCGCCGACGATATTTCCAGGATGACGCTGTCTGCTCACGCCCCTCTCCCGCAAGGCGGCTCGCGGACATGCATGAGAATCGATCATTGTTTCACAAGAGTGCAGCGAGCGGCATGAGCATGGCTCGCCAGCAAGCTGCCATAACAGCAATTCAAAGGCGATGCCGAGTCGTCCAATTATGCGCCGTTCTCGGCCCAAGTGAGCTTGAGGCTTCCTTTGCGCCTTCCCCGTCCTGCCCATCACATCCCTCCACCTCCTGTCCATCACATCACATCACTTCCTTCCTCCGTTTCGCCCCAGCTTTCGAGCATCGCCCTCATGTGGCTCGTGCCGACTTTGAGCGCTTCTGTTCAGATTGGAGGGTTACGTTAAAGTCCTTCAGGGTCTTCTCGGGGTCATAGTCGTGCTCGAACTTGAGGACGACCTTGAACTTGTTGTTGGTGCCGTCATCGAATTGCGGAACAGGCACAGTGAAAGAGGTGCCCTCGCGCTCGTAGTAGCATGTGATGGCGAGTGTGTCTGATTCGGCCGCAGAGGGTCGGAGGGTATGAGCCAGTGCGCTGGTTAGTTGTGCATGTAGCATGCAGTCGCGCGATGCTGGCAGATGTTAGGAGGAGAGAGATCTTTCCCGGACATCCTCTGGGCGCGGCCGAGATCCATGCGCATCCGTGCTCATCGACGCTTTGCCTTGACCAGCCCGGCTCACGTCCTCTGTACACTACCTTTGCGCAACTCCTCGGTTGTGGTGACATCCTTGAAGTCAATCCATCTCAGGAAGATGAACGGGTGGGTCGTTTCGATGGTCGAGGCGCTGGAGCCCAGCAACCCGGCAAGGCCGCCGCGCTTCTCTCGAGACACATATGTCGCTATCAGGAGCGAATCGGAACAGATGTAAACCCGGACCTTCTTGCGCAGGTTGACATCGGTGGCGTCGGCCGTGTAGACGACCCTTCTTTTGGCGTTGATGAACAGTGGCGGAGTGTCCTTGGTATCCATGGAGATGTCAAAGATCAAAGCCTGCTCCTGAGCACGCTGCTTCTTGACGTTGACGGTCGCGCCGAGCTCCGACATTTTCTGGGCTGCGGCCTTGAGGTCCTCGAGGTCGGGGTGGTCCGAGGGGGTCTGCTTCACAATGGCTGCGAACAACACCAACGATTGCGCCCGCACCAGTCAGCCAGAGACACAGGCGATAAAAAAGACGCACCATCGTACAGAGATGCGCACGCAATCCGCGCTCCGCTCACCATTCAGATGCAGGGCATATCGACTCGACTGTTGCACCGGCAATATCAGGAAATCCTTGAGCTGCCGCTTGCCCGTCTCGGGCGACCTCGAGGCTTCCTCCATAAACTGGTTGTACGCCTCTCGCTTCTCGTACTTTTTGATCGTGCGCTCGGTCAGGTGCGATGCGTCGATGAACTTGCCGTACACTGCCACTAATCGGTCGGTCTGAACATTGGAGCCGCGGGCACACATGGGAGCAAGGCAGAGCATATCGTCAGCGGCGTTGAGGCCAGCCCCGAGGTCAATCTCGGAGCAGGCCGGGGGTGTTGACCGATATTCAGTCAGCCGGACGGACGGGCGGATTCTCGTGCCGCAAATTCGGAACCCACGTTATCAGCAAAGAGCTTTCCAATCTGCGTAGTGTTTGGGTCCCAGTCTTGCGGGTTCAGGAGCGACTCGAGAGAGTCCAAAAAGTATCGATGGAAAGTATAGAGCTCATCTGCGGCACAGGCAGTGCAAGGTCAGAGTAAGCACTGTTTCCGACAGCCGTCGCGGCGACGCTGCATATGGAGGCATGTGCATCGAGAAAGGGCCGAGCGTCTCACCAAATCCCGTGAAGATGATGTGGACGTCGGGCTCGTCTACAACGCCAGACTCCAGCAGCTTCTTGCGAATGTACGTGTCCAGGATGCCAAGGTTGCGACAAAAGTTTTGCTCGGTCTGGAGCATTTCGGCCACGGCGTAGCCTGGAGAGACAAAGATGGATGTCGCCGGATGTGTGTGTGTGTGTGTGTGTGTGTGTGTGAGGGGTATAGAAATACACAACAAAAGAATGAGGGCATGGCAGGTCAGTGTCCGTGCCATCGAACGGCCTTCTCTAGCAACGGAGGGCTTGCTGCGGACGCATGTGTTTGCGGGAGGATTCCAGCTGCTCGAGCCATGTACCTCTCTTGTCGGTGCGAAGGAATTCTGGATCAACCCGAACCTAGAGCCGCACATCGAGAACAGAGGTAAGAAATGGGTAGCAACCGCCGTGCGGCACCGGCGACCAGACGGTCGGTCGCCCATTCCAGTGCATTCAGTCAAAAGCCAGCGCCGGCTACTGCATCGGGGACCCCCAAAAAACCACGCACCTTGCCGAGCTCCTCGACGGCCTTTGGAGGAAGCACCTCGACAGATTCATAGTCCATGTGGTTCTGTGCGGGTCAATCAATCAACATGGCGACGCACAGCGAGGGTCAGTGAGAGGGTAGTGCAGTTCAGGTGATCAATGCACATGTAGCAATGTGATGTCGTAGCACCGGCAGTGAGGCCGACGACCAAATGCATGAGGAGCCTCCTCTCGCGACAGCTCGCGGGAGGTTTTGGCTTGGAGAGCTTCAAATCCGGTGCGGCAAGGGCTCCGAGGGTCATGCCATGGGCGTATGCTCCCAGCGGCTGCCTCGGGTCTTGCCTCAGCTCGACCACAGGACCACAGGACCACAGGACCACAGGACCACAGGACCACAGGACCACAGGACCACAGGACCACAGGACCACAGGAGAGAAGGGATGATGCCACCACAACGCCTGTGAACTGGGGAGGGGAATGACAGCTGAAGCACCGGATGGCCAGCGTCACCAAAAAAAATGGGGGGATGGCACAGACACCTGGACATGCAGACGTACCGACGGCAGCACATCGAATATGCAGTCAATCAAATGCGGAATGGGAACGATGATGGGCTCGGTGGAATACAGCGGCGAGCGCAGGAGCGGCTGATCCAGCTTGGAAGGACACTCCTCGATGCCCGAGTCGTATGTGAAAGAAGAGTGATAGTATCGAGTTTGCTCGTAGCTCAGGAAGGTCTGCTGGATGGGGGGAGGCTGGGCTTGTCGGTGGGCAAACTCGCTTGGGTGGCCGGGCTGGCTCGGATTGCCGATTGTCTGGCTTCGTTCGGGAACGACCCTGTGTGGTGGGTAGCCGCCGTTGGGGGCGTAGAGGTTGCCTGTGCTCTGGGAGTGCGGTACGCCGCGATTCATGTTGACAAAGTCGCCGGTGCCGGGGCGGCCATATGGATAGGCCATGGTGGGCAGCTGCAGGGAGATGGAGGAGGAAGCGAGGGGATCGAGATGGTCGGCAGCAGCGACGAACACAACCAGCACCGAGGCGGCGGCGGGGGCGGGGGCGGGACGAGAAGCAACAGGGGCACGCACAGCGAGAAGCGAGGGCACGACGAGGACGGCCGGGCGACGCCAAAGATGCCATGGTTGCTCAAGACTCGGCGGAAGTGCATCAATGACATGGTGGAAGTGCATCAATGACATGGTGGAAGTGCATCAATGACATGGTGGAAGTGCATCAGTGGATGGTGGAATTTCATCAGTGGATGGTGGAATTGCATCAGTGGATGGTGGATATGCGTGGATACCATACTTGATTGAATACCATACCTGATTGAATGGCAGAGTTGAATGAATGGCAGAGTTGAATGAATGGCAGAGTTAAATGGCATTCGCATTCATATTATCGGTGCTGGCTTGTATCCCTGTTGATACCCAACACATCGCTGTACATTCGCATGGCACTGTATCCAGGCGAGACATACACCATCCATATTCACTCGGATTACCTCGGCAGCTCGTGCTCGAGCTGCTCACAGTATCGGGCACATGCCCATTCCATCCACCTCGGTGCTGCGCTGGACGACCTGATGTATGAGTGACAGCGATGTCATCCCATCATCCCATCATCCCATCATCCCATCGTCTCATCATACCATCATCATCCATCCAGCGAAATACCAACTGTATTTACTGCAGGCTGGCCGTGTCCTCTCAGTGCTCGAGCATACCGTCGTCCACATCATGAAACTGGAAAGCACGACCCAGAGCCCTTCCCGCCACCACCGCCAGCAAATCAATGCTCCCCGACATCATCCTTGCACCTCTTTCCGCTGCTGCTCCCGGAGCTGCCGAGAGCTTATCTGCCGCCGGACCCAGGTTGTTGAGCCGGATTTGCCAGCCATCCGAGTCTGTGGCGGGACTGGCATCAGCTTGGACCCGGCCGTGCCCAGGACAGGATCTGGCGCCGGGATACTACTTCCCAGTTCCCAGTTGGAGGCCATTCCCTCCAGGCTGCGGTGGCACCGACCAGTTGGGAGCACGGCTTCAGACTCTGGAGCCGGCTCGACCAGCGACGGCAGAGAGACCTGGTGTCTCGAATGGCTTTCGGCTCCAGCGAGGATGTCCTCGGGTAGTCCGTCGTGGAGCAGCGGGCCGGACATCGACTCGAGCGCTTCGGGCCCTGCCAGGGTTTCGCATCCAGAGCTGACGCTGTGGTTCCATGACATGCTGCGATTGTGCCGGGTCGTAAACTCCAGCCCCGAGGCCTTGCCTCCGCTTCCAAGCGCCGGAGAAGGGCCCGAGCAGCTTCGCTGCGTCGATACGTCCTCTTCCCAGCCATTGAAGTCATCCGAGAGCAGTCGTTCGTCGACGGCGCGAGTACCGCTGGTGAGGCAGCTGGCCTTGAGCTTGGACCTGGGTGCCCGGGCCCGGAAGTGACTTGCGCCTGGAGCAGCCCGCTTTGGCTCGGCCGGCCCAACGTGAGAAGCAGCTGGTATCCGATTTCGGGACTTGCCAAGATCGCCTTGGCCCTCGACCATGCTCGCTGCCATCACCGAGCGCCGGTCGTCTCGCTCGATTGGGGGAAGTACCTTGCCTCGAACCACCCCACAGCCCGAGCCAACGTTTGCGCTGGGGCCCACAGATTTGGGCTCGGCGCCTTTGCTTCCTGGGTGTCGGTTGCTCTCGACCATGGTTTTCAGCTGCGGGAGATCCACCTTGATTCCGGCAATCGTCAGGACGTGCCGCATGAGCTCCAGCTCGTGCATCAGCCGCTCCATCTCGGCCTGCTTACGCTTGCTTTCATTGCTCATGCGCTCGATCACGGATTGGTACTTTTTCTTCTGCTTATCCAGCAGAAGATAGAGCGGCTTCTGTCCTTCGTATTCGTCGGGCTCGTGGCCAGAAGGCGTCATGACCATGGTGACCTCAGAATCCACCTTCTCGATTTTACTTGGCTGTGGGCTCGCTGGGCGGCTGTCCTTGGAGACCACATCAACCACCCTCTCGTCTGTCAACGGAACAGCAGTTCAGTACGACCGCAGCCCTGAGTTTTGCCAATCCGCCCAGCTTTGGGCCACAAGCTACTGCTGTGTCAGCCCCAGCTTCCAAGTGCTCGGCACCTTCCCACAACTTGCCTTGCTTGAGGAGGATAAGAGAATAGGCGTCTGTATAACATGTGCATAGAGTCGACCGTTAGAGACCGGACGCAAAGTATTGAACCATTCTGCAGATTGTGAGAATCCAGACACGAATGCGGCTCTGCTATCAGGCACATGTCCGTGTCGTGCCTCCGTCTGCTCTCTCGTCGCCTTCCAACCTAAATCGGGGCACTGACCATGGCATGCGTTGGACAGACGCTCGATTTCTTGGTGAAGAGCGCTGAGCACCGTGCTGTGGTCTTTCTGGAGAAACTCGATTGTTTTTTCCAGCGACGAGATTCGCGAATTGGCTTTCCTCAAGAGATCCTCGGCGTGGGACTCGCTTCGTTGCACTCCACCTGCACTCACACCCGCACCAGCGGCCCGAGACGGGTCGCTGCTCTCGAGAGAATCCCGACTGCTTGCACGGTTCGAGGGTGGAGCATTCTGCGACGGATTTGAGCGGGCACTCGACCCCGAGTGACCATGGACATCTATCGATGCGACCTGAGCCGGCGGCCCAGGATGCGACGTTGAAAGCGAGGGCGGTTTTGAGCTCGGCAATATCGCTGCTGGGAGAAGATTGAAGCGCGCACTGAGGGTGCTGGTTTCAGCAAGGGGCATGAACTTGTGCGGCTCATAATGGTTGACGAGGGCTGTTGTCATCTTGGCGACAGTCGACAGTTACGGCTCGACACAAATGGACGATAGGTAGAATCGCGGGAAGCGCCACAGATAGATTGGATCGAGGACTGCGATTTCCTGCAGCGTTGCCGTGTGATGGAGGCTGGAGAAGAATCGGAGAAACGGCGAGTGGCCCAATAGTGTGATTCGGCAAAGCACTGGCAAGATGGGATGGCAATGGCAGCACCACGATGACGGACGATAGAAACATGGGTTATAGAGCCATGGGTTAGAGTAGCAACACATCTCAGGCAGCCAGCTGGTGGATGTGGTATTGGGAGAGAAATCACGAGAGGCGGTGTGGTGCGATATTGCTTCTTGTCTGGTACAGCCACAGCCAAACAAGCAATGCCCTCTCGGCTTGAAAGTGGGGGCGAGCCTCAATAGAGATACCACAGCCGGAGCGACCGCAGACTCGAACGAGGAGTGATTTGCAAAGGATGGTGTGGTGCACAAGCCAGGGCCCAGACAACTCCCACTCGCTCAAAGCGAGTAAATGCCGTACCTGCGCCCCTGTCAGTTTGACTGGAACCAATGAGATCGTCGTCGAATACGGTAGCGGAGCTGGCGGTGTGCAGACAAGGTGCAAAAGAAAACGTCAGGAGGAGGTATCGAGCATTCGTTCTCACGCTGGCAGCAAGCAGCAGGAAGTGACGCGGAGCCTCGCCCGAGATGCGATAATGTCGGGGTCAGCTCGGCAGAGAAGCGCCCATCGAGGACTCAACACCCGAGAGCATTCAGAGGAGCATATAGATCATATGTCGCCAACCAGGGTCGCTGCAGCGGATGATGAAAGGTGCTTACTCGACAAGATGAGAACTTTCGTGCACCCCAGCGAAGCAGCAAGGAAACAGAGGTAAGTTTGGGCAACGGCAGATGCTCGGAACAACAGCGACGTGCCCGAAGACGATGCTAGAAAGTAGCACTGCGAACGATGCGCAAGGGACGAACTGAATGAAGGTGGTCCCCAGCGAGACGGACAGATGTGCCAACGCAGGTAGAGAAACGACACCGGCAGCCGCGCCCGGAACGGAGCTATTCGTATTCAGCGGCAGCGGATGCGCAACCACAGAGTTGCCGCTGGATACTCACAATGCTGCCCGCTGCTTCTCGCCTTCAGCCTTTGCTTTGAGTGCAGGAGGAGGAAGCGGGAAGAAAAGGATGTCCGAGCACACAACAAAAAGGTTCCCTCGAGAAACGCAGCCGATTCTTTTGTGTGTGTGGGCCGCCGAGGGCTTGCGCTTTGGATCTGCACTCTGTCGTGTGCGTTCCCAGCCAAGATGCAATATCAAGCAACTATATGTGTGCTTGCGGCAGCAATCTCAACGTCAGCCTCAATCGCAACCGGAGAATTCTGACCCTTGGGAGGCAGTGATGGACACAACAGCAAAGAAGGGCACAACAGTGCTCAATCAGGACACTGGACTGAGATGCTTGCACTCCCTGGGCAAGCGCAACGACTCTATCGAGACCAAGCGTGCTTGTCGCATTGAGAGCTGGATCATCCGCCTCACGATGGGTATGCATGTCGCACGCTTTCAACGCCAACTGGAGCACCCATGCCACACATGACGCTATGGCAAGAGCCGCAGACGTGCTCGCAGCAACCGACTTTTCTGGGTTTGGCTGAATCGTGTTCAGGGCCGGACTCTCCAGAGGAGCCTGGCTATCGGGAGCGAGCAGTCGGAAACAGCAGGCGGTTTATCTGCGAGCAACGTTGGGGAGTCTTGTGATATCGGGTGCTCGTTGTTTCCCTTAGGGAGCTGCACCCAGTCCCAGATGCAAGGGAGACATGGGGCGCATGTGTCGTTGTGCGAAGATGGCCATCGTGGGCAAGTCGGTGCAGATCTTCAGGGCCCGGCTAGGAAGCCTCGTCGCCAGGTTTTGATTTCTTGACAGGCTGCTGTCGAGAAGAGCGGTTGTGTGTCCAGAGGCGATGTGCATGTCAGAAACCACAGATACGTCTGCTACAGTCGGAGAACGGATGCACATCCGAACCAAGCCGAGTGGGAATACTCGATCGCAATCGTAACAAGCCATATGCACAACCAAGTCGAACAACGAAGAGCTGGCGCACAACAGACAGGCTTGGCGACCAATGGCGACCAATGGCGACCAGGCGCACCACCCGCCAAAGAGTGCATTGGTCCGTGTCCGTCAATCTCCACGCTCTACCGATCTTACTTTGAGCTTGGACGGCTTCTTCTCTGCAGGCGCCCTGGCTGGCTTTTCCGACTTCTCGGCCACCTTCTTCTTGTCGGCATCCTTCTGCGCCTTGGAAAGCGTGCCGTCCGCCTTCTTCTTTTTCTTTGGACCGGAGCCGATGCCATCGTCTGCATTACCTTGCCGTTTGCGGCCCTGTTGGGCTGCTTTGAGGAGCAGCCTGCTCTTCAGCTTGGTCTTTGTCAGGCGATACTCATCCTGAGGAGCGACCGAACGGCGTTGGAATCAGCACTTTAGTGCACCGTCAGCAACACCCAGATCGCGATCGTCTGTCCACGGTCGCTTCAGCCTCACCTCGACCATTCCCTCCTCGGACACGCGCTTGGAGTAATAGGCTTGCAAGAGCGAGATATGTTTGGACGGGTCGATGGGATCCCATTGCGGGATAGGCACAAGCCGACTCGAAAGATTTTCCTCTGAGCGAGAGCATCGTTTGGCAGACCGAGTCAGCGATGGCACCGCCAAGAGGGCAGAGGCATATCCGAGCGCACACAGCCACATATACAGAGCCCGAGGACACTGCGGAAACGGCGCGCACGCCTACCTGATTCTTGCGCCCTGTACAGTCATCGGATAGAGGATGGGAGACATTGGCATCACAGTTAGCAGCGCCCAAGTGCGACATCTCTCGTTTCCTCTCGTTGCTCCGCCGGACGATACTGTACTGTGCGGCAAAGAACTTGCGCAGCTTTCGCTTGATGGGCTTCTCTGCCTTGCGGTTCCAGAGCTCAACAGGAACCTGTGTGCATTGGTTGAGAACGGCAATGTGAGCATGGCTCGGACTGTGTTGAGCCGAGGATTGGTCCAAAGCTGCTGGCAATTGCGGTGTCTCTTACGCTGAGAGCGTCGACGCCGACATCCTTGAGATTCAGGAGGTCCACTCCCATTTCTTCAAAGAGACTTCCGCTGCAGTGACCGGTAAGCACCGCCCGCGGCAGGGAAACGTCAGTGATGTCACTTCAGCAGCCTCAATACCAAGTCAGCCATGGACTGCGACATCGAGCGCCTTGGACGCATTAGCCATACCTAATCAGCTGCTCGGACGACTCCTCGATGATCACGTCTTCGTCGGCAACAGCCTGATCAGTTTGGTACTAGTGGAAGTATGCCCGTTTCGAGGCACGTCAGCATTCGGCCCATCGCTCAGTCCATGACTCCGCTCATCACTCAATCCTCCAGCCCAGCATCCAGCCCAGCATCCAATAGCCGGATACGGGGTTGTGCGTGATCCCACAGATATGCGGCAACGCAATGTCCATCGCTCGAACCCACCATCGACAGCTCGCGGTATTCCAGATCCAGTCTCTTCCGCAGCTCCGATAGCTTGAAGCCATATCGCTTGACGTCGTTCTTGATGTAGGTATCCAGTGTGTTGGCCGAGGGAATGCCATTCTGGACAAGCGTGTGCATCAGAATCTCATCGAGCTCCATACGGCCGGACTGGCGCTCCAGGTAGAGGTGGAGGGTCTTGGTGATGTTGGAGAGATAATGCGAGACGACGTCGGTGATGAGAGCGAGCGCCACTGCGCTGGCAGCTGGAGCAGCCGCGATGTTTGGTTACGACAGTGTAGCAACCAGCGACAGCACCACAGTTCCCAAGAAAAGGGTTGGAAGGTCAGTGTCGAGCTCAACAAGTTGGTGCGAGAGGCGGCGACAGAGTCCGTTAAAGTTAGTCGCAGGCATCAGCAGCCCTCCGCCCGATGCCACTAACCATCGAACCCGGCATGCAAGAGAATCCGACCAATCATTTGCTTGAGAAGTGCATCGCTCGATCGTTTGTTGAGAACAAAAGCCGGCAGCTCATGCTCCTTCCACGACGGCTGGAACAGCTCCAACCGAGTCTCGCCCGGTGCAGGACCGGGCACAGCCGCGCCAGAGGTATCCTCACGGATTCCGATCTGCAGAGGGAGAAACAAAGAGCAGAGTTCAGTGCAAGTCCCAGAAGTCGATGAACGATGAGAGATTGGCTTAAACAGTTGCTGGAATCATGGCATCCATGACTCCGCACTGGCAAGGGGGACAGCGGGCCATTGCCGAGCGTCGGGCACATCGAAACACTTGCTGGCAAGCGCACCTTGATCTTTTCGTGAACAGATTTTATGTGCTTGAGATCGCCGATGTTGTCTATGACCTGACGACAGAGCTTGTTCTGTGTATCAAATTTGGACTGCCGGTACTCTGACAGCGAGGGTAGAAACGGCTGGATGTCGCTGCAGTCGCGCGTGTTGGTTGGATGCAAGGGCGATGCAGTTTGGTATCGGTTAGCGCCATGGTTGTACGCATTGGTTAGTGTCGTGGTCGTACGCATCGGTTAGTACCGTGGCTGTGCGCATCGGTTGGGCCAGGAACAGCGTTGTCTGGTGTCAAAGAACGCCTCAATATCCCCGAGGGAGGTTCACAGATGCACTGCCGAGCCAGAGCAGAGCAGCGCGTACCTCTCGTATGAGAGCTCAAAGAGCTCCTCGTCGCTGATCTTGAGTCCGTCTGCCTTCTTGGAAGTGAAAACGTACTGGATCGCACGCTGCGGCAGAATCTCGCAGATCGAATCGTACTCGGGGAAGAACGACTCTTTCATCAGCTCGAAGGGATTCGGCTTCTCGGCATCGATGGCGATCTCGCTCGAAGCTCCCCCAGGCGCGTCAACTGCGACTCCATCCTGTCCGCAAAAGGTGGAGCCATCAATGCGCATGATCCTGCGGATATTGTTACGACCGAGATACCGCCGGAACCGGAGTGCATAGAGCTCCATCGCCTCAGGTGTCCGGCGGAGCAACGGCCGTTCAGGGAACGGCAGCGCGAGATGCTCTGCTCGCAGTTTCTGCAGACGGCAGAAAGGGCCCATGACCGACCGGCCGACAGACAAACAGTCGCAGGAAAGCCAAGTTAGTCTGGGATAGCAACAACCGCAACCGATCGAGAGCGGTCCGCACAGCCAAAGGAGCCCAAGCAGGCAGCTGAACACAGCGCTTACCAATGCTTTGACCCGGCTTTCCATCGTCCGCTCTCGAAACCTCTGCAGCTGCAAGCTTCCATCGTCAACGATTTCCTCTTGAGCCTCGGCATCCTGCTCGGGCTGCGCTTGCTGCGGGGCATCGCCTGCGGTTTCGCCAGGCACGGGCTCTGTCGGGACTGAAGCATCGCTCTCCTTTTCGATGTCGTTGTCGGGCTTGGCGGAAGCAATGTCACTGCTACCGCCGACATCAGCTTCTTCTGAAGAGCGTAAGACGGGGGGTGTTGTGAGTTCAGGTTGGGATAGTTGGCCGGACGGAGTAGCGTCTGCGTACAGGGCCAACCCTCTCAACAGAAAAATAGACAAATGTACTCACTCGGAGGTTCAGTGCCTTGGTCCGACTCTTGCACGGGACCTGTGGTAGCAGGCTCCTCGTCCTCGTTTTTGACGCTGGGAGCAGGTGTCTCTGACACGCTGACACTCTTTTGCGGCGGGTGATTCTTTCGTTTCTGCATGTAGAAGAGACTGAATGATGAGTGGGCTTGCGCAATGGACGGCAGCGGCGAAACCAAATGCATGGAGCACAGCATGCGGTACGTCAGCGCCAACGAAAGCACCTTCTTGGACGATCGCGACTTGCTGGTTGCCTTTGAGCCTGATGCTTTGCGCGACCCCTTGACGCCTCGTCCTTCGGTGTTATCTATGGCAGCAGGTTTGCAGACGCAAGGGGAATCAATATCACTGCGGCCCTTTGCATCCATCATACTCCCCCAACCAGGTGATAGAGCACAAGACGCCTTGCAATCGAGGGAGAACTCGACAGGACCAAGAGCGTCACCAGTGGTAATAAGAACACCAACAGAAGCAGAAGCATCTCTCACGAAAGCAACTTGCGCCGACGGGGTATACCATCATCTGACTCGGACTCTTCGACTTCTGGAGCACGGACTTGGACAGTGATGTCTGGCACCTTGCGCAGCAACTCCGTTGTGCGGCGCTTCATGGCCGCAGCGTGCTTGCGGTAGATGCTGTCCTGCTCGTATCATCCACACCAGCCATAGACCAGGGCGGCACCGAGTCCGAAACGAAAATGAGCGGTTCAAAGGCGTGCAAGCAAGTCGCCCGTTGTTGAGTCAAAGAGGTCTCACAACGATACCGACGAGAGGAGCATGTGAAGTTGCGACCGAGAGATAGACTCACTGGCTGGGTGTTGAAGGTCATACAATTGGACCAGATCAAATACAGGTCGTCGGCAAACTCCTTCTTGCTCAAATACTGCAGTGCCTTGAGTTTCTTGGTCATCTGAGCAACAGATCAGCCGGTCATCGTTTCTCAGTATGCAGTTTGACTCGGGAGACGCAAACACGCCTCGCTGGCATCGCCGAAACGACTGCATTCATCGAAACACTGCAAGCACATCGCCGCACACTTCGAAGGGGCTGCGGGGGAGTCCAGGCAAAGAAGCAGCAAGCCGCATCGATATCATCCTTCCAATCGCACTTTGCGATACTAACAGTGCCCAGATCCATGGGGTTCTTGATGACTACGAGGCGTGCAAAATGCGATGGAATCAGACATGGCTACATCGGTGATTCACCGTGGTAATTGGCATTCTTTCCCCTGAGCTTCAGAGTCGGCGACCCCATTCCTACAATCTCAGCACGACGGAACCAGGATGCTGACTTACTTTCGAAATAGTTGGGTGCCTCACGCTTGCTGACTTTCTGCAAGAAGCAAGCCGAGTGCTCCTGATGGCCAAGCAAGCAACCCGCCGGTGTTACAGCCCAAGCAGCAACATTCCGCATTGTGCGGCGAAATATGTCATATCACTTGCAAGGTCAGCGCAAATGATCGTACCGTCATATTCTTCAAATCGTTCAGCACGCGCTCGAGGTGTTCGTAGAGCTCTTCTTGCCCAACACGATCCTCGCTCGCCTGTCCAATGGAGAGCAGTAACCAATGTCACAATCCATCAGCATCGCCCGCCTATCTGTCGACCGAGTTCAAAGTGGCAGTAGCACCAAAAGCCGTACCCAGGCTCAGGCAACTCCCACATATATACACCCATCCAGGCGCCGCAGCCACCCAGCCATGCACCGTGACGGAATCCCGGCCCATCGAACGCACCCATTTCGACCGGCTCGGTCGCGCATCAGCGAGAAGCTGCTTGATTTCAACGAGCTTGGCAGGAGCAACCACTTTGTTGATCGCCTCGAATAAGTACTGCGGAGAGACAGCAGAGTCAGTCCCTTGCAGAAGAAAACCCTGCGCTTCCGGCCACAGTACTTCTCGCGGCCGGTCAGCAGCACAGCGGATCGGCACTTACCTTGACGCTGGCATGGACATCCTCGTCCTTTTGCTGCAGGAAATGGCAGCGGCACCACGATAGTTGGCCAAAAGGCGTCAGTTGCCCCCCAATTGCCGAACATGATGCGACTCAGCATGGCACAAGCGACGATGACGGGGAGCCGCTTCGATAGGGCATCGCACAGATTCTCGAGCAGCGCATTGGGGCTGATGCTCTCGATAGACGTATTCTGTTGCACCATTTGTCACCATACATACCTTTGTGATCCCATCAGGCGATTGCTCAGCCCGCAGCGCCTCGGACTCTTCCCTCCGTAATCGCTCCTGTCCAGTGAGCAGCATTCGGGGGTCAGTACAGCCCACTCCAAACACTCTGGACACTCCAGACAAAGCCGTCACCGCGCAGCCAACCGACCTGGATCCTCTCGTCGTTGACGAGTGCTTCGTGGTCGTATTCCAGAGTATAGTACATGTCGTCGATGGGAACCCAGTCCTGCAGCAAATCAAGCTCGTTCTCGAGACATTCGTTGGCTTCGGGCAACTCGTTTGTCTTTGAGGGATCGGCAACGTCACCGCCGGCAGTCTCGGGATTCTCGGGATTTTCGGGAAGCATCCGGGGGCCCGATTCAGACGAGTCCTGTTGTTGTTGTTGCTGCTGCTGCTGCTGTGGATCTGCGGGCTTGGAATCTTCCATATCATAATCGTCGTCGTCGTCCCCGCCGTTGCCACCGCCTCCATCACGGACGCTCCGAGTTAATTGGATTTGCGGAACGCGAGAATCCAGTTTGGCCGAGTCTGTCGAGTCCTGGCTCTGCTCCTGTCCCGGAATCGACCCCGCTGGTTTCAGAGTCGAGTCGGCCTGGGGATTGGGAGCCCCGGCCCGCTTGATCGACAGGAGCTCGTCGGCCCTCGACAGGTTGATGACCGAGTTGGCGACGGGGCCTCCCACCAGGTCTGACAGGGTCGATGGAATCAGCTGCTCGTAGATCATCTCGCGGATGCGGAATCGGGTCAGCTGCGAAAAGGAAACTGTCTTGGAGTCCTCGGATCCTACTTGAGAATGCACTCGGACGTCGCCTGTTGGAAAGAGGTTCAGCCGGAACATCCCCCCAGTGATCCAATTGTTCATCATCGTTGTCGTTCGTGATCCCACGGTATAGGAGCATCATCGGCGGCATGGCAAGCATGGCCATGCAATGATCATGGAAGCGCCAATGTCGTTGCGTGGAATTCAGTCGACAGAGGAGAACAGAGTCGATATGCGGTCAGACAAATCAATAGCAAAGTATCCCAGTCAGATCAACAACCACAGCTATAGGCCGCAGAAAACGCCATGAGCAATCGATATCGGGAACAAGCACCAATGACGCCATCCGCTAAGCTATCGGCCTAATTTGAACGATGTGGCTGGTATGTCCACGACATTGGATACGGAGACGGGTCGAGACGACGGATGCGCAATCTTGCGGCCGCATCCTTTCAAAGCCCTGGTCTTCCACATCCGCCCTGATCCATGCTCGCATCGGGTGCTCATCCAAGCGACGGCGTGTACGCAGATCGAACAGATGCATTTGCGGGCCCTATCGATCAGCGTTGGCTCAAGAACGAGGTAGCAGAGGGCAAACAAAGGCGCAAAATAAACGCACCTTTGAATTCCGGTCGGTTGCTGAATCTTGGATCACTCATGAAAGCCTTCCAGGTATCGTGATCTTGGGCAGCCTTCACAAAGATCTCACCCTCTTCGGTGGTCAAAAAGTACCTCCATCGACCAGTGGCCAGCAATCGCCGGGCAATATCCCACTCGGCATCCATCGGACTCTGGGACTGGGGGGGGGGTAGGATGTCGGATTTGAAGCAGCAAGGGACCTGGATGCCAGAATCGGAAGGCGTGGTGGGTGGTGGAGGTTGCAGGAGCAGGCTGCAGAGTGCCGAATGTGTAATGTTGGGTGCGGTGTCGATGGCCACTCGGCAGAGACGGCCGTCTCAAGTGGCAGGCGTCGCAGATGCAGCGGCAGATGCAGCGGCAGATGCAGATGCAGGACAGATGCAGGACAGATGCAACGGGTCGCTTTGAAGCGGACAAAAAGGCAGGGGCGCTGGATCTGGCGCTGGATCCAACCGGAGGAGCCAGTTGCTGTCGCGTTGCAGAATGGTGGAGCGACGAACCACAGGAATGCGAAGGGCGGACCGAGGTGCTCAGGCGGACGACATTGCCCCGAAGGCTGGCTTTGGATATGCGGGTGTCGGCTGGCAGTGCTGGTGCAGCAGCACGGGAGAGCAGAGCAGAGCCAGAAAGACGACCGAGGCACACCACACCGGAGCCGATCGCAGTCGCAGCCCCACTCGAGCAGATTGCATAGGCAAAGTCGACAAATATATGGATATGTATATATACCAAGTAGTGCCCCGAAACAAGCCGTGAGCCATCAATATAGAACAAGAAAAGATTCAGCATATTTCCGCAAGGAGACATGAACGGCCGCACGGGGCCTCCCCCTTCCCCCAAAACACAGCCAACTACTCTTCTTCGAGCGCCTGGCTGACCGGCACGAAGGCGCACAGGACATCGGTCATGGTGACAACACCGGCGATCTTGTCGCGGTAGCCGGTGACCCACACCCGGTGGATGCCCGTATCGATCATCGACTCGATGACCTCGCCGAGCTGGGCAGACTTGTTGACGTCGCGGAGCTGGTCGGCTTTGAGCTGGTTGGGCTCCCGGTGGATGCCGGTCTCGAGGAACTCGAACACAGGAAGGAGCAGCTGGTCGAGCTTGCCTGGGGTGATGCCGCGCAGGTCGGATGCCGACAGGTTGGCGATGATGCGATTGTGGGGATCAACGATCGGGACGGCACGGACCATGTTTTCGTACATTATGCTGCAGGACGAAGGGATCGGAAAGCGGCGTTGGATGAGCAAATGCAGATGGCACCGTCGCTTGGCAAAAGGAGCAGCGCTCCCATTTGTCAACTCGATCGATGACGACCGAGTCGATGGCAACAGCAATCGATTTCAAGCAGGGCAGACACATCGTCATCGCCAACAGAGCCCCCACGCCGACGCAGCCATTGCACTGACACGGCTTCACGACAAGCAGGTATCCAGAGGATCTGCACATGGTTGGACATTCATTCCCACGACATGGATGATGCGACGCAGATGAGCACGTACCGGAAGGCAGCAAGGGCCGAGACATTCTGAGGAACGGCGACGACACGGCGTCCGTTGGACTTTTTGTTGTCCTCCTGACGCTTCTGAAGCTCCTCGACCTGCGAGGCATGCAGCGAGAATATGGTTTCGACGGCCGAGACGTCGATGGAGCTTCTCATGTCGTAGAGATACCGAATAACGTCTGTCTGGGTGATCATGGTGATGGACGAGCCGGTTGGGGGAGCCGTGGGACCGGGCCCGTCGTCGTCAAGGAGGGCCGAGGCCACCAGGGCATCCTCGTCGATGACCAGGCAGCGGTGGTAGCGCCCCGTCGCAAACATTTGGACCAGCGACGAAATGGGGTCAGACGAATGCAGAGTCCACGAGTCGACGGACTCGGAGGTCATGCCGACCAGGACCTTGACAGGGGTGTCGAAGTAGTGGGCCTGCTCCTTCTGGATCCGCTGGAAGGAGGCCAGGTCGATGGAGGCTGACGGCTTGGATACGTGCAGGCCGTCAAACATTTTCTGGAAAACGGTCCAGGCGAGAATGTCATAGACCGAGATGATACCTGTTGGTGGGAAGGGCGGTGATGGGTAGCAAAGACAAGGGTCAAAATCAGTCTATATGCGATGGCGGCATCCACACACAGATAAGCGTCGGCCGACAGCAACCACCAGCTGGAATGTTGTTGAAGGGAGTGGGTGGCTCTGCTCTATGAGCCTGTCATGTATCTACATCGAGGCCGGAGCTCATTGAGATCGCAGCAAGACACATACCGGTGAACTGCTTGCCGGTGGGCTCCTCCTCTGGGATGGAGTAGACAGGGACAGCGAGAATGGCATGATCCGAGAGCGTCCTCAGCACATCGCCGAGGGTGGTAGATTCGTGGATCGAAATCAGAGGGTGGTAAGGGCGGTAGGTGCGGCGATGCTCCAGGAGCTTCTTGATGGGGTGGTGGTGGAGCTTCTTCAAGACGACAGCGGCAGCCTGGTCGGCAGCAGTGTCGATGACCGTGGGGAGCGAGGCAGTCATGACGGGATTGATGTATCAAGTTGGGAGGTGTGAGATCGGAGGGTCAACAGAGAGCCTGTGGGTTGCAACCGGCAAATATCGATGGAACAGCAGGTGGAGAGAATGGCACGGCCTCGGATGGGACGGTGCAGGGCAAAGCCAAGGAAGAACGGGTATGTGGATCGGAAAGTACTTTGTTGTAGTGGAAAGTAACGCACGTTGGATGACAGATGGGTGGGTGGAAGGCGTGCTCTTCCCACCTTTTATACTTTCTGACGACCCTGGCGGCGCCGTCTGCTCCTCCCGGCGGCCAGCACCGGCCTGCGAGTGGTGTATCGACAGCGGGCGGATGACCATCCGAGGACCACTGGCAGCGGACCGGCGGGAGGGACAAGAGCGGGTTGCCAGACGGTTCTGCTCCTGCTGATCGGGCGGAGCCGCTATTGGATGCCGACAGCAGGCGGATGATGAGTCCGGCGACGGCGCTTGGGCTGGGGGCAGTCACTGTGATGCCGCCGGCTGTGGTCTCGAGGGCCTGCGAAAGGCAGCGACGCAGAGTGCGTCCTCAAGGCTGGGGCGTGGGTCACGATGACTCGAGGGGGGACTGTTGGTGCTGTCCATCGGCGCCTGGGGCCGCGGCGTTGTTGTCGCTGCTGCGAATGTTTTCGTTGATACTGCGAATGTTGTCGCTTCCGCCGATGCTGCCGGTGGTGCTGACGATGGCGGCACTGTTGATGCTGCCTGAGGCTTGAGACCCATTCCCCAGCCCGGCCCTCTCGTCCCGACCCGAAACGGGCCGGTCCTGGCGTGCATCTGCTTGGTCCCTGTGGTTCGGGTGGCTCCAGCTTCGCTGCTTGGGCACTTCACGGCTCCTGTCGCCTCGGTCCTCGTTCCAGGGAATGCGCCCCAGGACCCGTCCGTCGCTCGAGTCCAGTCACCTCCCTCCCCCATCGACACGGGAAGTCGGCTGCTGTTTGTGGAGAGGGATCGTCGTTTCTTTTGAAAGAACTATATTTCAAATGATGAGCGGCTCTCGCTCAACCAGAGACAGAGAGGCGGCGAGAAAGTGTGATAGATGGTACTGAAGAGTGAAAGGGAGGCGAGGGGAGAGAGGAGCGACGCGATACCGCAGAGGCCCTCCTGTATAGATCTACGGAAAGTATACACGCTTATTCGTCATCCTCATCGTTCTCGTCCTCCTCCTGCTTCTTCTCTTGCTTCTTCTCCTGCTTCTTCTCCTTCTTCTCGGGCTTTGTCGACTCGGCCTTCTTGGGCTTGGAGGCCTTGGTCTTCTTGGGCTCCGAGTCACCAAGGAAGGTGCCGAGGAACAGGACGGGAATCAGCACAGCCATGATGAGACCGCCGGCAACATGGGGGAGCTCCTTGAGGGCATCGACGGGGCTCTCCTTGGCACGCTCAACGAACTTGGTGACCTCGCGGTGAACAGAGTCCTTGACGAACGACAGGTGCTCCTTGACCTCATCCAGCTTGCCCCAGACACCCTCGGCAGCGGGCTTGGCATCAGCAGCTTCCGGCAGCTATGTAGTTTGGCAGAGTCGGGGTTGTAAAGAGCGATGGGCGTCAGTTCCGCTGGAGCGACCGTTGGAGTGGATCCGATTTGCTTTTCTCCACCCTCCCACAAAGCCACGGCGACCCTGGCTTGACACAAATCGCCACTGCTGCTTACCTTGGGGGCGGCAGCCTGCTCGGCCTCATCTTCAATCTTGTACTTGACAGCCCAGGTCTCCTCAGCGAGCCGCATGGCGTCCTCGGGGGAGCTTCCGATGTAGATGTTGTCGAAGAGGATGTTGCCCTGCATGGTCCACAGCTCAAAGCCGAGACCGCCCTTTGAGTAGCAGCAAGATGGGAATCCACAGGAACGTCAAGCCGCAGACCAAGAATACGCACTCAATATGAGGCTCAGCGCGACGCTTCGGCAAGACATCCGACGAACACAGAGCCACTTACGAGCTTGTTTAGGTTGGCGGGATGGAGATCCTCGTAGAATCCAGGGTTGGAGATCTTGCGAGGAGCCCAGACGCCCTTGTAGGCGGGGTTATCGATGAGAGGAGCAGACCACTTGCCCTTGTAGTCGGGGTTTCTGCATGGATGTGTGAGGCGCCGGCAGGAATGGTGAGCGGGACCGTGTCTGGGCTACATATTCAGACACTCACCAGCGACTGCACTCGTCAGCACAGCTCAATGCGACTGCCACGAAAGCGCTGTCGGCTCACCTCTTGTTGGGACGCTTCCACTCGCCGCATCCAGAGGCAGCCTCGCACTTGGGGTTGGGGACAGAAGGAGCGACCCACTCGCCATCCTCCTCATCATCCCAGTCTTCAGGCTTGGCAGCCTCGGGGTCGGGGACGATCAAGGGCTCATTGTCGAGCCAGTCTTCGGGCTTGGAGGCATCCTCGTCAGGGATCTCGATGGGGGCATCCTCATCCCAGTCATCGGGCTTCTTGGCTTCGGGATCAGCAATCCTATCACCAAGAGGGAAGCCAGTCATGAGAACGCAGCCTTGCAATGGGGTCTTGCACAGCAAACAATAGCCATAAGCATGCTCCGGCACTTGGGCAGAGCGGAAACTCAAAAGACTCACTTGGCCTCGTCGACCCAGTCGGCAGGCTTGCTGTCCTCGGGATCGTCAATCTCCTTGGGAGGGTTGACGGGGGGCTTCATGCTCTCGAGGAGGTTACCGCGGGTGACCGACTCGTTGTTGGTCAGGATCTCGAAGGTGTTGTCTGGGTTGACGATGAGAGTGTAGAGAGTGGACTTTTTGTCGATCTTGGCGTTGGGGGTGGACTCGAGGTGCTTCTCCTCGTACTCGCCAGTGAGAGGGTTCTGGGCAAAGCAGACCAAAGCGGCTTTGGGTGAGCCGCAGAACAGGCAAGAAATCCACAGAGAGGAGCGACCACCAAGTAGACTCGGCACTGTGCACGCGCGCGAGACGGCTGCATCGGCCTGAATGATCGACCGAGTCGGGCATGGGAGACGCCTTACCTTATGTCTGAAGATGAAGTGGACCTTGTTGGTGGAGCCGCACTTGTCGGGACCAAACACTGGAGGTGATCGAGCTCGTTAACTCAGGGCTCATGGCATACGGCAATGGGTGCGCGCCCTGGCACCCGACCTCAAGAAACACGGCCATTCGGCAACAGAACCGGCGCCGGGTGCACAATTTCTCATACTTACTGATGGTGTAGGGAGACTTGTCATCGAAGCGATCGGGCTGGAAGCTCTCGTCGTAGGTGAGGACCTTGAGATAGGCACCACCGCACTCGAGACCGTCCTGGAGCTTGACTTCGTACTGCAGGACAAAGGGCTTTCCGGCGGGGTCGATGGGGGCCTCGAACTTGGTAGCAATCGCCTGGAAAAAAGCAGGGGCATCAAACGGATGGGCGCGTCAGGGGCTGCATATTGCCACTGCCAGAGCTCTGGCTTCAACTGTGGTCCGAATCGATCTCCCACGCACGATGTAAATCCGTGGCACACGGCGCTATCGAGGATCAATGGCGAAGGCTGGATGGCTTGCGCGCCCTCCAGTGAGCGGGCACGGCACTTACGTGGTGAGCGGCCGCGGTCTTGACGACGAGACCCTTGTCGCCGGCGATTCCAGGGAAAACCGAGGGAGCCTCGACGGCCCACTCGCCGCGGTACCGGAGGAGCTCGTCGTCCTCGACGCCATCAACGACCTTTTTCGCTCCCGACACGACCCAGCGGGTCTCCCAGTCGTCGGTGAACTGTTCCAGGAAGGGAGCTCGGATAGAGGTGGGCTGCAGAGAGATGGGTCACAGATCAGCAATGTCGTGGAGAACCGGGCGATCGCACCAGAGCAGAGTGGATCAGAGTAGATCAGAGTAGATCAGATCAGATCCGCCCGATCGTATTGGATCAGACCCGACGAGATCAAGCAGATCAAGCTGCATTGGCGATCGCACTCGCAGGCTGCAGAGACACGATGGTCGGCGACGAGGGGGGAGTGCGGCTCGGCCTGCCGATCCGCGCGAAACCGAAATGAGGCTGAGCAGCTTGGAATGATCAGGGCCGACAAAGGCGGGTTGACGGATAGGGAACGCACCTTGAACTGGACGTCCTCGGCGTTGACGATGGCCGAGGAGGCGAGGAGCAGCAGCGAGGCAAGGGCAGAAGAGGGACGCATGGCGGGCCGGGCTGGCGGATGGACGGGCGGATGGGCAGATGGCTCTGGGGGTGGGAAGATGGAGGCGAAAGGGGTGCGAGCGTCCCTGGCTATAAGAAGGGCTGGGCCTGCCAAACCTGGCCGCGTGTGTGTGTGGCCGGCGCACAGCACAGCCGCACTGTGTCTGTGGCGAATCCGCCGTGTCTGGCGGCGATTGGCTGCCGCGTGCGCAGCAGCGTGGCCGGCCGCGCTCTGGCTGCCGGCTCGGCGTGCACGTGCGCCTGTCTGGTGCATGGGCCAGCAATCCTGCACGATCCGCCCTCGGCCTTGGCTCGCAACCAACCAACCAACCAACCAACCGCCTTGGCCTTGGTCTGGTCGTCCGCTGCAGCCCGTCCCTGTTTCTGCGGCCCGGTAAGTCTGCCGACTCTCCCTTGGAAACCCTGTCCTTCGGGCCCCTGATCGGCTCTGCATGCTGAAATGTCGTGGCTTGCTCGCATCCCACGCGGGCCTGTCCGGTCGCTGGGCTCTGCCATGTCGGCAGCCCAACTACGCCATCACCGCTCGTAATGCCGCCGCCGTTGCTGCTGCTGCTGCTGACTCTGTTTTCTATATTTCGCTAGCCATGAAGTTCGGCAAAACCCTTCTCTCCAACCAGATCCCGGAGTGGTCGCGGTAGGTTGCTGCACGAGGGCCTCTCCTGCGGGTAATCAGCCCTCGCGACTGTCTCGGAGCTCGGCCATCTATGTGCCGATGCAGCTCACTCCGCGATTCGGGCACCTCACCATGCTCTTCAGCCTGCCTCGATCACCGCCGAGCCAGGCCCCCGGTCCATCGGGACTGCCGATTTTGGGCACATGTTGACTGTCTTCCGAATGGCCTCCCTTGGATGGCTGGCTGCCCTGGTGCCGCTCTGTCTTCGCGTTGTAGATACTACATCCTCTACAAAACCCACAAGCGATTGATCTCGGATGCCAAGGCTCTCCTGAAGGAAAAGGGGCTGGCTGATCTCTCCACCCAGGATGCCATTCACGGTATGGATCACCCCTTCCCTCCTCGAACTGCTCCTCGTACTCGCATCCAAACGCTGCCTCCGACCTTGTCATCACAATACTCTGGCTGGCAACACCGTTCTAACAGCCCGCAAACCCTCTGGCTTACCCTCTGCAGTCTTTTGGAAGTCCATCGACGTCGATCTGATCAAGGTCAATACATTCTTCCTCAACCAGCATGAACGAGTGGAGCGTCGACTTCGAGTTTGTAAGTGAACTGCGTCTCCTATCAGCGTCACATCTTGCGCTATTGTCGCATCGATGATCGAGCTGTGGCTGTGTCGGCTCCGTCTGCGGAGCTGCATCAGGGCATCCAGGCCTCATCCCTAAACCAACACACACCCTCCCTGCTTGCATCCAGGCCGCGACCGTCTCCACCAGTATGATGACGAATCATTCTCAAAGTATTCGGCTGAGAGCCATCATGCCTTCCTGGATGCCTTGAAGGAGACGCGCGATCTGCTCCACATGGCGATCCGGTACTCGGACACCAATTACAACGGATTCCGGAAGATTGCCAAAAAGTGCGCATTGCTCTGCTTCCACCGCTGCGGATGCCAGTTGGATGCCCGAGCACGCATCTGATGATTGCAGTACTCATCGTCTCGCGATACCATCATCAGATTCGACAAGAAGCTCGGTCAGCAGACTCTCAAAGATTTCCTCGTGACCAAGGTAGCCAGCGATAGAGGCTCCTCCCACAGTTCAGTCTGGGGATGCAGATCCACTGATGTCTAGACTCTCCTGTCCGCGTCATCCAGGTCGATGTCCTGGAGTTTTCAAAAACCCAGGACCTGAACTCGGCTCTCAACGAAATCGAGGTTATGATCATCGAGGCCCACAAACTTTCGGTCAAGATCGAGCAAAAGGGGCACGGCATGATCCGCAGAATGTCCTTCACATGGTCCAGCCACAACGACCTTATCTCCGCCCTGTCCTCCGACAACCTGCCCGAGCTCATCAAGATTCTCGACGAGCCGGTGAGTCTCAGGGTGGCATCCCTGCGACATTTTCGCCCTGCAAGCCTCCTGATGACTGCTGAGTCAAGTGTCGAGCAGCCGCTTTGGGTCTGTGCAGCACGCCAATACATTCGCCGCTCCTTTACTCACCCACAACCACTGTCACTCCGCAATCTCAACCAGGCACTTGCGGGCAGCGCCGCGACCCCAGCCCTCTCTGTCTATACCCCTCTCCTCATCAAGGCATGCCACTTTAGCAGTCCTCGATGTGTCGCGTATCTGCTGCAGAAGGGCGGATCGGTTGCCCCCGAGGCGGGAGACGTCAATGAGCGCACGCTTGTCCATCGCCTTGTCGTCCACGGAGGCGTCCTGGCCACCGAGAGGCATTCGTCTCGCCACAGAGGCGACGAGACCGGTCTCATCGAGACCGTCCTCAACACAAGCACCGAGGCAGTCGAGGCACTGTTTCAGGTTGATGGATTCGGCCGAACGCCGCTGCACTACAGCACGCTGCTCAACCTCCCGCGGACCGCAAAGCTGATTCTTGAGCGCATGCGGACCCACCGAGCTCGCCAGGTCGCTGCAAGTCCAATTCTCGATCCTTCCAACCTGATCGATCTCAAATGGTGCGATTATGATGGCCAAACCCCCGTGTTCTATGCGGTGGTGAAGGGACACGCTGAGGTTCTGAAGGCCCTTGTGGACAGCGAGTCCTTTGACTTGGATGCTCCGATCGAAGGTATGCAAGCCCAAAGCAACGCTGCACCGATTCCGATATGCCGTGACATGTCTCTTCCCATCGATCTGCCTGATCATATCTTCCCGAATCTAACCACGCCACTATTGTCGCTTGATGGGTCTATTCATCCCCAATCCGCAATTCTTGTCTTTGCTGCAGTTACTAGTGACTCCAAAATCGTTCAGCTCTCCAACCGCACAGCCCCACTCAAGCATGTTCAGGTCGGAACCACGCCGCTGGGTCTCGCTTGCACTTATGGCCATGCAAAGGTCGTCAAGCTCTTGCTCGACTACGGCGCTGATGTCGATGCCGTCAATGAAGACGAGGAGGTACGTATTCAGCGGGACTGTGCTAGCCCGCTGTGTCGACGGACCCGCATCCGGGAGCGCCTTCTTGTCTTGGCCAAGTTGTTGATGCGCCATTCTGTGTGCTGTGCATAGACACCCCTGCATCTCAGCTGCAGAGGTGGCTGGGTCGACTGCGTGCGAATCCTCATCGGGGACACAAGCTCGTCCGACGAATTCCTTGGAGCCAACATTCACGCTACCGAGAAATACTTTGGATGGACGGCGCTCCATATTGCTGGTAAGCATCAATGCGCCCATATACGGTACTCTGCCTCCGAGCGTGGCACCATGCTCACATCTGTGTCGTTTGCACCCGGATGAACCACACAGCCATCCAGGGCTTTGCGGAGTGCGTCGAGCTGCTTCTGGACGCTGGGGCCAACGTCTTCACTCCCGATATCTCCGGATGGAATCCGTACGAGTACGCGGTCTTTCGAGGCCACTCCAAGGTCAAGTCGCTGTTTGCCCCCTATCTGGACGCCCAGCCGCCCAAGCCGCCGTTTCCATCGCCGCAGCCAACCATCACCAAGACCAACCCTATCGAGGATGACAAAGGTCGCAATCGACTGCCCACCGCCACCAACACGGTTACATCGTCGCCCATTGCGCCATTCTATCCACCCGTTGCTGGCCCCAGCACACCGCACACAAGCTCGGCGGACGCCCGCTCCGCCAGCATCGTTGATCAGGCCAAACCCGAGCCGTCGGCGCCCGGATCTGCGGCTGCGTCCGTTTCGGAGCGAAGCTGTCTCAAAAACGAGTCCGTGATTGTGATCCATCTCGGCTCGCTCGACATGCGCCACCCCGTCGAACCCGTCGTCCTGGACGAAGCCAAGATCCCAGCAACCTTGGCATCCACCAGCTATGTCCTCAGCATCTCGTGCCAAGCCAAGGCCGGTCAGAACCGCGCCGAGTACAGCAGCGTGTACACCCAGCAGATCATCTCGACTTCCGAAACTGTCTCGTACGATCTACCGCTGCACGAGTCGGTGCAAGACGCCGCCGTCTTTCACCAGGGCCAGGCCCCAGACGGCGACGACGATACCATCATCCACTTTGAGATCAGACCCACGTTTGGCGGCGCCACGCCCAAGCTGGTTGGTCGCGCCTCGGCACCTCTCAAGTATATCGTGGCCACGCCCCTCTGGAACGACGAAAACCAGGTCGATGTCGCTCCAGTGCGCCACGAGCACACCCACGACGAAAGCAGCCACCTTGACGACTCTGCCCGAGGTGACGATGAATCTGTGGTGACCAGCAGCGAGCGACACTACGACCACGACCACGATCTTTCCAGCACCTTTGTCGAGCACGACGAGATCGCCAGTGTCCAAGCCAATCCGTATGAAATCGGACTCGAGTGCAAGGGACCCACTCGGCGGTCTCAGAGCGGCCGCGTGACCATCCCGATCGTGTGCTCCGACAATCTTGCGGTGATCGGCCGGGTGACTTTTGAGTTTGTCATCGTGAATCCCATCAAAACCGCAGCCAAGGGTGGCCCATCCACAGCGCTCCAGAGCCGCACGCCCGAGTTCTTCCCGCTCGAGAAGCCCTGGACGACGCACAAAACCATTTGGGGATATCGCAGCACACAGGTGGGTCTGGATATTGCAGTATCGTGCTGCCAAAAGATGACGCCCTAACCGCCGATGGTGTTGTGGATAGTGCTGTGGATAGTGCTGTGGATAGTGCTGTCGATGGTGCTGGCTCTCTGATGCGCGCACCCTCCCGATCGTATCCGTACTGCCGCTAATGACTCAGCTGCTATAGGTTATTGGACATCGCGGCTGCGGTGCCAATCGGACGCTCAAGGAGCTGAATCGATTTCAGCTCGGCGAGAACACGATCCTGTCTCTGTCAAAAGCCGGCGATCTCGGCGCCACCTACGTCGAGTTTGGTAAGCGAACGCGCTGGATTTCGAAGCATGTTCTTGTCGCACTCGTGCCCTGCCGAGCGAGTCGCATCTGCTCTGTCGCAATTGCAGATGAACAGTCGACAGCTGCTGTACAAGAATAAGAAACCAACACAGCGAGCGGCACTTCGGTCCCGGTATTCCTGTAGATGTTCAGCTCAGCAAAGACAACATCCCAGTGCTGTACCATGACTGTGAGTTCATCTCTATCTTTGTCAAGGCATGCATTTTGAGGTGCCGCTATCGGCTCGGGCACATCGCACCGCGGCTCTACACACCTTGATACCACCGCGCTTACACAACCTCCACGCATCATAGGGACTGTCTCCGAAAGCGGATTCGAGCTGCCCGTCAACTCGTTCACGCTGTACGAGTTCCTGAATCTGCGAGACCGAGTCACTCCCAGCCGCAACAACCGCACGCCACGGGCCCAGCACCCTCTGACCCGAAATCCGAAGCGCTCCAGAAGCGTCGGCGACCGCGACCAGCGCGAGCCACGAGACATCCCAAAGCTTAGTGACCCTGACTATGACGATGGGGCCGGTGCCCGGTATCGCACCCGATCCAAGTTGCCCTGGCCATACAAGGGGAACGGCGAAGGAACCATCATGGGCCCGTTTGCAACCCTTCGAGAAGCCCTGAGGGTGAGCTGGCCGTGATGTAGCTGAGCGATTGACAAGGCGCGCCGTTAGACGAGTCGATTACTGGTGCAGCAGAAGAGAGAGACAGGTCCCAGCTGAAGGGCATTGCCGATCCAGTCCGATCTCACCCGATCCGGATTGAGAGTCCGAGCGAAGGGGGCCGCCGCATAGAACACTCACACGGTCTGCATATGCTCCATGCACATTTCATGACAACCCAGACCGTCCCCAAATCCATCGGATTCAACATCGAGATCAAGTACCCGAACCTAGAGGAGGCAGAGGAATGCAATCTACAGTTTACCGAGCTGAACCAGTTCGTCGACATCATCGTCTCGTGTGTGCTCGAGGAAGCTGCTAGCCGCGACATTATCTTTTCCTCGTTTCATCCCGAAGCCTGCTTGATGGCCAATCTGAAACAGGTACGGTGGAGCAGCTGCATGAGGACAGATGTGTGTTCGTGATCCTGGTGGTGCTGGTGGTGCTGGTGGTGCTGGTGGTGCTGGTGGTGCTGGTGGTGCTGGTGGTGCTGGTGGTGCTGGTGGTGCTGGTGGTGCTGGTGATATGCTGTGATGGGTTGCATTCGTTTGTTGATTTGCGCCATCCATCGATGCTCCAGAGCCAGTACCCTGTGTTTTTCTTGACCGATGCTGGCGTCAAGACCAACTACGATGCTCGACTCAACTCCCTGCGGAATGCGATCCGCCTCGCTCATACGGCCGGCCTGGCTGGTATCGTTTCGAATGTGCAGCCGATCGTGGAAGCCCCGACCCTGGTTCGCGCCGTGAGAGAGCAGGGCCTGCTGCTATTCACCTATGGCGGTGCCAACAACGAGCCCACCAACACCAAGATGCAGAGGGCATACGGCGTCGATGCCGTGATTGTCGATGACGTCTCCAAGATTGTCCGCGGCTTCTCGTGATGCGGTCCGCCGTGGCTCGGTATATAACCACATGCCTCGATGCCCCCTTGCAAATCACCATCCAGAGCCAAAACCATGTCGCTCACAACACTTGCACAAACACAATAATAACGAAGCGGGCCATCCTGCTTCCGGGGACAGCTGTGGTCTCTTCCCTCTCTCTCCCTCTCTCTCCCTCTGAATAAACCCAAACTCACCAAGTGCATCCAAGAGCCCCGCTGCTCACAACATCTCGGTGCTTTGAATCAGTCCTTTGAATCGGTGCCATGGATGGCTCGCATTCAAACGCGCCGCCCCAGTCTGAGTTTGCCATCTCCCTTCTCGTGATCCATCTGCCGACCCTGTCCGTTCGCTGAGCAGCCCAAGCCCTCGCTCGTCGCACTCCTCGTTTATAAACTGTATCAACCATGAGCTTATTGTCGCGAGTGATGCAGTCCATGGAGCGGATCGCTCCCCTGTCTCTGGCTGAACTCTCCTGGGATAATGTAAGTCGCTGATCGATTGCCTCCTCCCTCGAGCCGGCCGCCTCCCTGCTCTCCACGATTAGCTTTCGGCATGCCGACGGCGTGGATATACCTCTGGATCCGACGCTAACAGCGAACCTCTCGATAGGGTACGATAAGCGAATTGCCGTGATGGAGCCAGCATTGGCGGCTGCGGATCTTGACCGATGGCCGTACCGCTTACGAGAAACGACCATCAGTCGGCCTCCTCCTCGAGGCCCCTCTTTCCCGTGCTGCTGCACACCAGGTCTTCCTCACGATCGACCTGACGGACAATGTTCTGGACGAAGCTCTATCCAACCCCTCGGTGGGCGTGATCGTTGCCTATCACCCTCCGCTGTTCCGCTCGTTCAAGCGCTTGCAGATGGCGGACCGCAACCAGCGCATTGCGCTGAAATGCGCCGCAGCCGGCGTCTCGATCTACAGCCCCCATACGTCCCTCGATAGCTTTGAAGGCGGCATCAACGACTGGCTTGCGTCGGGACTCAGGGTGGCCTCCAAGGCCCCGATCACCCTCAAGGAGAACCCTCCTGCTGGTGGGTACAATCGAACGCTCTCGATGCTATCCGCATGCCACTCACCTTTCACGCCGATGCAAGCGTCCATCTGGACATCCCGCATGCGTTGTGCTGACAGTGGTGCTCGTTTTGGTCTCAACTCGATGCCTCGCAGGCTATGAAGGAAGCGGCAGTGGCCGAATCTGTCAGCTCCAGCGGCCCATCCCGCTGTGTGAACTCGTCAATCAGATCAAGCTCCATCTTGGCCTCAGCCATCGTACGTTGCAAGTCGAATACGACTGTTATCGCATATCCGTCCGGCGGATCGAGACTAACCATCCTCCCTGTCTAGTTCGGGTGGCTTCTACGGACCCATCGATGGCGCAACTCGTCCGCACCGTTGGGATTTGCGCTGGCTCTGGTACGAGTGTCTCGCTGATCGCTCCGTGGTTGGAGGACTGGTTTGGATGCCGTTGTATGATCTAATCTACTCCTCGCTTACGCACCCAAGGCTCCTCTGTGCTTGGAGGTACAAAGGCCGATGTGTATTGGACGGGCGAGATGTCCCATCATGAGGTGCTCGACGCTGTGGCCAGCAACACCAGTGTCATTCTCTGCGAGCATACCAACACCGGTAAGTTGAAATGTCGCCATATTATTGCCGCCATCGCCCGCGATCTATCATGTCACTTGCACTCACTCACTCCCGACGGCTTTGGTCGGGGCGATGCCTTCCTCCAGAACGAGGTTTTTTATCGGCTGTGCTCAAGCCCAGACTGGAAGAGCTCCTGAACAACGATGGCGGCCCTGCTGCGACGGTGTTGTGCAGCACGGCCGATACAGACCCGCTCAGAATTGTGTAGAGCGCTGATGACATCAATCGCCGCTGTTTGCATCGATGGACTGCCACTGTAGCATCCACAGATTGAAATAGATGGCCCTGCGCCGGAGGACGGTGTTCACTTGCGTCCACCTCTAAACTGCCAATGCCCAGCTATTACCCAGGAGGGGCGCCTGCAGTATCGTAGCTGTTGCAAGTGCATTTGTGAATCGCCGCAAGGTGGTAATGTGGGATATGCTTGGTGCCCCATGAGGCTGTCTGTTGAGGCTGTCTGTTGAGGCTGTCTGTTAAGGCTGCTTGTCCACGATTTTGTCAACAGCCCGGCTCTGCCCTGATCAATCGCCCAGCCCCGATCTGCCTCACCCATCCAGTCCATGAGCAAACCACGCCCGAGCCAGGCCTCCAGCGAATACGACGTCAAGTCGGTACTCCTGAGCGAGCTGCTGACGTCCAAGCCCGACAGCGTATGTCTCTGCCATGCTCGACGTCCTTGCACCTCGGACAGGATGATCTGCGGCCCGCCTCCATCAAACAGCAGTCACAGCCGCTGTCGAAGGCAAAGCACTCACTCCTTCTGTCGATATCCAGAAAATCTACGTCCAGAGAACCAACGCCAAAGTGTTCTTTCTCTCGAATCGGACACAGACCATCAACGAGACCCGGAGTGAGTCGAGCATGCTTGCTGACTCTCAGGCGGGCCCTTCCTCCGCTAACAACACCTTCGACACCGGACTCTGCACCCTCACTGACTCTCGATATTTTGTGCAGAATCGCTCCAGAGCATGAAGCCAAAGGACCTCTAGAGTAGCCCTGGAGGAGACTTGCCGCTATTCGGAATACATGCTGGCCACCAAAGCTTCACCGCCAGTGCTCTCATGCGTACTGGTCCCCCTCCCCTCCATCTTTCAGCGGCCATCCCAATCAGGCCGAGTGCGGGCGGCAAAACGAGACCCGGTTGCGTCGGCAGGAGGGCGGGAGTCGGTCCAAGTGTCAGTTGTGTTCTCGCTTTCAACACGAGCCCATCGCATCCATTTTCCAGTCCCTGCTGCGTCCATCCGCTTCCCTGCTTGGCCGATTTGATCCTGCCTGGACCCACTTTGTTCCTTGGCGGCATCTTCCACGACTGTATCTGTCCGTTTACCGAAAGCCATGAACACCCTGCCGGCGCTGCCACCAAAATCTGCGCTGAAGCGCACAAATGGCGAGCTCGAACCTGAAGCCCATGCCGAGGGCCGGAGATCATACTTTTTGGACGGTACGAAGGGACGTCGGGCAGGGCATGTTTCCCAACAAACCCGGAAGCGACTCAATGAATTCGCATCACCGGACGTAACTCCTCGCACTATTCGTCGAGGCAACTGACAACGATACGAACTGTGGTCCCGCACGGCGAAACTTGGTTATCTGCTACTGACCAAAGCTAACGAATAGCTCTCTCAAACGACCTTGCTTCGTACTCTCGGGAACGGCTTTGTCCAATGCAGCCGTCCCCCCTGTCGCTGCCGACGACGACGACGATGATGACGAGGAGGAGGGCTCTGTCGCCGAGATTCCCATCGAGGAATTCGAGGACATCTCGGATTCGGAAGGAGAGGAGACTCTCGAGAGGGCCGTCCGCAACATCACCGAGCGCAACTTTTTCGGAGGAGGTTGGTCGCCCATCGGCACTGCCTTCCATATCCCCCTCATCTGCCTGCGTGCGATTGAAAGACTGGCTCTGCTTGGTCGAGTCCGTCGCGTCGGGATAGTAACGATGCCCGCCAACAGCAGCATCCAATGTCGAGCCCACAAAGTTCACGGATGTGACCGTGAGCCTGACGAAACGGCCAGAAGTCATCGATGACTACATCCGCAACTTTTTATCCAGCAAGGGGCTTCTCCTGTCGCTCGAGGCATTCCAGGTGCGCGACCGGTCCCGATAGAGGATGTGTGGGAATCGGAAGAATCCGAACCAGCCACCAACACTGTCCGTGCTCGCTCCGTCCCAGAACGAATGGTACGAATTCCAGCAGAAAGGGAAGCTCAGCCCCGAGGACGTCACGATCGTCCCTGACGTCTACCTTCGGAACCAAGAGCTTGCAGATGCGCTGCAAAAGCTTCGCGTCGACGTCGATAACTACAAGGAAATCGCGACGTAGGTAGAGCGGCGTCGTCATAAGCGCTTCGGTGCATGTCGCTGTTACTTCCATTACAGCGCCAAGTGAGATCTGATGCAGGCAGATCACTGACCCTCCACGATGCTTGCTACCAACGCTCCCTCGCGGTCACTGCTGGTGCAACGACGCCTATGGTCGAGCAGAAAGGCCAGAGCTACCTACGATAAACTTCGAAAGGAGCGCGATTTTCACCGAATGCATCACAAACGAGTCGTGCAGGAAAAGAACAAGCTCATCTCCGATATCAAGCGACTCAAGAAGCACTACGAGGGCTATGAGCCGATGCTGAAGCAGCTCCAGCACAAGTACGAAGTGGCCATGAAAGAGAAGATGCTCACCAAGCTCGAGCGGGACCGGCTTGCTGGTCGGGTACGCAGTGTGTCCGCCTACTTCGGCAGAGATTTATCAGTGGCTCGATGCAAAGATTTGATGGCGCCATAAGCAACATCATGCGCGGAAGCAGCTGCATATCTGTCTTGCGCTCGCATATTGTCCGACGGCGTGTCCCTGCATTGGTCAGAGAACCGCCTGTGTATCCGCAATGGGAGCTCGGGGGATCGCAGCGGCAGCATGTTAACATCATTGACTTGACAGAGTACGGGGATCGAGCAAACCAAAAGCAAGGATCGTGCCCGAAAGAACTCAGGTTTGCTTCAAAGGTCGTGTGGGATTGGTGGTCGGATTACTCTTGCGAGCTCCGCTCGATGCCATGGGTGCCGCTCGCGACCCTGGACTAAACCCGACACATCTACTGGTTTTAAAGCCAAGGACGCCAAGCAGAGGCTCGAAGCATCCTCTCCGACATCGAGCGCCACCGGATCGATCTCAGATGCCAAGCCGGCAGCCAGTCGGTCCAAGCCGAGCAAGGAGTCTGTTCTGCCCACAGAAGATCGGATCAACCCGCATCTGACGGTCGACTACATCCCCACGAAGATCGATCGCCTGAAGCAGGTTCATGTCATCAAAGCGCACAGCATGGCCGTCAGCGGGTATGTGTATTTCGGAGTTGGTGGAGCCGCAGGGTCACGAAATAGGATCCTTGGAGCTGGTTCACACAACAAAATCCACAGAGCGCAATTCACACAATGCAGCGCTCCCCTGCGTGATTCTCGAGCCGCTGGGGGAGTCTAGATATGCCACGTTGCTGCTGACTGAAAGACATCATTGTTCGTGCGGCACCAGTGTCAAGTTCCATCCACGAAAGCACATCCTAGCAACCGTGTCTGACGACAAGTCCTGGAAGATGTTTGCCTTTCCTTCCGGCGAGCTCATCATGTCGGGCGAAGGGCACAAGGACTGGATCGGCGACTGCGACTTTCATCCGCGTGGAACACATCTGGCCACGTCGTCGGGCGATGGCACGGTCAAGATATGGGACTTTTCAAAGGGACTGGCGACATTGACGCTGTCGGACCACACCCAAGCCGTTTGGGGCTGCGCCTTCCATGACACTGGCGACTTTTTGGCGAGCTGTTCAATGGATCATACGGCAAAACTCTGGGATTTGCACACGTAAGCCTGCCACCCAGTGCCGCTGTGAAGACGGCAGGCAGCACAGCCAATGTGTGGAGGCGTTCTGTGGCCGTCTTAAAGCAGTAGGAGCGATCTTGAAACAGTAGGAGCAATGGGGTAACCAGTGGCATCAGATGAAGCAATCTGCCGAGAGTGGGCTCCATGAAACTCACCTTGCACCACTCTCCATCTCGGATGCATGGCCGAACATGAATCAGTGGGAAGTGCCGACAGACTTTCCGAGGCCACGCCGACTCGGTCAACCATGTTGCTTTCCAGCCCTATTCGAACACCATCGTCACCTGTAGTGGCGACAAGACGATCTCGCTGTGGGACTGCCGAACAGGACTATGCTCGCAGACATTGTATGGCCACATGAATGCCATCAACTCGGTGATTTTCAGCGCCAAGGTGAGCTGCCAAGTTGCGCCCGCCGAAAGGGATCCATCGGTCCGCTCAAATGTGTAAATGCCCTGGTGTTTGGTTTGGCTGATCTCATCGAGAGTGCATATTTCGCTTCGAGGAAGCAGCGCCGCTAACAGTCCGAACCGCGCCCTTGGTTTGACCCCAGTCCGATCTCGTTGCGTCGTGTGATGCCGATGGCGTTGTCAAGTTTTGGGACATCCGGAACGTCTCGGAGCTGGACACGATTGACTTTGGCCCTCATCCAGCTAACAAGCTCACGATCGATCCAGCAAGCTCTGCGCTTGCCGTGGCAAGCAACGATGGCAACGTGAAGCTGTGAGTGCCTGTCTGCATCGCCGGCTCGCTCATTCTTTCTACGCACTGCTGCAGGCACATCTATTCTTGCAGGCCGTCGCAATTCATAGCGCGTTCTGATAGCTATGAGACTCTATATCGGTCCGCAGATTCAACATCCGAAACAAAACCGTGTGTCAGGACCTGGTGGCCCATGATGACGCTGTCCAAGCCATTTCGTTTGATCGGACGGGCGAGTTTCTGGTCACTGGCGGATCCGGTAAGTTAGCCCGGGCGCGGATCAATCTTCACGATCCCGAGAGCAGTAAAGTGCGCGATCGGGTCCTGTCCTGCCTTGCTTTATTCGAACCACATCGACGGTCGCCTTGACACTGATTCAGCAACTTCACGCCAAGCTGACTGTGATATCTCGCTTGCTATCGTGCACATAACATCACATGAAACGGTGCAATTGTTTGAAACACCTACCCAGATTGTGTCGTCCGAATATTCCAATGAAGCAACTGGACAGGACGGGCCGGGTCCAGCGGTCTCTTCCACTTGGACAAATGATGGAATAGATGGCGCTTGGCAGATGGCCGACGGTACATTTAGCGCCTGTCAACGCCGGTTGCGTCCATCATATTCAGCGACCAAGGCCGAAGTGGCAGTGCAAGACAACCACACAATCTGCACAGTCCGAACAGTGGCTCAAGATCAGAACGGCCACACGGTCTGCACAGTGGCTCGGGGTCAAAGTGGGGCCACAGCGGTGATATCGGCCGTGTTCTGAGCAATCCGGTAAACATGCTTTAGCAAAGTGCATTTGTATTCTTGGCTCTTCATTCTGTGGAGGAGCTGACGGATCCGTGGATATACATACAGCTTGAGCTTGGGCTGAGTGTACCAGGACCTCCGGTGGGAATGCGGGAAGTGTCACAGACAAGAATTGCCATCCTAGAATGTCTCGCCTAGAATGTCTCGCCGTCCCACTTTTCCCACGGAAAGTCGGGCGGTATCAAGTCAGGCCGGTCCCAGAAGAACCCAACAAGCCACTCCAGAGCATCAACGAGTCGGGGCCCGGGCCGATTGAACATCTGGTGGACAGAGGTTGGGCAAATGTCAGCTTGATGGGCAAGGCGCTGGCGTATGGCCGTCATCCCGACATCGCTGCCAATATGCTGACAGTTGTGGAAGACGAGCGAATAGGCAGAGCGACACACTATTGCTGTGAAGGCCCACCTGGTTGCCGTCCACCAGAGCAATCTTGGGCTTTTTGACCATGATGGCCTTCCACCAGTCTGACTTGGACAGGATCTGGGCCTCCTTGCGAGTCGCCGCCAGGTCCAGTCCGCACGGGGCAATGATGACGATCTCGGGCTGGGAACTGGACAGGGTTTCAAACTCCATACCAAACGACGGGCCTGAGCCATTGTTATCGTCTTTTGGTGGGCTCAGCGGATGCGCTGCACCAGCCCAATGAATCAACTGAGGCGTCCTGCAGTGAGCAAGGCCAGTCTCATTAGCAGTTCGCGGATGGTCCGATGGAGCGAACCAACACAGCCGCCACGATCGATAGCAATACGTTTTCCTTGCAGGCGATCAGGGCTTGACCAAATCGACTCAGCGCACTGCGAGGCACATACCAATGACCGCCCATATAGATTGGATCGGTCCATTCGATGAAGGCGACGTTCCTTCGCACACCGCCCGACTCTTGCAGAAACTTGGCAGCGAGCTCTCTGGCCCGAGTGGCTCGGGCGTCGAGCTTGGCGACGGCCTCCTGTGCGTTGTCCAACAAGTCACAGGCCTTGCCGACTTCCAGGATGTTGTCGAGGACATCTTGCAGACTGAAGGGGTTGAGAGTGACGACCTGACCGAGGTGGGGTACAGCACCGATTGATGATCGATATGACCGGGGTTGTCAAAGTAGACATCGAGAGAAAGGCAGGCAGGGGGCAAGCCGCCGATAGGAAAGGAGAAGAAGCAGCAGATACAGGACATACCTGTGGCGATGGACTTAGCGATTTGGCCACCCGCTGGACAGTGACAAGGTCGATGGCGCAGACGTTGCAGAGATCTTGGGTGAGGATGACTTGCGGATGGAGTTGCTTGAGCAGATCGACGTTCAAGGTATAGAGCGACTGGCCTTGCGACAGAAACTCCTTGACCTGCTCGTCAACCTCCTTGGACGAGGTGAAGGAGGTCTTTTGGCCGGTGAGGATCGGGAGATGCGTGATGGAGGCAGGATAGTCGTCCTCATGCGAGCGGCCGACCATAAGCCGCTCGCCGCCGATGAGACACAGCATCTCGGTGGCGGACGGGAGCACGCTGACGACCTTTGAGATCTTGGAGGCCATGGCGATGCGGTGGTGATCCGGTGGTGATCCGGCGGACGGTCGATTGATCGGTCGGCTGGTCTGTCGGCTGGTCGGTCCGTGGCCGCAGTGGAGCCTGGAGTCTTGATCGAGCAAGGGTCGAGAGCGAGTCTTGTGCTCGGCGGTCTCGCTGGCCCTCGTCCCCGATCGCAATCGCAGCCACACACACACGTCCCGCAGGCTCGGTCGCTTTTTGCCGCCGAGGGCCGTCGCCCATCTTGCTCCCGCATCGTCATTACCATCAACATCACCGTCACCGTCATCGCCGCCATCGACTGCAGATCCGCCATGACCCTCGTGCGCTCGCTGCCGTCCCTCGCCCGCTCGAGGTCGGCCCTCCGCCGCATCGCGCTGCTCCCGACCCTCAGGCTGCCTGCGATCTCGCCATTTGAGTCTGCCGCTCGATCGGCATCGTCGCTCCCCTTCCCGATATCCGAGGAGCGGCTCGCTCCTTCGTTCTCCGTCTCCCACCCATCTCAGCTACATCTGTTCGACGATTCGGGCGATGCTCCTGCCACTCCGCCAGGTGACAGCGGCTCCGGCGCACCGGGCCAGCCTCGAAATGGCGATAATGGCGACGACGGCGACGGCCACTCCGGCAAGGGCAAGAAGGGCTCGCGGCTAGCCAAGAAAAAGTCGTCAAAGTCCTCCGAGTCAGACCGAAAGCCGGCTGCCGCTTCGGCCTCACAAAAGGTGCGTTGGTTCGACACTGCACCCGAGTGCATTGCAATTCATCTCGTATGCCGATGCCGGCATCTCCGGGGATGCCCGGTGCTCTCCACTGCCCCCACCCTCCCGGCGTCCGATCTCGGCCCTTGCGCTGCTCGGATCTCCCAGATTGAGCATCCACCAAGACTCTGACCCGCCCCGGTTTGGCCCCGGCTTGGCCAACCCCATTCAGTCTGAACCAGAGCTGCCCGAGCAGGACGACGACGCCGACCAGGCCAAGAAGCTGCCCGAGTCGGCCGACAAGAGCATCGAGAAGATCCAGGTTCCCAAAGACTACCCCCAGCTGATGTCCATTCCGCTCACCCGTCGGCCGCTGTTCCCGGGCTTCTACAAATCACTCTATATCACCGACCCGCAAGTTATTGCTGCCATCAACAATCTCATGCAGAGCCGCCAGCCGTATGTCGGCATCTTCCTGGCAAAGGACGAGAAGAACGAAAGCGACGTGATTACAAATCTCGATCAAGTCCACAAGGTCGGCGTCTTTTGCCAGATCACCAACGTCTACCAATCCGGCCCAGACAACTCGGCCATTACCGTCGTCGTGTTCCCCCATCGCCGAATCCGCGCATCGTCGCTCATTGCCCCCAACCACCTCAAGACCAGCGCGCCGACCGATCCGGTGCCGATCCCGACCGATGTTCCCGTGAGCACCGCCGTTGAGTTTGACCCAGATGCCGAAACTGCTGCTGCCGAGACAACCCTTGACGAGAGGCTCAAGCGTAAGTTGTTTGGACTGTTGCCAACTGCCGATCGCACTGCAGATGACCAAGCGGTCGAGCGCACAAATGGAATACGCTCGCTGGATATGACCATCGTCCCTGGAGTTGCCATCCTTTCGTGCCTGAATCGCAGTGAGGGTCCTCGCTGCTTCGCTCGACGACAGTGCATATCGCAAGGGATATCACTTCAGGCAATTTCGCCCGTTGCCGTTGTCGCCGTCGCAGTTACCACTCCTTCGCACCAGAAGCAATCTCACTGCCAATGCCACTATTGACCCATCTACCCTCCTCTCTCATCTATCCTTCTTTGCCTCCCACTACCTCGCGGCTCGGTGCAAACGCCTTGTGCAACTTGGCCGCCACTCAGCCTATCTGCCCGTCAACTATCATTTGGCCAACTACAACGTGTCCCTTACTAATGTCGAGAATATGGAGGACGAGCCCTACACATCCAGCAACTCGCTCGTCCGCGCCATTACCTCCGAGATCTTGAATGTCCTGAAAGAGATTTCGCAGCTGAACCCGCTTCTGCGCGACCAGATCGTGACCTTTTCCATCAACACCGGTGGCAACGCCTTCCAGAACACCGCAAAATTGGCCGACTTTGTAGCCGCGGTCTCTTCGGGTGATCCCAAGTCGCTTCAGGAAATCCTCGAGAGCCTGGTCATCGAAGAGAGGCTCCACAAAGCCTTGGTGCTGCTCAAACGCGAGTTGAGCAATGTGAAGCTCCAGCATGAGATTGCCCGGAATGTCGAAAAGCAAATGACCAAGAAGCAGCAAGAGTACTATCTGATGGAGCAGATGAAGGGTATCAAGAAGGAGCTTGGGCTGGATTCCGACGGCAAAGACAAGCTGGTCGAAAAGTTCAAGGAGCGCGTCAAGGACCTCAAGATGCCCGAGCCGGTCAAGAAGGTCTTTGATGAGGTATACTCTGCTTCAATCCAGATAACGCTGCCGCTATCTCGCGACATGAAGCACCTGTGTATTTTCATGCTATAGTGGATTAAATCATGGCGGCGATAGCTGGGCTAGTGCCACTGACTCGGGTTCATATCTGTTCCTGCAGGAGCTGAACAAGCTACAGCACTTGGAACCGGCCGCCTCCGAATTCAATGTCACCCGCAACTATCTCGATTGGCTTACTCAGATTCCATTTGGCAAGTACAGCACCGAGAACTTTGACATTCAGCACGCCCGCACAGTCCTGGACGAAGACCATTATGGACTGAAGGACGTCAAGGACCGTATCCTCGAGTTTATTGCTGTGGGAAAACTGAGGGGCACTGTCGAGGGCAAGATTATCTGTCTGCAGGGACCTCCCGGTAGGTTTGATTGATGGAGACCATTGATATGGCAGGGCCGCGCTGGCAACGGACTGTGCTTTTTCGCCTGGAGTTTGGAGCTTGACTTGACTTGGCTGGGCTCGGCTTGACCCGGCTTGGCTCGGCCGCTTGCTCCAGCTCCAAAACGGGCACCAGAACTCATGCCTTTGAGCGGTCACCAGGTGTCGGAAAAACATCCGTCGGCAAATCGATCGCCCGCGCCCTGGGCAGAGAATTCTTCCGATTCTCCGTTGGCGGTCTCAGCGATGTCGCCGAAATCAAGGGCCATCGAAGGACGTATGTTGGCGCCATGCCCGGCAAGGTCATCCAGGCCCTCAAAAAGGTTCAGACAGAGAACCCCCTGATCATGATCGACGAAAGTAAGAGCCGCCTTGTCACACATACCCCAACGTAGCCATATCTTGTTCACGCAAAGTAGCGCACGCTTGTGGCTGAACACCATGCTAACGCGGCTTCGGGAACTGGGATCAGTTGACAAGATTGGAAAGGGCCACCAGGGCGACCCGGCGTCGGCACTACTAGAGCTTCTCGACCCAGAGCAAAACAGCTCGTTCCTGGATCACTACATGGATGTCCCCATCGATCTTTCCAAGGTTCTCTTTGTGTGTACCGCCAATCTCCTCGAGACCATCCCTGGCCCGCTCCTTGACCGCATGGAGGTCATTACGCTCTCTGGCTATGTCTCGGATGAAAAAGTGGCGATCGCTCGCAACTACCTCTCGCCCCAGAGCCGCGAATCTTCTGGGCTGACCGAAGATCAGGTTTTGCTCGAAGACAGCTCCATCGAATCGCTGATCAAGAACTACTGTCGGGAGAGCGGTGTGCGCAACCTCAAGAAGCACATCGAAAAGGTGTACCGAAAGGCGGCGCTCAAGATTGTCCAGCGGTCCCAGAACGAGAACGTCGCAGTCACCTCGGGCGAAAAGCTGGTGGTCACCGTGGACAACCTCAAGGACTATGTTGGCCCACCTGTGTACACGACGGACCGAATGTACGATAAAACTCCGGCTGGAGTCGTGATGGGCCTGGCCTGGACCTCATTAGGTGAGTGTGCGTTGCAGCAATGTGTGTTCTCAGGACACAATTCACGAGGATGCGAACGGACGACCGTGCATGAGAGGGGAGGGCCATCTTGCAGGGCTCAGAGCGATATTGCAGGGTTGCAGCCGCAGCGACCCTGCAACTTCGACCGTGCGACATTTGCCCACATATACAGTGGGTGGCGTGGCGGTCAGCATCGATGCAATGATGTCGAACAAGGCGGTATCAAACTAACGTGTCTGCGTTGATAGGTGGATCTGTCCTTTACATCGAAAGCGTTCTCGAGTCTGTTGTGCGTGACGATAGCAAGCCCAGCTTCCGACAGACTGGACAGATGGGTGACGTCATGAAGGAGAGCACTGCGATTGCCTATACATATGCGCGCTCTCTGATGAGCCGCCGCTTCCCTGAGAACCAGTTCTTTGACAAGGCTGCGATCCACATGCACATCCCGGAAGGCGCCACGCCCAAAGATGGTGAGAGCGAGTGAGGCGATGTACTCGATACACGATGCATGCGGGACATGCAGGACATTCAGGACATTCAGGACATTCAGGACATGCGGGACATGCGGGACTGGCAGAATGATGCGCACCGTCAGCGAGGGCAACGTGTCGCGCCGGACACCATTGATCACTGCTCAGGAGCGAATACTCACCGGCACATGCGATTGCATCAACGACTTAGGACCTTCGGCGGGCGTGACCATGACCACCTCGTTGCTGTCGCTGGCACTCAGCCAGCCAATTCGTCAAAACGTGTCCATGACAGGCGAAATCACCCTGACCGGCAAGGTGCTCAAGATCGGCGGAGTGAAGGAGAAGACCATCGCTGCCAAGCGGTCTGGTGTCGAGCTGATCATTCTCCCTCACCAAAATAAGGCTGACTGGGAGGAGCTGCCAGCCAACATCAAGGAGGGTCTGGAGGCCAAGTTTGTCAGCTGGTACGATGAAATTTTCGACACCGTGTTCGAATTCCCGGCGCAGTGATAGCACATGCGGCCGCCTCCCTCGCTCAACATCCAGCAATCCAACGCCTCGGTTATGATACACCGTCTCGTCCAGGACTGCCTCGTCTCAGTGCTGCACTTGCCACCACAGCAATGCCAAGCGGCGTGCGCGTGTGTCTGGTGGGGCTGGTTGGACTGGACACGAGGACAGGCCCTGGTGTTGGGAGAGGACTGCATATGCTTCTAGATGGTCGATGAGGTCGAATGCCACATATTCAGAATACAGCAAGTTCGGGGCAGCAGGGCGTCAAAGAATTCCCCCCCCTCCCCACAGACAAGGAGCATCGATTGAGCGATTCCGTTTGGGGTGGCCTTGAGAACACTGGGGTTGGAATGCATGTGTTCGTTGATTGCGATTGGAGATTTAGTGGTACTATAGCATGAAGGGATATCCATCTCAACAAGGCATGGTTGGTCCAGTGGTAGAATTGCCGCCTGCCACGCGGCAGACCCGGGTTCGATTCCCGGACCATGCACTTTTGCTTTCGCTTCTTTTTTCTTCGCTGTCCCTTCCTTCATCTCACATCATGCTCATCCCACTTTTGCCAATCCGTTCGTTGCCTCTTTGGCTTTCTCCCCCATGTCTTTCACTCCTGCACTTTCATCGGCTGTTCATTGTATACAAGAGATCAAAGCCATATATGGAATGTGTTGTATTTTGGTCAAGAAAAATGAGGAATTGCAGCGGGTTGTTAACGAGAACCTGGAGTGAAGGATGCATGTGTTGGCTTGGCATTCCCTCTGCCTCGTACAGCTTGATTGTATGTGGTTCATGAATGATATTGGATCGGGCAACGTACGTGGAACTGGCGTGGCAAAGAAACAGATCAATTGAAAAGGCTAGAGACAACAGAAGACATGACAACATGAAGTGGGAGATGGAGTCGGCGACCGGGAATGTAAACCAAAGGTGACTTCAAACTTGAAGGTAGAACCAGACACCATCAAAGAGCTATCGGACTGATTTAGGACCTGCTCCTGTACTCTTCGGCTTGAATATCGGCAGCGACAGGGAAGCGAGCCTTGGACTTCCAGAAACCAAAGGTGAGATAGACCAAGAAGAGACCGATGCCCATCCAAGCGAACACACGGATGGTGATGGTGGTGCTGCCGCCGAGCCAAATCAGAGCCAGAGAGGCGGCTGCACTGAGAGCAGGGATGATGTTGCCACCGATAATGAAGCCACCGGGGATGCTGAAGCGTCTGGGGCGGTCGCGGTCAGTCCAGCGTAGAATCCAGACCGAGACTGAGACGACGAAGAAGGCAAGGAGGGTACCGACAGAGGTGAGATCGGCAAGGACATCGATGGGAAGGACGGCAGAGGCAGCGGTGACAATGACACCGCAAATGATAATGGCGACAACGGGGGTCTGGGTCTTGGGGTTGATGTGGGCGATGACCTTGGGAAGGAGGCCGTCATTGGCCATGGCCTGGAAGATACGGGGCTGGCCGGTCATAAGGGCAGCCATGACGGAAGCAAGACCGAAGATGGCACCAAGCTCAATGGTGACGACGATCCACTGGGGGGCACCGGCGATCTTCATGGCACCAGAGACGGGGTTCTTGATAGGTACTTGGGCGTATGGAACGATACCAGTCAGGATGATACAGACAACGATGTACAGGGCCGTGCAGATGCCGAGGGAGAGCAGGATGCCGATGGGGAGATCTCGCTGGGGGTTCTTGGCCTCTTGAGCAGTGGTCGAGACGGCGTCGAAACCAATGTAGGCAAAGAAGACCGTGAGGGCAGCCTTGAAGATACCCGGGTTGCCGAAGGTATCTTGGACAGGGTCGTAGGTGGGGATGAAGGGGGACCAGTTCTGGGGTCTGACATAGGCGATGCCGGCAAAGATGAACAGGAGGACAACCAAGAGCTTGAGGGCGACGAAGAAGTTGATGACCCAAGCGGACTGGCGGATACCGAGACACAGGATGATGGTGAGAAGGATGGTGAGGACGGCAGCGGGGACGTTCATGATGGCGTTGGCAGTGGTTCCATCAGCCAGGGTGATGAGGTTGGCGTAGAATCCAGGAACGGGAGTGTTGCTCCAAACAACGGGAGCGTTGACCCATCGAGGATCGAAGGCGAACGGGTTGTTGGAGACATCGGCGACAAAGGAATTGAAGTAACCCGACCACCCAACAGCAACGGCGGCAGAGCCGACGAGGTACTCGAGGATCAAATCCCAGCCGAGAATCCAGGCGATAAACTCGCCGAGGGTGACGTAGGTATAGGAGTACGCTGAGCCAGAGATGTTGACCATCGAGGCCATCTCGGCGTAGCAGAGGGCAGCGAGGGCACTGACGATGCCTGTCGGAGCAAGGCGGGGCAGAGTGAGAAATGAGAGGAGCAGGTCAGCAGGTGACGTTGCATGGGCGTCATGGCGGTCATGGCGGCGGTCGCGGTGTGAAGTTGACTATCGACACATCGATGCAGCGACCACACATCGAGTGCATCCAGTGCATCGCCGAGATCGGGGGTCACATCCATCAACTCACCCGAGATGATAAAGGAGATGATGACGGAGGGTCCGGCCACGCTGTGGGCGACTTTGCCCGTGAGGACAAAGATACCAGAGCCGATGATGGCGGCGATGCCGAGGGCAGTGAGATCCCACCAGTTGAGAGCACGGCGGTAGTTGGTTTCGGCGGCTTCCTTGTCAATGGAGATCAGACTCTTCTTGGCAAAGAGACGCTTGACAAGCGAAGAATGGCCGCCCTGAGCAGGGCCGGACTGGAAACGCGGGAGGGCATAGAGGAGATGGACAAGATCAGTCACGGACTCGCAAACGAACCGAGGAAACGATGGGTGCGAGGGCCAGAAGGGACGAGACGGGCAGGCGGGAGACTGAAACGAAGGGCGGGTGTGGCAGATGTGGCAAATGTGGCAGATGTGGCAGAACAGAACGCATCCAGAGCATGCTGGCCATGAGACCAGACATGTCGCCAGATTGCCGTGTCCCAGCCCCTCCAGCAACCCCACAACCCCACAGCCCCACAGATCGAAGGGGGCACGGCCGTGGCAGCCGAGGGCGGCGTTGCTCGGGTGCGACGGCTGCAGGACCGCGAGTCTGCGAGGCTGCAAGAAGCAGTGGAAGTGTCTGGAGGAGGCGGGAGGCAGACGAGGCAAACGAAGCAAGCAAGCCAGGAGAGCTTGGCCAGAGCCAGACACGACGTGGGCCACGATGGCTCGCTTGGAGACATGGCTCGGACGACAGCACAGACGATACATACAAAGACTCTGACGTTCCCGATCGTCATGGTGCCCCGGTGGGATCTTGGGGAGGAGAGGAGATGGGATGAGATGGGATGAGGAGCCGGACGAGGCAGATGGGGATGGACCGAGAGGGAGGCGACGGGGGTGTATATATATGCGGGCCTGGCTGGGCAGACGGGTTTGAGGCGAGGGAGTGTCGGGAGTCGCGAAGGCCTGTTTTGGCGACGACAACATTTAGCCACCACGCCGACAGGATCAGCAGATGACCCTTGTCAAAGTGGCCAACAAGCGACAGGGCGATGGCGCAAAGCAGTGACGACAGCGGGAGCGGAGCAAGCAGCCGGCAGCAGCGACATCAAGGACAGACAGCAGCATCAGTGGCAGCCAGACGAACAGCGTCAGCATCGGCGACAGCCAGACGAGCAACAAACGCAAGAACAGCAGCATCAGTGGCAGCATCAGTGGCAGTATCGGCAGCAAGCCGAGATAAACCGACAAGCAGTCGCTGCCTCCTGTCCATGAGGCGGTGGCCCGATGGGCAGCAGCAGGCAGCGAATTGCGGCAGAAGTGGTGGCCACGCACCCGCGCCGATAAGGCTCCCCGCAGTCCACAAAGGCCGGCTGTCGGCCGAGGGGAACTATCCAGAGTGATGCTCCAAGATTTCCTGCAGACATCCTGATGCGCCACCTGCAAAAAGCAAGCCATTTGGGGACATGCCGCTGTCCGGCGCGTGCGCGCGACAGGACCATCACACGTGTCGAGAGGTAACCGCAAGTGGGTCGGGCGCATCTCCGTTGGTTGATTGAAAGTGCTTGCGACAGGCACTCATGCCTCACGGAGGCCTGACGACTCCCGAAGAGGACTTTTGAAATGTGCGCCGTTCTTTCGACGTTTTTCCAGAGCCAGAGAGGTGCAGCAGTCTCGATGGCACGCCTCATACGACAGCACGAGCTTGCACTTGTGTCTCCAATGGCTGGCCGCCTGCCGCCGGGTGGGTTCTTTTGCCGCTGCGGCTCAGGCTGACCAGGCGGGTGTGACAGATCAGTCATTTCCATATTCGTCGCTGAACAAATTTGAGCGCGTTGTCAGCCCAGGCGGGACTCGTTGCTGAACGGAGCACAGCTCGATGGCGCACCATGACGCCGCTGAGGCATGCGCTGGCAGTTTCGGAGGACGGTGCACAAGGAGCTCGAGGAGGAGCACAACGGCCATGCAAACAATCAACGAAACCAGCATGCTTGGATGGGTCTGGGGAATGGCGATTTGCCTCGACACCCCATCGTGCGGCCTCGTTCTTGTTTGATGACAATGCAGAAACGGCCGAGGTCCGATTCCGGCTTGAGCGGCGGTTTGACTCCGGAGGCGCCGGGAAGTCGGGAGCCTGGCAAGCAGCCTTGCGAGCAGTCGACACCCTTATACGCACGCTGGCGCTGCCTCACCACTCCCCGCCGGTCGCGCACCTGGCCAAATATGTCTATTCTTGACGGTTGACGCAAAACCACTGGTGCTCAATCGATATACATCACCTATCTCGCTGCACTGGTCTCTGGTTACTTGATCTGTGGCATTTGCATGCGGCGTGCGTGACTCACTGGGCCGAGTCCATTTCACAAGGTTGGGACCGACATCGATAAAGCAGAGGCCATTCATCCACCTCCCATGGTGCTTGAGGTCCGTATTGGCGTAAGGCGTGCTCCTGATGTGACCCGTCAATACAGTGGACAACAGAACGCCGTCCCTATGGTGCCCAAAGCTGATTCGGAAGAGGCAACCGAAGCAATCAAAGTTGAAACTTGAGCCAGACCAGTCCGGCAACCACAACACCAGCTCACCCATTCGATGGTCAGAGAGCGACGGTGCCGTGGGTCAGACGACCAACTCAAAAGCCGAAATGAGGCGATGGAGCAGGCTGGACGATCGTTGGAGAGCGAGCCTCTGAAGAAAGCCAACGAATGGTCTGAGCCCCAGTGGAAAGACGATCAAGAGCGGATGCAGTTGCCAACTCGATGTGGCTCAGGGATGAATGAAAGATCAGGGACAGGCGGTGATGACGAAAGTGTCGGCGTGGGCACTTGGACCACACTCGACTGCTGAGAGACAGCGAACACACCGGCTTGCGAATGACACAACACCAGATTGTCGTGGACATGGGCAAGTGGCTCAGTTCTCCCGATGAGGACGAGACCATGGATGATGCGTCGGGAGGGGTAGGATGGATGGCGAGGATGTTTCACATTAATCGTTGGTGCCGGAAAACTCAGAGCGAGGCTTGCAGACTCAGAGACTTGAGAGCGGGACCTCCGATTGCAGATCCAAGTGCAAGCTTATCGAGTTTCAGAGGTCTTGAGCCCTTCACTCTTGGCGGCGAGAATTGGGTACATATAGGTCGCACGTGGGAAAAGAATATGCAAATAGGTATATGGGTGGATGTTGCTGATTTGTCGAAATCAAGTGCTGGATGATTTGTTCAAGTCAAGTGCTGGATGATTTGTCAAGTCGACTGCTGGATGATTTGTCGGATGATGATTCAATCAAGCCCCAGTCATATATGCTATGCGGTGTAACATCCACCAACCGACGATAGCTCAGTTGGTAGTAGCATCAGACTGTAGTGAACGAGCAATCTGAGGGTCCCCGGTTCGACTCCGGGTCGTCGGATTCCAGCCTTCTTGGCTCAGTTGGCAGAGCGTCTGCCTAGTAAGCAGAAGGTCACCAGTTCAATTCTGGTAGAAGGCATTCCTTTTTTTCTCATTTCTTTCCCTGGTCCTGTCCCTGTTCTTGTTCTTGTTCTTGTTCCTGTTGCATCTCGCTCTCTCCTTTGCTGTTGCTGATGCTGCTTCTGCTCGGTGCTGCTGCCTCACCTCATCGTTGCTGTTGCGGTTTGCATGGTGCGTCTGTTGCATGGTGCGTCTGTTGCGCTGATCAACTCGCACTGTGTTGTTGTGCTCAGTCCCCATCGTGTGTTGCGCTTCTGTCCACTTGCATCCATATCGTCGTGCCCGTGCATTTTGTTCGCCCTGTTGTCTGCTGTCTGCTGTCTGCTGTCTGCTGTCTGCTGTCTGCTGTCTGCTCTGGTGGCCATCGATTCTCGAGTGTACGGGCCGTGTACCATGAGCCATGCACCATGGGCCATGCACTATGAGCCTGCACCGCATGGGAGTGCCCGGATCCACAGTGACGATTGTCGATCTCCTCCTCAAGCACTCTGTCCTCGATCGTCCATGAGCCGCGTCCGCACAAGGAAAAATGTGTTGGTCGTATGGTGACAATTGAGAGGTCTTGTAGAGAAACAAATGGGCTTGGAGTTGCTGGGGGGGGGCAAGACCAGATCGCATGTTGGCAGCGCATCATGGCTTCCAGTACCAGCATGACATGATTGTGGTTGTGGTTGTGGTTGTGGTTGTGGTTGTGGTTGTGGTTGTGGCTGCTGACTCAACACTTAGTCGTGCTGTATGATGGGTTGATATCCCTCTCAACAAGGCATGGTTGGTCCAGTGGTAGAATTGCCGCCTGCCACGCGGCAGACCCGGGTTCGATTCCCGGACCATGCAATTTTGCTTTCGCTTTTTTTTTTCTTCGCTGTCCCTTCCGTCATCTCACACACTGTTCCTCCCACTTTTGTCAATCCGCTCGCTGCCTCTTTGGCTTTCTCCCTCACGTCTTTCTTTCTCCCTTGCACGATTACACATTCGTTCAGCTCACATTTGCGCAATTCCACATTGGCTTCAGTTCCTTATTTGCTCAGTTGCGCATTCGCCCCATACCGCTCTCTGTTGTTCATCGCCTTTGCTTTCACCACTCTTCCCCTGCTCGCTTCCCCCCTGCTCGCCTGCCAGCACCAGAAGGACTCTTTGCCAAAGTCATTCCACTGTCGCTTATACTTCGTTGTCCGGGCTTTGAGCTGTGAGCGGTCGAGCAACACTGGAGCTTCGTGCGGTAGATATGATGGGTCTGCCTGAAGGACTATCCGGCTGAAGAGCCTTTGTTTGGGTCATTGATTGGGTAACTGATGTCGAGCCTTCGCTCGATGACGAGGACGACTTTTTGATGATCTTGGTAACATGGTTGTTGACGACGCAGAACAAGAAAATGTCCAGGACCCATAGGAATATGCAGACGGCGTTTCCGATCAACCCGGTGGCGTCGTATTGAGTGTATACTTGGAATCCGACATACAGCGCCAGTTCAGCTGCGATCGCTATGAGCAGAAGTACTCCTTCACGCTTGACCTCATCCCTGCCTTCCAAGTGACCCACAGTGCTGCCGCGCTTCTGGTTCATTTGAGTTCGTGGAGGAGCTGACGCTCTCAAGGTACGCGAGGAGTTGTCAAGGGAACGCAGTCGAAACATCATCAGGACATGGAGACAGATGAGGTTGATTTCGAGTGCCAGGTTGAAAATGAAGTTGAGGTACCACGATTCGGCCGTGGAAATGACGCCGTAGGTACTGAGGATGAAGCACACATCGTTGGTGCCATAGACGATCGGTGCAATCCCAAATACAAAGAGCCATGCGTACATTGGTTCGTTGTTGACGGTCATCACTCGCAGTCTCAACAGGTATGCCCAACCGATAGAGGCGGACCCGATGCAATCGCCAAAGGCATAGAGAAAGTTGGCGAACTGGGTGCAGTATGTGTTGGATGTGCACACGTCATAAAGCATCAGTTGATTGCCAATGCAGTAGAGTGCCGAGAATATGATTGCCAAAGCCATGAGCGAGTGTATCTGGAGACCGCGCTGAATGTTAAATGTATGTCTCCACTTGACGTATTTGATACAATGAAGTGCCAAGTGGGCTGTGCCGATGTAGACCACAATCGAAAAGATTGAGGCATTTTGCATCACAACGGGATCCATGGCTGTGGTCTGGATGGTCTTGAGGGCTGGATCGACAGAGGTTGAATACGCGACGATATGGACGTCGGAGGCACTCGGGATTGAGAGAACAGTGCCAAAGTTGATGGCAAGACAGTGTCGGCTTCCAAGCGATGTGGCCGGGCTCGAGAAGTGCCGCTGAGGATAGATCCGGGACAGGGCCGGGGGAGCAATGCCATACGCGCTATATAGGTTACGGCGGCGGGAATATGAGGCCGAGGCATCTGTCGACGTCATTAGGACATATGTCCCGTTTCTGAGGACACACGGGCGATGAATGCTCCGCCTGTGTGTCTGTGTGTCTGTGTCTGTGTGTTCATCGGTCGGGATGACCGGTGCACAACTTGGATGGGTGACGTTCGGCATTGTGTGAGGGACACGGCGTAACACACACCCCTTCGATATCGACTCCAGTATGAAGGCACTGCGGCCGATCACCCATATATATTGCACAGGGCTCCGATCCTGCCATTGTTCACATCCGACTGACATCATATGCGTATTCGCCAGCGGTGGCATTTCATTGATGTCGATATTCGACGCAATCACATCGCCGACTGAGCCATTTGTGTTCTTCTCATCCAGCAGAATCGCCGAGGTGGATCGCCAGTCCAACTCCCGTGTCCTTGCACTGCATTGCTTCGCCTTCATCTGCCACCTCCATCAGTGTGTCCAGGGTATTAGATACCGACATATTCGCACCCTCGGCATGTTGGGGTCTTTGTGGAATGGACGGCTCTCATCATGTCACCAACATGAGGGAGGTCGAGCACCGCAAGACCCGACTTCCATCCTTGGATAGTGGTGCCAACTGTCTGGGCGAGGATGAGTGCGCGGCAGAGACGACCGAGGGCGAGATTGACCTTCCTTGAGGCCCAAACCTGTGATAAAAATGGAATCCAGTGGGCCTCTGCTTCTTGGCCACTCTCGACACATATCCCAAGACGATGTGCTATCGAGATTTGAAGTTGGCAGCAGTGCGGAAATCGCGGCTGTGATGCGCTTTCTTGTGAATGATGTATGTGCGCTTTGCCATAATCCGGCACGCTGAAGAGACAACTGAGCCCAATAGCTCCCACTGACAAAACCACTCCAAAGTCGGATCATTCATCCACTCGGCCAACAACGACCGAGTGGGAGAAGACGCAGAGCAAAGAGCGCAATCGTGTGGCGGGGCGGTCTGGATCGTGTCCACTCTTCCACCATTGTGGTTGCAGAACGAGGGATGATTTTGAATGTTGAGTTTGCTGTTGTCGAGAGGTCCGATGTTTCGGTCTGGCAATCGGTTTCTATCCGGCGATCAGCATCAGCGACCGTTGTGGGACAGCACTGTTTGTATATTGGATGTGTTGGATGTATTGGATGTATTGGATGTATTGGATGTGTTGGATGTACTGAATATCAAATACAACACCACCACACTTCCCCATCACTGAAAACACTTTGCAAGTGCACTCTTTGGTATCATGGTGTCTGGGATGGGTGATGGCACGGTTTGCTTGGCTGCTTGCATATTCAGTACTGTGACAGAATCCTTGGAATATGGCAATCAGGAAGGGCTCGGAATCAGGGCCACTTGCCGAGTTGCTCGAGGTTGAAGCTGGCATATCGGAATCCCTGCTCAGTGGACTTGCGATACCAGAAAACGGCGGTATTGGCGTCCTCGGGGACACCAGCGTCAACCTGGTAGCAAAGGCCGAGATAATCTTGTCCGTATCGATTGCCCTGCTCGGCCGACTTGCGATACCACTCGACTGCCTTGGTGTAGTCCTCGGTGACTCCATGTCCCAGTAGATAGGCACCAACCAACCATCCACTGCCCGTTGGAGTTGCCTTGGCTGGCCGACTTGCTGTACCACTCGAATGCCATGCGTCTGTCTACTGATTTTCCTCGGGCCCAGTAGTAGCAGCTTCCGATCCAAAACTGACTGTCGCTGTGGCCTTCGTTGGCGAGCTGCTCAAGTATGGATGTTGCTTTCATTTTGTTCTTGGCGGTTCCGAATCCATGAAACAAGCACAGCCGCGAGATGTCTGCACAGCCAGTCTCTATCTGATCCAAGCTGGCACAGCTCGAAGAACTTGCGAGATGCGGGCAAGTCACTATTGATGCTGTACCACCCCGCCTAAAAACACTCGGTCTCCCCAAGCTTGAATTCATCCGATTGGTTGTCTCAGATGATCTTGACACCTTTCTGCTTGTCCTGAACGGTACCCCGGCCGAGGTAGTGCAGCCAACCGACCATATGGGTGGAGATGGGTTTGGTGATCGGATCGATAGACTTGGTGCTGACTTCCTGCCAGTGACCGAGAGCAGCGACATCGCTCTGTTCGACACCATGACCGATGGATGAGAACCAGGCCTTGGTGAGGCCCCGGTTGATACCGATGCCATCGTGATAGCATCCAGCCAGTTGGAACTGTGCGATTGGATGGCTTGTTTTGGCGGCATTCTTCAGTTGGCGAAAGACTCGCTGGCGGATGGCTGCCTGCTTGGATTCGTTTTCAAACTGCTGATTGTCGAGATCGGTTTGGAGGATCTGTGCCAGGAAGTACGAGGCAGCAGCGTTTCCCCGGTCTGAGCAACGAGCCAGGATCGGTCGGTTGTCTCTTGATCATCGCAGTGCAGCGAGATGGCAATCTGGTCACTTGGTATGGGCCAATCTGAATCTGTCCGTCTGGATCGCACAGTCCGTTTGGATCGCACAGTTCGTCTTCTGGCACCGTTGTGGAAGCGAGGCAGCTTGGAGCTCAGAAGAGCCTGGGCACATCTGCACACATTCAAATGAATGCTGGGCGATATCGGGCATCGACGAGGTTGTTCTGGCTTCAGCTTGGCTTTGGTGGGTGGCAGATGACGTGTGGTTGAAGCAGGCTCGTTCATGCTGGCCATGTTGACGGAGACAGGAAGGAGGCAAGTGGGTGATGGATATAGACAGGAGACAGAGAGGGAAGTTGTGGAGAAGCAAGTCGAGCACTGGCAAGCCAAGCACACACACACATGTGCGTATTGAGTGCTCGTCCAATCAAAGTCGGAGCTGAATCAATCCTGGAATCGAAAGCAAGTCGAACATATCATCCAGTCTTGTCCGGTGGTCGGTGAACGACTGGTGTCGACGATGATTCTAGCGTCTCGTTGGCTCAAACATCAGTGATGCGGTTATGTGATTGGATGTGGGTGTGCTGTTCAACAGCGAGACCAGGACTCTCGTGTTGCCAAATGTGCTGCCCAAGATCCAGGAATAGCGATGCAGGCATATTCGATTGATCACGAGCCGCGCCACACATTGATTTGATGTATCAGGGCTGACAGATGGACCATGGGTGGAAAAACTCTCCCACTGACCAAGGACAACTGGATCGGAGTGTATGAGGGCAGGGTTGGAAGGAATGCTAACAGCTACATGATCCGGCTTTTCTTATTGTTGTGGCCATGGTCAGAGGGCTTCTTGCGAGAGGACCCTGCAATCGAGGATCCGAGTGGTTGGCATTGCTGACCAATCTTTTTTTCAATATCAGCAATGCCGATCTCAGCCTCTTTGATATCTTTGTGCTCGGGATTCTTGATGGTCTGGGTCCAAATGTCCAAAGCTTCCTGGTACAAGCCGAGTGCGTTGGCGTATTCCCCTTGAGCGTTGGACACATCACCCAGATTTCTGAGGGTCGTGGCAATCTCAGGGTGCTTCCGATTTTTGTAGACATTTGTGAAGATATCCAAGGCTTCTTGGAGCATGCTTTGTGATTCGGAGAGCTGTCCTTGGAGAAACTTGAGTTTGCCATGAGCATCGAGGGTCCACGCAACATGCACATGTTGCCGAGTTTTGAAGGCCTTGACAAAGACACCCAATGCCTCGCGATAGCTGACTTCAGCCAGTTCGTAATTGCCTTGGATCAGAGCGACATTCCCGAGGCGACGGATCGTTATAGCGACATCGGGATGCTCTCGTGTTCCATAGACCTTGGTGTGTATGTCGAGCGCCTCCTGGTAGCACTTGAGGGCGGTCTCGTACTTGCCTTGAGACGAGGCGACACTGCCCATGTTGGCGATTGTGGTGGCTACCGAGGGATGTTCCCGCGTGCCATAGATCTTGATCTTGATGTCGAGTGCCTCCTGGTAACGTTCGAGGGCGGTCTCGTAGTCGCCTTGGGAGGAGGCGATATCCCCGAGACAATGGATCGCCGTGGCTACTGAGGGGTGTTCTCGTGTCCCGTAGGCAGTGGCCATGATATCCAATGCTTCTCGGTAGTGCTCGAGGGCGGCCTCGTAATTGCCTTGGGAAGTGGCAATATCCCCGAGGCATTGGATCGTGGCGGCGACATCAGGGTGTTCCCGCGTGCCATAGACCATGGTCTCGATCACCAGCGCTTCTTGATAGTATTTGAAGGCAGTTTCGTAGTCACCTTGGGATGATGCGATATTGCCTAACTGATGTATCGTGACAGCGATATCGGGGTGTTCTCGTGTACCAAAGACTCTGGTCTTGATATCGAGTGCCTCTTCATAGTACCTGGAGGCGACTTCGTATTTGCCTTGGGCGGAGGCGACGTTTCCCAATTGGTGCATCGTGGCTGCGACTTCAGGGTGTTCTTTTGAGCCGTAGAATTCGATGCATTTGGCAAGATGCTGCTCATATAGCTCCATCGCCTGGGTGTAGGACCCGCGTATGTCCGCCATCTAAGCAATGCGATATTCGACTACTTGATGAATGTCCGCGGTATACCCATCTGCTGCCACCACCGCCGAAAATTCCTCAAGATGCTCCAAGTACGGATATGCATCCACCAGCAGAGATTCGGTTAGCTCAATCAGAGCTTCACCCGCTGCATCTTCAATCGCCTCGGCATTCAGTTCACTGTGTGCTTGGACATACTCTCGAGCCACTTGCTGGGTGAGCGAGTGAGTCGAGTACCGTCCCTCGTTTCCACTTCGGAGGAGACCACTCTGAACCACCATCTTGATCAGATCGGCCACTGTGGACAGATGGATGATCAGTTCCATGCACTGGCACCATCAACTGCACTTCGATCCACTCAACTCACCTTCGATCTTGAACTCCATCTTCTGTACAATCTCCTTGATCAACTCAAACTGGATGTTGGCCGGTGCCACCAGACTGAGGGCACCGAACAGCCTGGTTGCCTCGATGCCCTCATCTCCTCGCTTCATCAGCGAGTCCAGCGACAGATCCACAATCACCTTGAGCGACGACCGCGTGTCGTCCTCGCCATCCTGCAGCTCCAATGCTCCTGCAAACGTGGCCTCGAGCTCCGACAGGGGAGTGTCGTAGTTCTCGGCAAACGTCATGAATGTCTGGATGACGAGTGGATATCCGCTGATCTTGGCCACGATGCTGTCCAGTGACTTCTTGGCCTCGTCCGACACAAGTCGCTGGACAATCATCGGCGATGACGACATGATATAGTCGAGTGTGGTGGAGTCGTCCCAGTTGCCGAGACGGATCAGATCGTGCTGGAAGCTCGGTACCTTGGTCTCAAGAGCACTGGTGAATGCACCAGGAGGCAGCGAGGCCAGCCGGGTCGTCACCACCACATCGCCGCTGAACCCGACCGACTTGGAGTGCTCAAACACAGAGTCGACCACGTTGATGTCATCGACATTGTCGAGCACCAGGAGATAGCCGTGAGTGTTGGCGAGGAACCTCGAGGCATGTTCCTTGATCACATCGGGCTTGATGCCAGGGAACATGTCGATGAGTCCATCGATGGCAGTCGACTCGGTCGAGCAGTTGATCCAGAAGACCTGGCGGTACTGCGGCTTGATGCCAATGGTCTTAGCTTTGATGACATGGAGGTCGTCCTTGTTGCTCGCATTCAGAATGCCCATCATGAAGAACAGGATCTGGACGGCCAGGACAGACTTGCCCATGCCACCCATGCCAGAGATGACGGCACGGCCAGTCAGAGTGAGTTGCTTGAGCAGGGTGTCGAGGTGGACGGGATCGAATCGGAACTTGGAGTCGCAAAAGTATTTGTCATGGATGGCCGTAATGAGATCCATGTTGGGTGGGATGGGATGGACGAGGTTGAGGAGGCGGTAGACTCGCTTGTGCATCTGGTCGGGACGAATGCCAAGGGATTGGATCTGGCTCACTCTGCCGAGGATCTGCTTGAGGGGGGCAAGGGCAGGGTCGTCGGGGAGGGACACCATGTGTGGCAAGAAGGGAGTGAAGTCATCGACATCGTCCTTGGTCTCCTTGGTGGCGATTCCGAGGGGAAGGACAGGGAGGGAGCGTTTGGCATCCTTGAGGTCGAGAGCCTTCTTGATTTCGAGCAGGACGCTATACTCTTGGCCATTCTTGACCTTGTTCTTCATCATGTCCATCGAGGCCTTGCTGAGGAGGAGGAAGACGGCCTTGCTGGTGGGGAGGGCACTGATGGAGCTGGCTGGAGGGTCGCTGGGATTGTTGAGGCAGTCGACATCGTGGAAGACGGAAAGGGGTTTGCCATATCGACGGAGGGCGACCGAGGTGAGCACCTCCTTCAGAGCCTGGACAGTGTCGGCATCAGTCTGGGCACGGTATGAGAGGAACAGATCGTGGTCGGTGCCGTGGGCCGGGCAGGAACAGAGTTGGTTGCTGGTGGCCTGCATGCCGGATGATGTCGATTGTGGGAATAGAGCGACGAGTGCTGTCCAAGCAAAGCCGGCGGTCACACCAGATGCCGTCAGCGATCCGATCCACGTGAGCGACACGGCGTCATGTGCCATGTCCTCGTGCGCAGCACAAACAACCGAACACCGCCACATCGGCATCCCTGGCGGAAGAGGGGCGAGTCATGGAGGAAATGACTCCCGAGACTCCTCTCCTGTCATCCTCCAACCACACCATTGCCTTTCCCCCAGGTTTCATTTCCATCCGTCCATCTCCTTCAAGATGACCAGCAAGCTCCTTATCCACCAGCACCAGGACAGACCACCATGGTACATCTCGCCCAGCGACATCACCGACCGCTCAGCCAGCCCCATCGGCCGTGGTGGGTTTGGTGGGGTGTTCACTGGCAGCTACTTTGGCACCCAAGTCGCCATCAAGCAGCTTCTCGGCGCTCCAAACGACCCCGAGCTCGCCAGCTACCACCATGAGATCGAGGTTTGGCAGAATCTCAGCCACCCCCACGTCCTCCCACTCCTCGGAGCCTGCGACAAGGGCGACGCCGGCGAAAAGATCACTCCGTTCATGGTCTCTCCGTTCATGCCAAACGGCACGCTTCGTGACTATGTGGCCAACAACAACATTTCCCTCGAGAAGAAACTCAGTCTCTTGTACCAGGTTGCAGCGGCCCTGGCCTATCTGCACGCCAGAAGCATCATCCACGGCGACCTCAAGGCAGCCAACGTCCTCTTGGACAAATCCTTCCAGGCCATCGTCACCGACTTTGGCTTGTCCAGAACCAAGCACACCTCGGCCTCGATGAACCCCAATCGAAATGGCGGCTCGACCAGTGGCACCGAGGGATACATGGCTCCCGAGATGCTCGACGATGAGAATCCGACTGGCACCACGATGATGACCGATGTCTATGCCTTCGCCATCACCATGTACGAAGTACTGAACAATGCCGATCCGGTTTGGGTTTCCAACGATGGTCAAGCGATGAAAGGCGAAGCTATCAGGGGGTTGGTCTGCAATGGCCAGAGACCCTCCCGATTCGATGGCATCCCCGACGACATCTGGTTGCTCGTCGAACAGTGCTGGCACCAAGACCCATCCATGCGTCCCACCTTTGGGGACATCGCGTCGATTCTCGCTCCCTTCGAGGATGTTACTTCATTCCCGATTCCCGCCGACACCGCCAGCTCTGCGTCGCCACGTCGACTCGAGTCCCCGACTCTGGCCCAGAGACTCACCACCGGCTATGGCCTCCCGCGGGCAGTGATCATGGGTATCCAGCGGAGTGACGCCGACGCCCATATCACTGCCGCCCACACGGTGTCGGACGGCAAGCCGGCCAACGACCCTGCCTGGACAACTGCCGCCGAGCTGTATCAGGCAGCCGCCGACAAGGGGAGTGTCGAGGCCGCCTCCCAGCTTGCATGGCTGCATTTCACGGGCATCGGCATCACCAAGAGCGACACTGAGGCCTTCGCCTACTGGCAAGTTGTTCATAACAAGGCGAAGGACGCCACCATGAAACCCATTGCCACATTCATGATGGGCTGGTGCTGCTATCTTGGCCGTGGAACTCGCCAAGACGAACCCAGGGCCAACCAACTCCTGCGCGAGAGCAAGACTGCCGAGTTTCCGTATGGCGAGAGCTCAATCCACGGACTGGAAACGCAATGTTCCTCCTCGACTGCCGCTCGATTCTTCGGCTTGTGCCAACTCGGAACGGAGCACGACTGGTTCTGCAAGCACCTGGCTGCACGTTGCTTGATCGGCGGCTTTGGAGCCGACAAAGACCCGCAACTCGCCGTGCGGTTGCTGCAAGAGCTCGCGGACCAAGGTCATGCCATCAGCCAGTATGCACTTGCTGATTGCTACCTGGGGGGTCTTGGCGTTCCTCAAGATGACGCCAAGGCTGTTGAACTGTATCGTCGGGGCGCTACTCAAGGTCACTTGTGGTCGATTCTGAATGTCGGGCTCCGCTATGCGAACAGTCAAGGTGTCACCCAGGACGATGACCAGGCTGTCGAGTGGTATCGCAGGGCTGCCGAGATGGGAATGGCGGCTGCACAGAACCAACTGGGGTTTTCCTACTACAACGGCAAAGGTATCACTCAAGACTATGCCAAGGCTTTTGAATGGTACACAAAAGCTGCTAATCAGGGGCATACAGATGCCCAGTGCAATCTCGGTAGCTGCTACTACCACGGACATGGTGCCGTCCAGGACTATGCCAAGGCTGTCGAGTGGTTCACCAAATCTGCTGATCAGGGCAATGTATGGGGTCAATGCAACCTCGGCAATTGCTTCTACCACGGGCATGGTGTCGTCCAAGACCATGCCAAAGCTGTCGAGTGGCTCACCAAGGCCGCCAATCAGGGGAATGCAATAGCCCAAACCGGTCTTGGTAACTGCTACCGTGATGGCGAAGGAGTAATCCAGGATTATACAAAGGCCGTTGAATGGTTCACCAGGGCTGCCGATCAGGGAAATGCAGTTGCTCAGAACAATCTCGGTAACTGCTATTACAAAGGTGAAGGTGTCGCCCAGGACTATGCCAAGACTCTCGAGTGGTTCACCAAGGCTGCGAATCAAGGAAATGCAGTTGCTCAGAACAACCTTGGTAACTTCTATCACAATGGCAGAGGTGTCACCAAGAGCATCGAGACTGCCCGACACTGGTACCGTAAAGCGGCTGACCAGGGTAACATAACCGCCCAAAACAACCTCGCCAAACTAGGCGGGGGCTGCAATATCCAGTGACCCCCCTCTATATTCTCAATGTATTGCACCGCCGTTGCTGCGATTTGTATCCGTTTACGAGAGGTGTATTGATCCAAGGCAAATGGTCATCAGTACCACGCGATACCCGGCAATGGATGAACTAAAGTAAGCAAGCAAGCTCGTGCACCCTGTTGCGGCTCTCACGGGCTCTCCACCCTACACGACGAACAATGCCGAGCTTGTGGATCCCAAGTTATTCGATGTTTCTTTTGGTTGATGAACACCATCAGTTGTTATGGGTAGCATTGTGTGTATACTTGTATGCGTTGAGTTTGAAAAACATCATCAATCAGCCGATATTGACCGATCGTAGCCACTCTGCAAGTCCATTGATTGGTATCTTGGTGTCTGGGCTGTGTTCGAATGAGTGCTGGGCGATATCGGGCATCGACGAGGTTGTTCTGACTTCAGTTTGGCTTTGGTGGGTGGCAGATGATGCTGTGATTGAAGCAGGCTCGTTCATGCTGGCCATGTTGACGGAGACAGGAAGGAAGTGGGTGATGGCCATGGCGATGGACAGGAGTCAGAGGGACGAGGTGGAGAAGCAACCCAAGCACTGGCAACCCAAGTACTGGCACCCAACCCTTGGCAATTGAAAGCACACCACAGCACACATGCATTGATGCTTTCAGTGATGTTCCGCATATTTTGTGAGGTCGCTCAGCCGCAAGGACACCCTGCTCCCGTTCAAATGCGGCACTGCCATTGAGTTCCCACCGGATGATCCGACGAGCCCGCTTGGACGACGTTTGCTCGCTGCCATCGACTACGAATACCACGAACGAGCAATGAGACCCGCCACTCCCACTCACACTGAGGTGATGGACATGATCCGATCCATCATGAAGACTCGCGAGGATCAGACCGACATCATGCCGGACTTTGGTTCCCTTGGCATCCCTGGTGGCCATCCAAATCGAGCCCAAATGGAAGCTCATCTTGGCCACCAACCACATCCCAAACATTGTCTTCACCTCCGACCCGAGCCATGCCACTTTCAGACGCATCATCATCATCATCACCATCATCATCATCATCATCATCATCATCATCATCATCATCATCATCATCATCATCATCATCATCATCATCATCCATTTCCCACCAGTTTGTTCAGAAGAAACCAGGACTCATCCTGGGCCCAACCAACTTCCAGTGACAGCTCCCTGGAATCAAATCCCCACGGATGCATGGGAGTGTACATTCATCGGTGAGCTGATCCGACGATTTCCAAATGCATTTGATCCCGGCAGACCCATCGACTCTGAAGTCTTCATTCCCAGCGAGGTCCAGGCATTCACACACTCCAGCATCACCAACCAGGACTACATGGCCTCAGTACACCATCACACGATTGGAAAGCTCCACCCAGACGTCTTGAAGAGCTCACTCACCGCCAAGAACCTCAGAGTCCATGACGGTGCTGCCATTGTGGCCATCGCAGGTCCCAAGGCGATCGAGTGATGGCTGAACACTGCTCCATGAGTCGTGTGCTGCATGGTCCGTGTAGTAGATTGAATAGTGGCTGTTGGGGGTGTGCATCCGTCAAGACTCGAGCACAGAGGGAGTGGGAACTGGACTGGGAAACCGAGTGGGAGCTGGACTGGGACACCGAGTGGGAACTGGACTGGGACACCGAGTGGGAACTGGACTGGGAAACCGAGGGTCAAGAGCGAAGCCAAGGACGTATGATGGATTCAAGAACAAGGATGCAAAGGAAAACAGGTGGCAAGACGAAGACCGAACACAAAATGTGACGACTCGTCCAGTGACCGACCGTGGGCATGAGGATGGCATGCACAGGAGCAGCAGATTGGCCGGATGTGGGTGATTGCTGGGTGATTGCTGGGTGATTGCTGGGTGATTGCTGGGTGATTGCTAGGTGATTGCTGGGTGATTGCTGGGTGGATGTTGGACGTTGCTGGATGGATTGTTCAAGTCAAGTGCTGGATGATTTGTTGGATGATGATTCAATCAAGCCCCAGTCATATATGCTATGCGGTGTAACATCCACCGACCGACGATAGCTCAGTTGGTAGTAGCATCAGACTGTAGTGAACGAGCAATCTGAGGGTCCCCGGTTCGACTCCGGGTCGTCGGATTCCAGCCTTCTTGGCTCAGTTGGCAGAGCGTCTGCCTAGTAAGCAGAAGGTCACCAGTTCAATTCTGGTAGAAGGCATTCCTTTTTCTTTTCTTTCCCTGGTCCTGTCCCTGTTCTTGTTCTTGTTCTTGTTCCTGTTGCATCTCGCTCTCTCCTTTGCTGTTGCTGATGCTGCTTCTGCTCGGTGCTGCTGCCTCACCCCATCGTTGCTGTTGCGGTTTCCATGGTGCGTTTGTTGCATGGTGCGTCTGTTGCGCTGATCAACTCGCACTGTGTTGCTGTGCTCAATCCCCATCGTGTGTTGCGCTTCTGTCCACTTGCATCCATATCGTCGTGCCCGTGCATTTTGTTCGCCTCAGTGTATTTCCCCACTCATTCCATCCGCCTGCGCATACTCTCGTCTCGCCAAATCCTTGCTCACCATCTGTCGGTGCATGTACTCGTCCTGGTCGCCGTCGCGCAGCACCTGTCTCGAGCCTGTTTGCTCTCTTGTTTCTTGTATCTCTTCGCCATTCCACGTTCTTCTGGCCCTCCTCATTCCTCCAGTTTTCCTCATTCTCCTCGTCTTCATCGTCCTTGCATCCCCGGCGCGAGTGGGTCGCCATGATCTCTTTGGCTTGTGCCAGCGCGTCATTGCTCAATGCGCCTCATCCTTTCTTCGGCCTGTTCTCGGTCGGGCGCTGAGCTCTGCTTCCGTCTTGGCCATCGCTGACTCCGATCACCCCGTCCTTTTTGATCCCACTTGGGCTGGTATGTCCAATCCCAGCTCGCCGTGTCCCTCGCCGGCTAGCTCTCTCCCTGCCCCGATTTCGCTGTTCCGATCCGGGCGAACCTCAGCGCCCGTCTGCGGGATCTGTCGCACTCCTCGATCTAGCTCCTTGCGGCTCACCCCTCCAGCTTTGATTCCCTCAGCATCATGAAGATCGTTACCTTGAACCAGTCTGAAGAGGAGCTTGCCTTCCGGCAGATGAAAAAGGCTGCAATGATCAACTGCGACGATCATGTTAAGGGTAGGCTACTCCCGTCCGCCCTCTTCTCTACTCCCGTTCCTTCCGTCGCCATCCACTCTTGCACAGCTTTCACGGATCTTTGCTATCCTCCCGGCGAGGTTGCTCACATCTTGGGTACTCCTCCCTCCCCTCCCTTCGCGACCGAACAGCGTTTGTCGAATGCTCCCGCAGTGGCACCTGGTCGGTTCTGTTCAAGTGCCAAGACCTCAACAAGAAGATGAATGACTGTCTGAAGCAGTTCACCACCGACTCCCATCGTGATCGCATCCGAGACCAGTGTCTGCACGAGAAGATCGAGCGATACAAGGCCGAGGGCAAGCTGTCGTGAGCCCTCGATTCTCGATCCCAGAGCCCAATGCTGCCACCTTGACCAGCCCTGGTTGCTCTTTTGCACCGACGAATCTCTGTGTCCTCCGTGATGCCTGCGGACCAACGGACGGAAATGCATGGATGGATAGATGGACAGACAGACAGACGGACCGGACCGATGAAGGAGCCGACATTCCAAAGGATCGTTTGCGAGCCAAGATGCTGTCAGAGTTTATCAATGCGCCGATGGAATATACTGTTCGCCACTCGCAATGGGACCCAGCCACTTCAGCTGCGACACTTGCCAGTGACGCCGGGAAAGAGGGACCCACTATTTCACAGGGCTGTGTTGTATTCGAGATGAGATCGTTGGTACCAACTGGGGAGCTCTGCCAACGTGCAAATCGTCTCATTTGCCGCCGCATCAGTCCGATTCCATTTCACGAGTCATCACAACAGCACGAGCAAAGGGTTGGTTACCGGCAAGTCAAGGCGGAATATGAGGGCTACAAGTAAGAGTTGGAACAGACAAAAACGCTTGTGGAAGAGTGAAGCTCGAATTGGGATGGAGGAGGCAGCTTGAGATTGTGATTGCGGGTCCGAGGATGAAGTGAGAGGGGGGGGGATTGGAGAACAGCAGCAAGCCACTCCATTTCACCGCGATCGACGTTCAGATCGATGTTCAGGTCAATGTTCAGATTGGTGTCGACTGTCTAGGCCTTGGTGAGGCTATCGAGGAAGCCCTTGCAGATGTCGCTGACGACCGTTCGGTCGGGAACGGTAGCCGCGGAGCCATATATGGCTGCGATCTCTCCGTTGCCGGCCTCGGGATTCTTTTCCAGGATGTCGATGACCTCGCGGATGTCCTTGAGCAATGTGGCTACGGTTTCATCCGTGGTCAGGAGAGTGCAGGCAATATGGATAGCCTTGGGGAACTGCAGGACCGTGAGGTGCCATCCTCGCTTCGAGAGAAGGTCGGCGACGCCATAGATACTGAGCTTGGTATCGTCCGCGCTCTGGAAGGCAACGACCGAGGAGTAGGGTGTGCCCATGACCTGGAGCAGGGGGATGCTGCGGATGCCATCGGCGATCTTGTGAGCGTTACCGACGATCTGCTTGGTCGCCTCAATATAACCGCGCTCGCCAAGGCTGAGCAGCGTCGTCCAACAACAGGCAATGAGAGAGCCGGCTCGGGAGCCAGCCGTCGAAGGAGAAGCATAGATGCCACCTGAACGTTGGCCATTAACAACGCAGCATTCTTGTCAGCAAATGGTGATTCAGCAGCAAAGCTTGTGGCAGCTGCGCTCTTATCGCATCGAAAGTTGTGCCCGTCGCCAGCCAAGACTCGCCGATACAAGCCCATGCCGTTGGGGGTAGATAGGGCTAAAGTACACCGTTCATGATGCCATAACAAGCATCGACTTACCGGGCCACTCTGTCTGGAAAAAGTACTGGTAGTTGCGAATCTCCTTGGAGCGGTACATGAGGACGCTGGTTCCCTTTGGAGCGAATCCATATTTGTGCGTGTCGCACGAAATCGAAGTCACCTGGGGCACTCGAAAGTCGATCAGGTACGGCACTGGGAGACCGGCCTTTTCCAGGTGGGTGGTCAGGAAACTGCCGAGACAGTTGTCGACGTGGAAGGGCACTTTGTGCTTCTCTGCGAGCCGACCAAGGGCGGGAATGTCATCCATGGTGCCGTAAGGATAGTTTGGAGTCGATCCGGCAATCTGCGGCAGAGCGAAAATGAGCCGAGCGAGCTTGTTAGGCATGCATCTGGGGGAATATCAATCGCCAGGGCAACGAGGCCTGAGATGTTCCTGAGAGGGGTATTGGAATGAGCCTCACCATGATGGTGTTTCGGTTGATGGCACGATCCATCTTGCGAACATCGACTTGGAAGGTGACTGGGTCGACTGGGATGTGGATGATCCTGACACCAAAGTATTGGGCAGCCTTGTCGAAAGCGACGTGGATTGTCACAGGAACGACCCTGAGGGATTCAACAAAGTGAGCTCGATGGTTGAAGCAGATTGTTGCACAGCAATTCAAGGGCAACAGCCACTGTGGGCCACAGACAGTCGAGCCCGTCATAGGTCGAACATCATAGCCCGCCAAGCATTTCAAAACTCCACAAGCGGCCCCCAAGTCGGCAGAAACACCACCAGCGGACCATTTTTTTGACTCACATTTCGGGCTCTGTAACTCCGCGCAGCTCCCGGGCCATGTCACGGTAGGTCTTGACGGCCATGAGAAGACTCTCGGTGCCGCCAGAGGTCACGCTTCCGCATGCCTCGGCCGGAGCATGGTGCATGTTCAGGACCATGGCAATGACCTCGGCCTCCATCTTGCGGACGCTTGGGAAGACTTCCGGGTGAAGGGGCTGAGTGTTGCGATATGTGATGGGTATGGAAGAGGATCGGTGTTACTATCCCGCCCAGCCCTGCCCAGCCGAGCCGGCCCGCCCTGTTTGTTGCCCGGTTAGCTGTCAGCGAATCGAGTTGGGTTATGGTAAAGAGACTCACGTTGGCCAGCCCAAACATCCCGTACGTTTCGGTTGTGAGCTGATTGAGCGACTCGACCGAGTGGTAGATGGCGCCGGATATCTTGCCGGACTTCCACTCATCGCTTTCCAGGCCCTTGTAGCGCCTGAGTTCGCCTCGGAGCACCCCGTCAGTCAAGCCCTCGGTCGGAAGTGTGAGGTACTTGACCTCACCAGGGACGTCGGGTGCATTCTTGCTCTCGATTGACTTGACAGCCTTCTCGATTTCCTTCTTGATCTTTGCATCCACGCCCGGGACAGTGGCTCGGATGATCTTGATCGACCACTGAAGCCCCACATTCCAACAAGGTTAGCGTCGTATACCCGTATGCGAGCAGCTTTGAATGATTGTTTCTCCGTGCACTCGCTCTTGTCGACGAATCAGTCGATGCCATATTCACGTCCGGTGGCTTCGAGTTGTCGGCCATCCAGCGATGCGCAGAATCGCATCCGCCAGAGATCGAGCCAGGCCCGGTCTGCGTACCTTTATGAGTTCCTTGGAAAACTGCTGCCACGAGGCCGAGACACCGCGGACAAAGACCAGCCGGTACGCTTGGCGGGCAGCCTGGTGCAGGAACACCACCAGAAGAATGTTTTTGAGCAGGCTCAAACGGGGATTGTTGAGTGCGTCCAGCACTGCAGCTGAGGCCCTCGTGACGACCTGGGTTGGTTCGGACTGCAAGTGGATCCGAGTTGGCCGGGGTTGAGACAAGACAGGGAGCTGTTACAACACGAGTTGACGAGGCGTCTCCAGGCTTGTTTTATTCCTGCCGTGCCGTTGCCGAGCAGACCTGCCAATGCCGCATCATCGGATCTGCCCGTTGCAGGCGGATGCGGCTACAACGCCGTGCAAACGCTGTGCAGCATCGAATACCATCGAGCAACACTCGGCCGAGAGGGACGTTCCTCCATGCAAAGCATGCCCTTACCATGTCGGGCGGCCAGGTTCCAGAGCAGACAGCTCCTTCCAAAGAGATCAGGGAGCAGACATCTGGCAAAGCGGAGCGGACGACCGGGGTCTATTTGAACCCAACCCAAACCCCACAAATCGGATGATCGGGAAAAGGGGCTTGCGCACGTGAAGCGCTTGCGGTGTTGATGCCGTGCTGGTGTTGGGCGGCACCACCAAGAGCATTTGTTTGGACCAGCCGACCTGGATTGGGGCCGATGCAGTGCCGTGGGAGCAACGCCGTGGCAATGGGCGCTGCTGGTGCCGGCACCCGGAAGGCAGGAGCAGGAGCGGGAGGGAATGGGGAGGAGGCCGGGCTGTGGGGTGGTTGGCTGGGACCAACGCCGTCGTCGCTGAGTGCGAACTGCAATCGCCCTCGGAACATGACAGCGAGAAATAACGATGCAGTGCCAGTGCTATCGCTGCAGCAACGCCATCATACCCGCTTGTGTTCCAACCGAAAATACAAACGGTTCTAACAATGGTTCTAACAATGGTTGTAACGATGGTTGTAACGACGTCCAACCAAACAACTCAACCAAACAACTCAACCAAACAACTCAACCAGACAATTCAATCAAATGGCCCCAGAGCCCGTTGTTGTTTTTTTGACCTGGTGCTGCATGCTCGGCTCTGGATGCATGTCTGTCAGCCGCCCAACTTTTTTTTTTTTCAGGCCGCGTTTGTTTTCCGAGCAACGCCGTGCTGTCGGTCCATTTTTCTGCCCTCAAGCCTAAACACTCCTCCATCGCCCGATCGACCCCGTTCCCAGCGCACCCGCCGTCCTGGCCGATCTGCTCTCGAGCCGTGGCCATATCTACAGCGGTCCGCCCGCAACCGTCTGCGTCCACCGTCCCCTGTCCTTCCTATCCATGTCGGCTGTTGCTGCTCCTGAGCCAGTCTCCTCGGCGCCGGCGCCGGCTGTCGGCCTTCTGGAGCTGCCCAACGAGCTGCTCTGCCATATCTTCATCCGCCTGCCCTGTCCATCGGCCTTTCTTGGCTCCTGTCGGCGCACCTACTCGCTGGTCTCGGATGAGTGGCGCATCCGGTGGCTACTCTTTCACTACGCTCCGCTGGACAAGCTGCTGCATCAGCTCCCGGTGCTGCCATTCACCTTCCTGCGGTCTGAGGAGCTGGTGCTCTCGCTTCTCCGGCGGGCCGCCCAAGATGCCTCGGCCGGGGGCCATCGACCAGAGAGCTGTCCTCCTCTCAACATTGCCCACAAGCAGTTCTGGACTGCGTTTCAACTCCTCGACGGTTACAATATGCCCATTTCGTAAGTCGACCGCTGCTCTTCTGTCGTAGTTCGATCCTGCTGAAGGCCGGCTCGCTCTGCTTCCTGTCGCTGTTACTTCCGTTCTAGCCACTTTCGCTCTCTCCTGCCCATCACCGACGCCATTCTAATCGGTGTGCTGACCTTCCTTGAATCCATTCGCATTTCGCCTGCTGGAATTCACTTCACGGCCTCGGGCTGTCGACCCCAACCCTTGTGAACTCTCCTCCTCATGACGTGCACTTCATCCTGCCCTACCATCGTTCAGTCCGGTACGGTGTCCCCTGGATGCCCAACGGATCCCCGGACGTTGCTACTACCGCTGGCTTGGTCGCAGGTCCCCACACGAGCTATTCCTGGTCCCCGACAACTTCATCCGAAACGAGTATCACCAAATGTTGACGGACCGCCATCGAGCCCCAAGGGAATATCCTCATCGCGAGTCATGTCTGAGCTTCTTTGGCTGGGTCCTCAGGAGCGGATACATTCGTGCAATCGACTTTATTCTCCGGCACGACGTATCCTTCCCTCGGTACTTGACCAACTCGTTGGCCACAGCCATTGACGACGATAAGCGGGATGTGCTACTGGTATGGAAGTACATGATCAGAATGGCAATCCAGCACGGCCACATGGACCTGTTTCGGTATGCGCTGCAACTCGACTTTGTATCGAGACATTCAGCACACACCCTTGCCCATCCAGCCACCCAACCCAGCCACTGGCCCGAGATTGAGGATATATTCAAGTACGCCCTCAGGCTCGGCATCCTGTATTCGCGACCAGACGTTCTTGACGAGCTTACTCTGCGCCAGGTCTCGCTGCGGGCCGCGGATCAACCAGGAGACTTACCGACAAACGAGCCAGTTGTTTGCGAATGGCATATCGGTGTAGCCGATGGTCGACTCGACGGGCTGCGGTACCTCATCGCCAACGGCCATGTAGTGACCGATCTTTACATCACCGATGCCATCGCCGGTCCGAACTGCCCACGCTTCGACCTCGCGACGCTGTTGCAGTCCAACGGGCTGCTTTTGTCGCCGTCGCACTCCTCGCGGCCCTGGCTGCTGGGCTGTGTCAGGGCGGGTGATCGGCAGCTGGTTCAGTGGCTGATCGAGGATGTTGGCGTGCTCAAACATGCTCCGACATCAAAGTCGATACTGCGGCAAGTCCTGAAGGAATCGATCGGCTACGGACACGTGGATGTCACCGAATACCTGATCTCGCAGGGAGCGTCCATCGGTCATCCGTACGAAGGGGCCCTGAACAAGCCGATTCGGATCCAGTCCTCGGACCTGGTGATGCTCGCCGCCAGTCAGTACCATGTCGACATGGTTCGCTGGCTGCTAGAGCGCGAGTCAAGTCCGCGCGATGCATTCTGGGGTGCTGTCCATGCTGCTCCGGCAGAGTGCGCCCTCTGGCTGCCCCATGAAGTCGCCAATGTTCGAATGCCTCTTCGTCCACAAGCCCTGGCGATGGACGGGATAACAGGCCGCGCTGGGAACCCAGAGGCCCGTCTTCACGTGAACCATGCCGACATTCGATGGATTGATCCGGCACTTTTTCGTGAAGCCGAATCTCGACGAGAACAGATCATCCGCCTGGCTCTCGACCGGCTCGATGTCCACCAGGAATTCATCCAGATTACGCCACTGTCTCCGTCCATCGAGCACTTTCCGACTCGGTCGAACCCTTGGCCTCAGTCAGTTCCAAACATGGCCCAGCCTCACGCACGGATGCAGCCGTCGTGGCGCTCGTCGCTCGAGGCCGGCCACGCAAGCCACGCAAGCCAACAACCGCCACACTCTAATCCACCAAGACAGCGCACGGTGCCGTCTACTACTTCTTCAACGCTGCCTCTCGTCCCTACCCCTGCCCATGCCCCTGCACCCGCGCCCGCGCCTGCTTCAGCTTCAGCTTCCGCCTCAACCTCGACCGTCGCGGCCCACCCCACTGGATCTCAGTCATTAACAATGTCGTTCACGATCCTGGATGAGCTGCTGACTCGACCACGGCTGCTCCGGTTTGTGCTGGAGAATCATCGATGCACCCGCTCGATCGGATCCGATGGACAAGCGGATCCCACCAAATGCCCGCTCCGCAGTCGCTACGACGAACAGATTTCGCGGATCATCGGGCCAAATGCCGCTGCTCTTGCGACTCTGCCGATGGAGATGGGCCTGCTTGGTCATCATCTACACGATGTTTAGGCGGCTGGTTCCTGGCCGCTCCGCATAGGATCTGTACCTTGTCGAGAGGCGGGGGAGGGCGGCGGACATGATGATCGTGCTGCTCCAGGGTGGCTCGTGTTGATTCCCTGAAGCCTCCTGGCCACTTGTCTTCCGGGGGTTACAAAGCCACAAAGACTATGCCTCCGCTCCAATCTCGCACACTCTCACCGCACCTCCTCTCTCACGCTCTGTCTTCCCTAAGCCTATGCGTGCTTGCTTCTGTTGCTTGGCACCGTGTTTCTTTGGATTCCATGGCCGCACTCGCGCTGCCATCCCCCATCTCCCCCGCCCACCTTACAAGCTTACTGCAGCGACATTCTGGTTGAGAGCTCCTGTCCTGTCCTGCTGCACCTCGCCCTTGCCCTTGCCCTTGCCCTTGCACGAGTCTACGTATACCAGTACACGTCTATCCTCCTGGCCCACCAATACATGTTCGAGCATTTGGACCGCTCCGTACGAAGTGCTGTTCCTCGGGTCGAACGAGGGTGGATCGTCATTGTGGATGAAAGATGTGTTTATTCCCATCCATCAAGCAAACAGCTGTAAAAAGCAGCACGCTCAGCTTCATTTGTTGGCACAAAGCAATAACAACAACAGCAGTAGCAGTGGAAGTAGTGATAGAAGTGGCAACAGCAGCAGCAACAGCAACGTTCGCGCAGCTGCAAGTGGAAATCGTCCCAGGCGGCAAGACGGGTTATCGGCGTTGGTCAGCTATCAAGTGAAACAAGAAGGAAAGGGAGAAAATAAGAACAGCCTACAACAGGGTGCAGCACATCCAATAAATACAACATATAGATAGACAGATACATATACAGCGCGCCGGAGAAAAAGAAAAAAATGGGACACTTCGTCGTATTCGGACAAACGCGGCGTAATCGGACAGGACAGGGACGCAAGGCGCCAAGAGGGATGAAGTGGAGCTGAAATCGATAACAAATAAATCGCACGAATAGCCCATCACCTCTCAAGAGTCGCGAGGAGAGAGAGCGAGAAGGGAAACGAAATCAAGTTAAACGGTCCCGAATCAACGTTGGATGGGCCTCGACTTCCTGCAAGGCTTCATTGTACGATGCTTACTGAGCTTGGCCGTATGAATTCTGGAAGAAGGGCAGGGGAGCGGAGGCAGAAACACGGTGGATAGAGTATGGCATGCGATGTACGATGCGCCGTGAGTGGTGATCAGGCGGGAGATATTGAATGCCGTCGAGGTGCTTTGTTTGTACATGTGTCGAATTGTTCTTGTCTGGGCCAGGGCGTGAGGGCCAGGGCGTGAGGGCCAGGGCGTGAGGGCCAGGGTCTGAGGGCTAGGATCGTGTCCTCGCTCTCTTCCCCGCTGTGATCTGGGTCGAGATGATATGGTTCTAGGAGGGAGGCAGCTGGTCCAACAGCCCCTGGATTTGAGTGTTGACTCGCGGCTTGGGGGCGATCACGACATTCTTTCGGTTGTTGGAAAGCTGGCGGTTGAGCACCGTTGTCTTGGTTTGGCTGTCGGCCTGCAGCACCGTCAACAGGATCTGGGATGGGCGTGTGGGAGTTGCAGCACAATGGCGATTGTGAGCGGGGAACGCCGAGACACCGGAAGTGGACGAAGACACTGATTCCCTCACATTATGCTTCCTCGCCGGTCACTTGGCTGAGCGTCCTCCATCCGCTTCGACATACAGCAACAGCACCGGCAGCAGCAGCAACAGCGAGCGATCACTGTGCCGGGCCACACACATCAAAGCCGGCCAATCCTACCTCCTCGGTCCACTGGGCTTCGTCAAAGGGAACCTTGCCTCCCATGAACTCGGGCAGACACTCGAGGCCAAAGTCGTTGATGAGAACCTGCGAGGCATCGTTTTCGTTTTCGAGCAGCACGACCCGGAACATCAGCTTGGTCTTGAGTAGGGACTTGATCGTCGTCCAGAAGAGCTTCATGATCTGGGTCGGGTACAACACGTAGATTCGTCCGATCCGCAGGGGGAAGCGGTTCTGGAGGGAGCTGATCAGTAGCTTGGGAAGTCCCGGGCTCAAGTTGTCCTGGTGGTGACGGGGAGTGGTGTTCAACGTGAATGAGTCGATCATGAAGGGGACTCATCGTGCAGGTGAGGAAGGTGGTGAAGGGGCCGCACTTATGCACGGCTGTGCGATTGTCCATGCATACGATTGTCCATGCATGCGTGGCCAATTGCCTGCGTGGCCAATTGCCTGCGTGGTCAATTGCCTGCGTGGTCAATTGCTCCAATGCAACGCGACGTTTGCCGCCTCTCAAAGTCGGTTTCCAGCCTTCACGACCATTTCTGCCACCCATAAAGCTCATAAAGCACATGGAACTCATATGGGGAGCATAGAGCCCGAACATACCCATCCAGCACCGGTGGCGTCATTGATGATGGTAACGCCATACATGATCGTGAGGCGGTCTTCGGAGGCCATCTCCAGCACGAGCCAGAGAGCCCGCATGATGTCCATGCTGTCGAATTTGCCCTGGTCCGACTTGCTGGAGAGCCGCCGGGTGTGGAGCAGGATGACCTGGCGCTTGCCCGAGTCCCGGATGGGCGGCAGCGTCACGAACTTGCTTCGGAGGATCTCGCAGACGGCGTCAGAGACACTGGCAGGGCAAGGACATGTCAGCGAGGTAGGGATACAGCGGCAAGACCAGGATGTACCAGAATCCTGGCGATACAATCCCATGATTTTGACGGCCGAGCCCCGTGATCACGTAGCATGGAGGCGCCACTCGGCCAATGCTACTCGGCCAATGCCACTCGGCCAATGCCACTCGGCCAGTGCTACGGGATGTTGCCGTGCTGCCCAGGTCAAAACCATGGCAGGGCCTCCTGCAAAATCGCACTCCTCGAGCGCGCAGCGGTTGTACGGCGAGCTTACCGATCCAGCGAAATCTTGAGGACCTTTGTTCGATAGTTCCAGTAGGAGAGCACCATCGTCAGGCTCTCCTGGATGTTGAAGCGTTTTGCACGAAGGAACCGCATCAGAAACTGGTCATAGTCGACCAAGACCTTGGTCATTTCCGCGTGCTGGGTCGAGTGGTAGATCTTGATGGTCTGCTTGAGCTCACCGAGGACTTGCTGGATCGGATCCTTGACGGGGAAGTCGGGACGCTGCTTTGGAACGGGAAGCCCGCCGCCGGGTTCGGGCGGCTCAGGGAGGCTGGCGTTGATGTCGCAGGGTTGTTGGGCAGAGGCGCGGTATTGGGGCGGAAGGGATCTCGGAACTGCCCAGGGCGCGAGGGGCGGTTGACGGGCTGGCCCACCCGCAGACCCACAGGCTGAGCAACAGGTTGGCCCACAGACTGGGCCACAGGCTGGTCCACGTACGAGCTCGCAGCGACAGGAATATTCGGGGGTTCATCGGCAGGCGGCAGTGGCGGCAGCGGCACGGTTGGGGGACTAGCGATCATGGCATTGACAGGGATCACAGGAGTTCGGTTCACTCGGTTTGTCGGACGCGGGGGCCGCTCGAACTGGAGCCGGGGAGACAGGAGTTGTTCCGCGGGGATGGCGTTGGGTGCGATCGGCTGCGGCGGACTATCGGATGCTGACGAATCGCTCGAAGGTGTCGGAGACGGCGGAGCAGATCGGGAGGCAAGCTGGGGGAGGGGCATGGTGCCCTCGGAGGTGTATACTTGGACCTGTTCCTGGATCGGGGCAAGGCCCTGGGAGCGCGGGTCGGTGTGGAAGGGGCTGCTGCTGCTGCCGCTGCCCGAGACAAGATAGGGCAGTTCCGAGGAGCGACGGTATCGCCGCGGACGCTCAAAGAGCCGGATTTGGGCCGGGGCAGATTTCTGGGCCTGCGGCGAGGATACCAACGGCTCGTGGGATCGGGCAGAGGATGACGACGACGACGCCGAGGCCGACGAAGCGGTCGAGGAGGCCTTTGCGACGTTGACGACGAGGATGGGTTTTGGTGAGAGGGTTCCGGCGCTGTGGGAGTGGGTAATGTGCCGAATGTCTCTCGGACTCCAGGGCGACTGCGGTGGGGTGCTTGAGGCAGGGGAGGAGGGATGCGATGGGAAGTTGGCGAAGACGTCGGGGTTGGCCTGCGGGTCCCAGCGGCCGGCAATGATGTTGGGCTGGGATCGTGAGCGAAGGAGCGACGGGGTTGGCGACAGGGGCTCGGGACGATCGCTCTCCGGGGCTGGGAGAGGGATCACGAGTCGGGCAAGGGGGGCTGGGGGAGGAGGCGGCGGGATGAAGTGTGTTACAGGCGGAGGGCCGGAGACAGCCGACGGCGACTTTGCCGACGACGACGATGGATAGGAGGATACGGGTGTCGACGGATGCAGCGGAATCATCAGCGGAGTCGGGAGGCCAGGCGGGATATGCGATGTCTTTCGGGGAGGGGGCCGGGCGCGGAGAGCGGGAGGGATATCGACGGGAATGTCGTAAGGGCGGGACTGGGCCGAGTCCAAGGGCGAGTCGACGGTCCGGCCCATGCCCGGAAGGTCGTCGGGCAGGGGGCGGGTTCTGGGCGAGAGCAGACGCTGGCCGCGGTCCATGCTCGGAAACATGGAGCCGGCGTTGGTGATGGAGCTGACCACATCCAGGGATGTGGTGCGTTCGGTGAGTGGAGGACGCTCGGCGGGCACGCTCTCCGGGAGGGCGGTGGTGACGGCCAGCTGGGTCCGCGAGGCAGCCCGAGGCCGAGGGAGGAAGCTGGAGAGCGAAAAGGGCTTGTCGTTGCCAGAGTCCATGATCTATGGGAAGGGAGACGAGCGGAGGAGATGCGAATCAGCGAACGGGCTTGGTGTGCCGGGTGGCAGGCGTAGTGGCCAGCGTGGGCAACGAGCCGGGAGATGGGGAGATGGAATGGGCGACGAGGCGTGACGAGCAGCGACACAACGGGGTTGGGTTGGGCGGTGCCTGGAATTGGAAAGGCCGGAAAACGAGCAGGCAGAGACTGGCCGGGGCAGAGAACAAATATGCGGCGGCAAAAGCAAGTCGGCGCGGACAATAGATAGCCGGATAATGTAAAAACGACGGGGAAGGGGGTCAGAGTGCAGCAGATTGACAAAGCCGAATAAGGGACCGACAAAGGCGACGACAGATTTGCATGGACGCAGAGGCGGCTGTGACCATGCAGCGACAGCCGGTCGCTGGAGAGTGGGAGGCAAAACAGAGTAAAGCCGAGACGGAGAGGACAAAGCCACGGTGGAGAAGAAGAGCGAGTGTACCGGCGAGGGGGTCACTCTGGCGAGGCCATGGTGCAGGGGAGTCAACATGGATGCATGAGGCGGCGGGATGGAGTGTGGATGCAGAGATGCCGCCGGAATGCATATCCAGCATATCCAGCATATCCAGCATATCCAAGACATCCAGAATATCCAAGACATCCAGCAGATCCAGCAGATTCAGCATATCTGACAGGCGGTCGAGTCGGCAACGGTGCGCTGGACAGAGGCAGCAAAGGACATGAGGGCTTACCCTGAGCAATCTAATCCAGGCGGTTAATTGGGGGCCGAGGTGCGATGCAAGGAATGCAAGGAATGCAAGGGATGCAAGGGCCGGGAGGGCAACGGGCGGGGCGACAGGACCAAAACAAATAGTCACGCCGATGGGCAGGCGGCAACGGGGCAATGAAAAGTAGTTTGCGACCGATTCAGCAATGCAGGCGGGGAAGGGCGAGAAAGGCGCCGCCGCTTGGGCGCTGCAGCCGAAGCAGTCGAATCTGTGGGTGGGTAAGAGAACGGCGCGGGGCGGGGGAGACGAGAGTGACCCGATACAGACTTGGTAGATTCGGTACAGACTCGGTACGGACTCGATGTGGCGGGATCCAGTCCGATTCAATCGGTCCTGCTGGATTCAATCGTCCTTCTGGATTCAATCGTCCTGTTGGATTCAATCGGTCCTATTGGATTCAACGACTCCAACTCGATCCAGCACGATTCAGCACGATCCAGCACGATTCAGCTCGATCCAGCACGATTCAGCTCGATGCAACTGGATTCTGCTCGTCCGGTTGGATGCGATGCGGCCAAGGGTGGCAGTCACAGACGGCCGAGGGCAGCACAGCGGGCGTCGGTGCAAGTCGGAGGAACTGGAGGCGGATCAGATAGGAGCGACATTGGCCATCGTGCCTCGGGCCGATCCCCGAGAGCCTTGCCAGCCGCCCCCTCACCAGCGACTGCCACACTCTCGCTCCCCGTCTCGGTCGCCGAAATAGCGGGTCTCGCCCGGCCGAGGCGGGAAGAGAGCCCCCGTCACACGCCTCGCTGCCTGGCCTCGGCCGATGCACAGCAGCCGGTACAATGTCGCACGGGGCAGCAAGGCCGCCAGCGTGCAAGCAAGGGCGGATGTGCGCTGCTTGTTCGGCGGGGATGCCGTTGCCGTTGGGTTTCTTGTCGGCCATGGGCTGCGTGTTCGCCTGGTTCGCGACGGCGGCTGCGGCGGCTGCCTGCTCTCTCTGGGCTGGCAGATGTGCCTTTGTATGTCGAAGCCCAGGTCCTGCTGGCCATGGCATATCCCACTGGCCATGGTATCGATTCCCAGCCAAAGTCGCATCGATTCCCAGCTCAAGTCGCATCGATCGGAGCGCTCTTCCACGTGCGGCAGTGCTCGCCGCTCCATGAAGCGTGCCAAGCCCGAGGCATCAGCCCAGCGGGACCCTCGATGCGGGTGCTGGGTTGCGGCCATCGATAGAGTGCAGCGGCCTGGACAGCGGCCTGCCGCGCATGCCATCGGGGCCGCTGTCTCGCCATGTCTCTGTGTTGCCAGGCGAGTGGATGCAAGCAGCAGGCCGTCGGCGATGTTGGATGCGAAACGCAGCTGTTCGCAAAGCTCCATCGCAGGAGGTCTGCCCGATGCGTCGCCGAATCCCTCCCCAGCATCGCCCGATGTGTCGGCAGACCTCCGCTTTCGTCCTTGCCAGAGCCGCAATCTCATCCAAGGCCAGTTTTGAGCGCCAGGCGGTGCGTGGGGGGACGCCCAGCACGAGTGCCTTCGATAGCATCTGGGCGATCTGCAGCTTTGCGCAAAATGCGCTCGTTGGTGGTCGAAGCCATGGGCGCTGGTAGCTGGGTGCTGCTTTGTGCATTTGTTTCAGGAGCGCGCCGGCCAAGGGCTTGGACCACGTTTCCAGACCACGCGACACGCGATTGGCGGACGCGCTGCCTCTTGTCGCGCCAGCCACATTTGGCACCTTCCATCTGGGGACAGGACGCGGAAGTGGCGCTGTGGCAGTGCAGGTCCGGCTCGATCCATCCAATCCATCCAATCCATCCAATCCATCCAATCCATCCAGTCCA